CATCTGTGGAATACATGTTGCCGAGTAATTATCATTCTGTGTTTTCTTCTTCAACTTATCACAGCAATAGTAACAACAATTAGGTAATCATTGGTTGTCGCGGGCCAAATTGATGACAGGCCATAGTTTGGAGATCCCTGGTCTTGATGAAACAGCACATTCTCTTCAAACTAACAAAAGTTGCTCCACTCAAAATTGTTGATCCTGCAAACTAATAGCCCGACAGATGTGAAATTTGAACACGTATCTCTTGAAGGTTGAGGTTAACTAATATTCATATGCATTCAATATTAGTACGCCCTCTGTGTGTTAGCGTACGAACTTTTCGAACCATCTAGTTGATATGGGAATGATTTGACATATGTTGATAGATCTCTCGAAACAAACAACATTCTCAAACGAAGAGGTGAAAAAAGTAAGTACACTACAGACTTTGGCCCATAGCAATAAAATATTGAAAACTGCTCATAATGAATATAGAAAATCTCATACATTACATTTAAATTTTTGACATATGTTGATAGATCTGTCGAAACAAACAACATTCTCAAACGAAGAGGTAGAAAAAGTAAGTACACTACAGACTTTGGCCCATAGCAATAAAATATTGAAAACTGCTCATAATGAATATAGAAAATCTCATACATTACATTTAAATAAAGTAGAAAGTGATCAGTACAAGCTGATACAGATAAGGATAGAAAATCGAAAACTCCTTGAAATATAATCAATAAACTAAATAACGAGCCAGCCAAAAACGCATTTTGTAAATCTAGCAACTGAGTTAACAATAATTTTGTCAAATATGTCAAATAAAGTGAACTGTCCAAAATAAGCAAAAATCTTTAAAAAAAACACAAAAGCTGCTCTATTTGATTTTGTTGTCCGAAGTCAATTCTTACTTGAACAAAACTCGTTTGCATATACTGTAAATTTGAATTTGAGCAAGGCCTTCGACGGTATCATTCAAAAATGTTACTTCAAAAACTTTTTCATTATGGTATCAGAGAAATAGCTCCCAAACTTATGAAATCATATTTGAGTGGCAGAAAACAAAAAGTCTCTATTATTACAATCAAATATTTCAAAAAGGTGTACCACAAAGAATTGTGCAAGGCCCGTTTCCTCTTATTATTTACATAAGTGATCATTTTAATTTTAATAAGAACCATCTGTTTTTAAATGACATTTTGTCACTGAGTCTGATTCACCAGGATGGATAATTGTGTGATAAACGTCTTCAATTTCAGTTTTTTTACTCTATCATCGTAATACCTAGTAGTTTGGTTCTGTTATTATAATATTTTTTATGTTTTATTGTTTTTTTAATACATTTCGAATCCGTCAAATCTTTTTTAGACAATAAAAGACCCAACCAATCGAAGAAGAGACATTGTCAACCAATTTCGGAAATTTTTGTATCGTGAACTCGTATACTATTTTTCAGCTGAAGAATTTCGAAAGTTTCATCAACAGAAGGCGACATAAATGGTTGAGGCACAGAAAATCCCGACTAGAAACAATCCTTGGATCCCAAATTGTGGACGTTTTAGACGAACCTGGTCTGCAAGAACAAAAAGTAGTTTGGATACGCATTGAAAAGTGGGACCCACAGCAAATCGCAGTAGATGAAATATTGGAGGTAAATTCCACCGTTTCAATGTATTCTCGCCACGGTTCAATAAAAATCGATAGGTTGCAGGTCTGTTATGCGAGCTGGTCTATGCAAGAACGAAGGAGATAAAGTCTATCGACGTAATTGTCGATTTGAATAATTTTTCTTTGAAGCATCTTTACGGGTTGTCTCCAAAATTCGCGAAAAGGATGGTATTTTTCATGTCGGTGAGGAAAAAATCATAACTTTGAGAAATAAAGATACGCTTCAATAGATGTAGGTATAAGAAAACAGTTGCAATTTATGTCTGTTTTGCAGGAATGCCTTCCTATGAGGCTCTTACACGTCTACGTGGTGAGACAACCAAAAATGTTCCACCTTGTATATTCCTTGTTCAAACCTTTCATTGAAGAAAGAATGAGGAAGTTGGTGAGGCGAGATTTTGATGAAATGTATTCAAGAACTGAAAATACCCTCTTTCAGATAACTATTTGTGGACACAATTATGAACTAATGACAGCCACAATCGGAAGGGATGTCTTACCCCCAGAACTTGAAGGAACGAGCGACAGTTTAGCGTACGACAGATGGTTGACAGTTTTATATACGAAAAAAACACAAAAAGGTTGTTCCGCCTGTGTAGTTTCGCAATTAATAATTTTACTATTTTTCAGAATTAGCTATTTGTGGATACGAGTTTTACTAAAGCAAATGGGTGGAAGAATAGGAAACTTTTTATTTGTGAGTGGAAAATTCATGAATAATTAATGAAATTGTAAGCGAATTAAATTACCGATAACGGCAAATTACTGAGAGTTCATTTCCTGAATCGAAGCGAATATTACGTCCATAAATACTGATGTGATACATCAAACAACGGCATTAACTCGGTGACCAATTAAAAAAATTATTTACTCTATAACGAAAATTGGAAACAAGTAAAGTGGATTAGAATAATTGATGACACATTATTTTTATAGCCTATATAGGGAGAAACGTATACACGTAGCTATAGCATTACACATATATCTAATTGCTCTAATTGCTGTTGAACAACTACTCCAGAAGGGTATACCCATCTAGTGGAGAGAAGTAACAGCAAAACGTCTAGACCAAAATTCTTATCATGCAGAAATGACATGATGTGATCCTCAAAACCCAGTTCATTGTGTATGTTGATTCCTCAGAGTTTAATGCCCATCTCATTTTCAATAATATGTTAGTGGAACAGCTTTCAATTCCTCTACCTTTCTCCCAAGGCACAATTGATAATAGGGGAGCCCAAGCAGGAATTTCGGGATTTACTGAAGCGCGGCAGATTAATATACAGGGGGATACCTTGTACCCGGTTAAGTACCTCCACCAAATATGAGCCCCATACATAAGGTTTTAAAAAAAACATTGTTTTTGTCAGATTAAGCAAATCCCTCTAGATAATCGTCAGATTATGAGACAGCACGTCTAAAACATAAAGATGAACCATATATATCTTAATCTGACGCGCTGGAGTATTTCAAAATGGCGAATTTTTTTTGCACATTATAATAATGGCCTCGAGTTTGCGTCAGATTATTGAATGAGAGCTTTTTTTTGTTGCACTCAACACCCCTTTAGAAAATCTGACGCGCTCGATTAAATTTACGTACAACCACTCACATCATGCAAACGATCAGATTAACATACCAACATTATTAAAAATACGTAGGACATTGAAGCTATCAATATCTGACGCGCTCGAGTATGTTCATGCAACAGTATTTTTTTACATATTTAAAAATCTATAGTTGCTTCCTCCACCGAAGAAAAGTTATATATTATATAACATTTTTTCTTCTTATCATCTAAACTTTGCGACCTAATATGTCTCAAAGACGCTCGAGTCAATCCCCATTTCGCATTTTTCTCCCCTGATATGAGTGGCGTCGTTTATGAATAAAGTGAATTTTTCATCGGTAGGTAGAGAAAATAGACCATTCAAATACAACATAAGAGAAATTGGGACAAAAACGTAATCTTGAATGCCGATATTTATAATTAGCAAACTTACAAATCAGCAGAAGCAAAACTCACACCTAGAAGGTACCTACCTACTTTATTGCGCTTGAATAGAGAATAACAGGGGGTTAACATCAATGAAGTTTGGCTACCTGTACTAAATTACAATCGTAAAATGAGGTCTTTTAATTCGACCAATAGATACAATGCCATGCTCACCACCAGTGGAAGGAAACTAGAGACTCAAATGTTGAATATACCTAGTATGTTCTGTGATAATGTCTAGAGTATTGACTCATCGCCATAGATGATGTATACCGCAGTAGTAGAAGAAACATCAGGCATAAAAACCTGTAGAACACGGCTAACAAAACCGAAAATTAGCTTCAAATATCTTGTGGAGATTAAAGTATGGTTTGTGATTTGCTAGCGATTTGTAGATTTGATGGATTTTCATCAATAATATTATTTATCCGTTACTCAATTCTTGTATAGGAATCTGACATTTTTTATATTATCTAACAACAAATGGACTCAATATTAAACGGGTTCAAGGACTATTTGTAGTAAATAAGAAGTGACCGACTCGCTACTGGACAATTCAGGATAAGAAAACAAGAAAATCGCGACGGATACATTAGAAAAATTACATGGAACTAATCAATTAATGACGTGCAAAGTCACTAAAACATCCATGTGTGTTTAATGTGACTCGATGATACCGGAATAATCAGTAGTTTCACAGCTAATAGTCGAACAGTTCAATATTCTACAACGGTGAGTACCTATACATAATCGAAAATTTGACAAGTTGAAAACGATCCATTTTTGATATTCAATTTTAATACTTCAGAAACAGAACTTGCGAGTTGTGGTTCAAAAAATAATGCCAGGTGACCAAGTGGAAAAAACCTACGCGGAAAGACAAAAATATCTAATTGAATTAAGGCGGTTGATGAAGGGTGAGTAAATGAAAAACAGTATTCAATCGTACCAACTATTCTATTTTATGGGACACTAGATTTGTTTCGCAAAAATTACCCTTTCAAGAATTGAATCAAAAATTCTATGAGAACGTCATCTAGATTTTGTTCTTTGCATATTCTAGTTGAAAATGAGCTTCAAAACACACGCATTCATATAGTATGATTCAACGATTAATGTAAAAATATTCTGACATTCCAGAAGACGATCTCTTGCGAAACCTTCAAAGCGACGATGGATATTTGCAGAGGTTTCTGTACTGTACCGATTTCGATGTAGAAGAAGCATTGAAAAGGGTAAGTTTTTCACGAAATTGAAAACGGACGTTGAAAACGGTATTACTTTCAGCTGAAAACGTTCTACGAATTGCTAGAAGAATGCCCCGGTTGGTTCACGCGAGGAAGTCCGGAAGACAAGAGATCCATCATAGAAAAAGACATTAGAATTGTCCCCAATGAATATGATAAGGAAGGGAGGATAATTTACATAGCCAAAATAGGTGAGACAAATTCCTCGACATACCATTATTTTAAAAATCTCAAACCGCATTGATGGCGCATAAGCTAATATACAATATATTTGATCCTAACTATCACTACGCTAATGTCAAAATATTCAAACAGTGATTTACAAATATATACAGGGTGACCCATTTTTAATGGAAACACCCCCCTAAAATTTTTGTTAGAAGGTGTAAGATAAAACTGTTTGCCGAGGACACTATTTTGTACTGTTCTGGGACAACTAATGAAATCTCAGAATGTTTGAATGAGGAACTATCAAATATAAACGAGTGGCCTCGAGTTAAATGTTAATAAAATAAAATGCATGTTAATAGGTAGCAAATATCGTTTAAGACAACTGCAAGATGAACAGCTGTCATTGAATCTTTATCAATATAATGATGATGATATTATCAATAATATCATCATTGAAAGGGAACAACTTTTAAATATCTGGGAGTGGTATTAGATCAAGAATTGAACTTTAATGCACACTGTAGTTATATTCAGAAAAAAATAGCCACGAAAATTCATCTTTTATATAGATTGAAAAATAAAATAAGTGATTATGCAAAATTAACAATTTATAAATCAATAATAGCACCCCACTTTGACTATTGCAGTACATTACTCTATTTCGTGAGCAATGAAAACCTAAACAGACTACAGAAGCTTCAAAACAGATCCGTGAGGGCAATATTAAGTTGTAATAAACGCACATCTGTGGAATACATGTTGGAAACACTGTCTCTTATGTCTGCTAAACAAAGGATAACACTGAATATGTTGATATTTATAATTAAAATTAAACACAATATGTTGCCAAATTATCTAAGTGATCAAACACTCCACTAGAAATAAAATAGGAAATTTTTATATCAACAGAGAAAATATAGGTTGTGACTCGTTGTATAGTTCTCGTCTGATTGCATTTAATAATTTGTCAAGTCATATAAAAAGCTGTGATTCATTAAATGCGTGACATCCGAGTTCAGGAAATCATATAGATATGAAAACTATAGAGTGTTAATATAAGTCCAAGAGACAATTTCATTGGACATCAGCTTCTGATGATAAATAGGCCATCAATCGAACTTCTTGGATTTATACCAAGACACTCGATGTTCTTCATACTTATAGGAGGGTTATGGGAGGCAATTTGTTGGCTTGAATGAATAAACAGTTTCTTCTGATTGTGCTCCATCTTCAGTTTTATTTTTTAAATGTTCAAAAAAACCTTGCAGGAAATATGGAGTATGGCACGATGGACCTAGTGGAGGACGTGGTATCCGTGGACGACTTCTTCGCAGAGGCTCTCTCTGAGGACTTATCGCTCTTCAAAAACGGAGTCTGTATCTTGATCGACGTAGCGAATTTCTCTTGGAAACTCATGAAATGGCTGAATCCGTTCTCGATCAAGATGATCTTGAAAAGAGCGACGACTATGCCAATAAAGGACTACCGGTTTCACGTTATCAACAATAATTTCTTGGTCAAAGCCGCCATTAACTTCATTTGGCCCTTCCTTCCAAAATACATCAAAGACAGGGTACGCAAAATAGACAAACTTTAAGATTTTAGTTATGATAATGATTATGATTAGATTGCACTTATTGAAATAGATTCACTTTTGAGCAGGAATTTTCTTCACTGATGAATGTGCAATTTCAAATGATAATTTTTTCACAATAGTTGAAAATCATTTCTCATTTGTGTACCTTCAGTGTGACCCATTTTTAATGGAAACACCCGCCTAAAATTTGAAGTTGTAAATCGATTTTAATAATTTTTTTTCAAATGTCAAGTACTAAAAGGTCTACCTTGGGACAAAATTTGAAATGTTTATTAAAGTTTCAGGGCATACTACGATATTTTTTCTTANGCCTGTGTGAGTTTTCGGATTTTTGAGTTGTCATAACTTTGTTAATAATGAATATTTTTTCATGAAATTTTGGTCACACCTGTTTAGAGGCACTGAATCCAGTGGCGTAGTGATTTTTTCAATAAAAACATCGCTAATAAAAAATCCTGATTTTCGACTAAGAAAAAATATCGTAATATGCCTTGAAACTCTAATAAACATTTCAAATTTTGTCCCAAGGTAGACCTTTTAGTACTTGACATTTATAAAAAAAAATAAAATCGGTTTACAACTTCAAATTTTAGGGGGGTGTTTCCATTAAAAATGGGTCACACTGTATATAAAACTCCCATAACAATAATTTTCCAGGTGTACTTCCATTTCAACGACTATGACTCGCTCTATCAACACGTGGACAAAGAGTCGCTGCCAGTGGAATATGGTGGAAAAAAAGATACAGATTATAGCAAATATCACTGCATATTATACGAAAGGAGCTCCCAGATCGTTGAAAGTTTCGAAGTAAATCGAACTAGATTTTTGGAAAATTTGGCAAAAAATAAAGTTGAAAAAACGACATAAATCAGATTTTTTTTTAACATTCTCATCAGTGTCACTCTATGTGAGATTTCATGAAATATTCTGATACTGTAGAATTATAAGAAAAAAGAATAGCAACAATGTCCCAATTGAAAATATTCAATCTTCTTTTTGTATAATAATAATAATAATAATGGTCTTTATTGGGTGAAATACAATATAACATCCAAAAGGCGAAGTTCAAAACTGCAGTGTAGAACACCACAGGTTTGTTCTACCACTTTACCTCCTTATGTTGTTTGAAAGGGGGTTTTTGAAGAACATTATAAATTATAGTCCATTCGGTATTATCTGAGAGTGAAATAATTTCAAGAACGCAAACATGTCGGTACATCAAAGAAAGCAACATAGTCGTCTTAAGCAAGTGGCACTATAATTCATCCACAAAGTCACTGAGATATTTTTACCCGCAATGCTCCATGAGGGCGCCACTAAAAAGCCATTAAAACAGTTAGTTGCGACAAAGAACTTCAAAAAAGGCGACCGACGCTTTTTAGCACATCGCGTTGAAGATAGTAAGTAAGGTAGTAAGTAAGTAAGGTAAGTGCAGATAGAAGAAGAAGATAGTGGTCAGACTTGGAATATATCATTTTTCAATGATATATTCTGTATGATGCGAAGGTAATTGAAATATCGTGAAAATTAATTTTGTTTAAATATTTTATTTTGAGGACAATTTATATTTGAAATAGTTTTTTTAGGATTGTTACCTTCTACAGATCTATGAAATAATCAGAATATTTAATTTGAAAATAAATACAAATGTAAAAAAGCAAAAAATTACTGCATTTGATAAATTAGCTGTTTGAAAAAAAATCCAATTTCTAAAATACTTCATAAAATTTCATAAGTTCATAAAATACTCCAAAATTATTTTATGAACTTTCTTGATGTTTTCGTCGGTATCAGCCTCTCTTGGCTTCAACAGTATTGTTTTTCGCCAAAAAGCAATGCTTTCTTAACACACGGAACTCCTTTCTATCCATTTTTTTCAAACTAACAAATGTAGCTTCACTCAAAATGTTCTATTCCACGAACTAATAGTCCAACAGCTGTGAAATTTAAAGGCGTATCTTTTGTAGGTTAGGGTTGACTAAAAATCATATGGATTCGATACTAGTAGCACCATCTATGTGTTAGCCTACGACTCTTTCATCCAATCTAGTAAGTAAGAGATGGCGCTGAATGTTGTAAGTTCAGGTATTGATACATTTGAAATGTTGGGAATAAGGACGAATGAAATAAAGATGAATGGGTTGTTGAAATCATCAAAAATAACATGAGAAATAACAGATTTCAAATCTGTTAACACCTTTTCAGGCCCAACTTTCGAAATCATTTTTACCATGAACCAGCAATATGAAAACACTATTTTCGTTTCACCAACAATACTTTGATTAAAGGTATTTTTATTCTCTTACAAGACCTTGTTTTCGTTTCGATTGTTAATGTATACGTTATCAAGAACGAACTTACACATTTATTCGATACTTGGAACAGAATCTTCCATCGATATTCAGCAATACCTACTTGAGTTCAATATACCTACCTAAATAATTGTTTATGTAGAAACTACATATATACTATGAATTGTTTACACATTGCAAAACAGAGGTGACCTGGGATTTTTTTATTATTAGAACAATAAATGTACTAGAACAGCCTTCAATAAGCAATATATAAAAATAATTTCCTGCAAATGGCTGCTACCGTATTGGTGAAACACCTCACAGAACTCAAATGAAATTCCATCCATATGTGAGAAAAATAGTGCATGAACTTAATAAAGACAACTTCGACCACCTCGTATAAATTTCTGAATATTTCAGCGACATGATAATACAAGAAATTTGATGTACAAGATCTATTTTTCTGATTGATGCTTGTTTCATTTGAATGGTGGAATTGATTTACATAACGTCGATATCAGAGCCTAGAAACTACATTTTAAATGTTTTCGAGAGTATCGATTTAAAAGCTAAAATTGCGAGTTTCAAGTCAAATTTCTTACGTCAATGTAGAAATTCCGAAACTGAATTCTAAATTACGAAATTCAAGTCTAAATTACACGTTGAAGTCGAAATTTATCTTTTTGAATCGAACATTTTGAGGAAAACTAAAAACCAGAACGAATTCGATTTGAACTTGATACTATCAGATTTTATTTTTGTTTTTTTTCTCCGTGAAACCTGATGGTTGTTACTTTTCGGCAAAACTTGCATTGATACAAACTTAACATTTGAACGATTTTGTCGTGCTATTTTAAACGACTTTGTTTAGCTTACCCTGTTTGTTTATTCATTTGATTCCTTTTCTGTTGACAGATTGATCTAAAATTTGGTATACACAATTAGTTTGGTGACAATACAATTTGATAAATTCTATATCATTGAAAATCCAAGACGGCCGCAGCTACAAAATGGCTGATTACATATTTCTTCACAACTACCTCAATATGGGTATCAAATGACAGACAGGGCTTTACTAGTAGAATAGTATATAGTACACTTTGGAAAATGTGCAAATTCAAGATGACCGCTCATTTACTAATGCTTATATGTAATGTTATTCAAGAAGAAGTAACTCTAAACTGAACAAGGGCATTAGCAAATTTTAGCATTGAATTATATCAGGCCTAATGAAATTTGAGTTTGTCAGTAGTGAAAGATTTTTCAGAGTTTTTCTCAAAGTGTGTTCTCAGTGTTTTTTCAGTGTTAGGAATCACACGTTAAAAGGTAAGACCTCGTTAGTCCTTAGCTCGCACAAGTTTCTCAACTTCTGAGAGTTGTCGTTCGTATGGGAGCGGCAGCTGATTAACGGAAAAACAGATTTTAAACCTACATCGATCGGTTGCCGATTGTTTAGCATGAGTGGTTTTTTGTTCTCGTTGAAACAATCACGAAGTTGCTCAATTCTATCAATCACACGTGGAAAGATAAGACCTCTTTTATCTGTAGCTCGCACAAGTTTTGACTTCTTGTTGATTGACGGAAAACAGATTTAGAATTTTTATTGGCGCAGCAAAAATCATTGTTTCGAATAAAATTTTCTCCTTCAGTCTGTAGGGATCCTTCCTATAAAGGATTTATTCAGAAAACCAAATGAACTGAAAGCAGCGTTTTCAGAAAATTTTTTCCGCGATGTTCGGTTTTCAGCGAAATGGAGGTCGTCTCATAGCGCTAGTGAATTTCGATTTCAATAACCAAGGTCGGAGGACCTGGTAGTTATTTAAAATATTACTGTTCGTCTATGTACCATTCAAACACATCTAGTTCACAATTAGAATTGAATGTGCGCTGCAGAATAACGATTGTGGAAGTGGAAAATGTCTCCAGAAACAACGAGCGTTGAAGAAAAGGAAACTTTGACTTGGAAAAAAAGAACAGCATCAATGTATAGAGTACAAAATTCGCTATCGATCAGTATAAACCACGAAGTAGTAGAATAATTGTTTATTTAGATATGGACATACAAAAACAGACGACAATAATACGGATAAAACTTTTGAAAAAACCTGATTAAAATCAACTTTTCTCAGAATTTCAATGATTATTGTCGTTGCAGAAAACGATCTTCTGAAAAGCATTGAAACTAGAGCTGGCTACCTCGAAAGATTTCTGTATGGTACAAACTTCAGTGTGGAAGAGTCGTTCAAGAAGGTAATTCATTTGTATTCATTTTCAGTATCAGTCGCGAGCGAGTATATTTTCCTGTTGTGTTATCGAAAGTTATCGAAAAAATTTACAATTAAAGTCAAATTTCCATTCGAAACAAATGAATATTATCATGTTTATAACCATTTCTCAGGCATATAACGAGTTCACAACCTTCAGTAGAATGGTTAAAGTTAATGAAATGTGCCCTGGAATGTCCGAAACAACCTCAAGATTCAAAATTGAACAATTCACAGATAAGCAACCGTGGAGTTGTCATCTTAACACCAGATATTATTTACTTGTGTTTATCCAATTTATTTACCATTTATTCTGCTGAAGTATATGTTGAGATATTTTGTGAGCTATTTAAACATACCTACTCGTTTATATTTAAATTTTAAAAGATTTTTTTTTCATTTTCAATAAAGAGAATCTAAACTATGTATTGGCCGGTGTGGAAGCAGCTTAGGTTAGGTCCAAAATGAGTGGGTTTATTCGACCCTTCACCGCAACCCGCAAGGGTTTATTGTTGCTCACACGTATTAGTTACTTGAAAATCGTCTAATAAACCGAAACCGGCCGTGACAAATAATAAACTTAGTGGAAATTAGACAAAGGTTATTGACTTTATTCTATATTCCTATGTAAAGACTATATATGACAGAGTATCGGCCAGTTCTATTCAACTCTATATGATGTTAGATTTTTTTGACAAGTAAGGTCCACGCCCTAGTTTATTCTGTATTTTGTCCATTGTAGATCAAAGCATTCCAGGAACTCCAGATGGAGCATCCCGAATGGTGCACCAGAGAAGCGCCGATAGAGAAAAAATCGATTATAGAAATGGATATCAGAATGTTATTGGACGACTATGATAAAGACGGTAGACCGATCTACCTGGTAAAAATGGGTGAGTTTTTCAAAATTAGCCGGTGCTAACTTCATACTCTTGAGGATGCCTTCAATCGGAATGTATAAAACTTATGCTTACTACATCATAATATCTGGCAGATTGAACTTACTTGAAATATACGAGGGTGGTGAAATTAATTTAGGATACTTAAGACGCAGGTACCTATAACAGGTATCTATGGTAAAAATAAAAGAGCTTTGTAAGTATGGTTAGTTTGATCTTCCTCTTGAAGATGGTCAGTTGGTGATCGAAACTCGTGCTGAGGTGTTAAAATAACGGTTTGGTGTTGGAGAAAGACCCCAGTAATATTCATTTGATACCCCATCCACAAAAACAAAAAAAAATTTATATCTCCACAAAGAAATGTCTTTCAAGGAAAATATTATTCCATTTCGTCTGTAAAAATTTTTTTTTACAGTTTGCTCATAATAATACCAATAATACTATTCGTTCTCAATGCCACTTAAAATCAAAAAAACACATATCTTGGTTCCATGCACAGGATCAATTACCTATTATTAACGACTTATGAGAAAATGAAACGCAATTGTTGGTAGTTTGGGAACACATTGTACGTGATTACAGGTCGATTTATGTAGATTACATTAGAGTTTAAACTCAGTTGAATAATAACGTTATGTTCAAACAAGATTAGTTGATGTTTCCCCAACTTTAAGCTAATGATAATTATAGGTTCCGAAAAATAATATTGATGTGATTATGTCTGTTTTATGTGTATAAATAAGCATATGAAGTCTTATCCTAAAGTTCAGTAAAATACACACATCGGAAAAATCTAGGGATATTTTTAAAAATGGCAATAATTTTTTTTTAGATCNATTAGAACGTTGACTTTCAAAAAGCAACAGTAGCCGATCACTAACATCAAAATTGGCAAGGAAAAGAGTTTTAAATTATCGTGTGAATCATGTCTGATTTTTTACATAGGGCAAAGGGAAAGAACATATGAAGCACTCTCAAAAGAACATAGTGGCAGTTTCCAGAATGGAAAAATAAAACTCATCGTATCACTTCTTTGCAGAGAGACATGAGTTCAACTATGAATTCAAACCCCCTTCGTTCATTATTTTTATTAATAGTATATTCAGTCTTTTCAGGTGAAACTAATTACAGGTTTCAACTCTAGATAGTCATCTTTATTATGACGGATAAATTAAATTTTTGCTTTTCCAGGAAATCTGGATGTCAGCAAAATGTCCATGTACGACGTTGTGGCCATAGACGACATTTGGCTTGAATCCATCCTCAGTAAAAACCCGCGGATTACGAAAAACGGATTGTGCGTCCTACTAGACATGGAAAAGTGCAGTTGGAAATTGATGAAATGGCTGAGCCCAGAAAACATCAAAATAGGAGTGAGAAGAACAGAAGCTCTACCTTTCAGCGAGCTGAAGGTGCATCTCGTCAACAATTCCTTTTTTGTAAACACCATCGTTAGAATGGTGTGGCCTTTTTTGTCCGAGAGAATCAAAAACATGGTTGGTACTACTTGATCGAATGATAAGTGTGTTCAGTTTTTGTGGCATCATTTGTTATCACAACACCTCTAATATAATGATCGTTGAAGTTTTTTTACACTGTGGTTCATAATGTCCTTCTTAAAGTACAAACGTTTTCTAGCACTATTATGTCAAGAATAATTGGTCATGAGCGTCAGCTATTTCTATCAACCAAACTTTGCTGCCATCCAAAATTATTTCTTGTACTTTTCTGGTGTTTTCGTCGGTAGCAGTCTTTTTCTCGTATAAATTTAGCAAACCACTGCGCAAAGGTTGATTTTCCTGGTGCAAAGTCCAAATAATATTTACCAAGCCAAGCTTTGGCTTCAAAAAGTAATGCTTCACCAACACACAAAATTCATTTTCAACTACTTTCTTCAGACTCACAAAAGTTGCATCACTAAAAATTGCCAATCTCATAAACTAATAGTCCGATAGCTGTGAAATTTGAACATGTGTCTCTTGAAGGTTAGAGTTAACTAATAATAATATGAATTTAATGCTAGTAGCGCCATCTGTGTGTTAGCCTAAGAACTTCGCATCTAATCTAATATATATGTTACGGGAAAAGCTGGAAGATGGAGTAAATCGAGATTTACCCGGTTTAACTTAGTAAAGTTCGAATAATGAGTAAAATAAAATTCAATTCGGGATTTCTCCATACTCACCTATAGGTCTACCCAAAACTGACTGGGTAATGTTGAAAATTAATCTAGTTAATTAATGGAATTAAAATCAAAGGGCATTTCAAACTGTTATTATTAATAAAACCTACCAAGACGAACATAATCGCTTGTAGAGCTAAAACATATAGCGGGCAGGAACATGATACATTTAATAGCACAAACATAATGAAATTTTGTATGACAATCAGTTCATAAACGTACTGCTTCAGATAATGTAATCAAAATTGGCATTTGTGGCAACTGTGGCATTTTGAATTGCATTAGTTCCTGGCGCACTTTTGTTAATGAACCTATAATGTAAATAAGAATGTTTAATAGCACAATTAAAATATAACCTCACCTAACCTTGAGCATATTCAAAAGTTGAATTAAAACAGTTGCTTAATCTTGAGTATATTCAACAGTTACTTGAGCATATTCAACAGTTAAATTAAAACAGTTGCTTAACCTAACCTAACCTTGAGCAAATTTAAAAGTTAAATTAAAACCGTTGCTCAACCTAACTAACCTACAGCATATTTAAAAGTTGAACTAAAACAAGTTGCTTAACCTAACCTAAAGCATATTTAAAAGTTGAATCAAATTAGTTGCTTAACCTACCCTAACCTTGAGCATATTTAAAAGTTAAATTAAAACAAGTTGCTTAACCTAACCTACCCTAGAGCATATTTAAAAGTTGAATCAAAATAGTTGCTTAACCTACTCTAACCTTGAGCATATTTAAAAGTTAAATTGAAACAGTTGCTTAACCTAAGCTAACCTAAAGCATATTTTAAAGTTAAATTAAAACAGTTGCTTAACCTAACTAAACCTTTATAAGTGCGCCAGGACCTAAACTAGGCAATGTCACTGACATTGCCGGGTCCTAGGTAAATATGAATAAAGTCCAAATTAAAATTTAATCACTTATTATTCGGATTTTACCCAAAAATCTTGGGTATTACTAAGTCAATCCGGTTACACTTATGTTTACTCCATCTTCTAGCAATACCCGTAACGTATATACGTATTAAATATCATTTTCTAAGGTTAAAATCACGTCTTCGAGGTTGTAAATGTCTTTTTTCTTCAGGTCATATTCCACCCCAACGATTGGAATTCCCTTTACAAGTACATCGACCAAGAAGTGCTACCGACGGAATACGGGGGTGCCAAAAATATCAACTACACCGAGTTGTATAAAAAACTCTTTCAGAGGAACGATGAAATTTTCCGTAGTTTCCAGTCGTACAGGAAGACTGAAACGTTGTAGTAGATGAGAAGTATTTAAGGCAAATATATTGTTGATATTTTGTTATATAGAGTCTTCTTTAAACTGTAGTATAGTCTATCCATTCCCAATTGGAACGGCAATAAAAATAAGAGTACAGTCATAAACATGTCTTGCCTGTGATCGCCCAGATAGTTAGTAAACGTACGCTATCAAATGTAGTTGAGGAATAAAGGCTCGGCTAGCTGGACTGGCTGAATACTAATTTTTTGTCCGTTTCACAATATTTCTTTATCAGTGTCGTGTGTTCGTGGGGTTAGGTGAGGTAGTGAGTGGTTTTGCAAACCGATTTTTGAAAACTTTTTCTAGAGATCAATTACCCTAACACCAAACTGATATTTTTGCACTCGACACGCGTTTCGCTAACAAGGTAAGCATCTTCAGGAGAAGCAAATTGATACTGAATCTAAAGACAAGGGTTAGCTGTTTATATACCTAAAGTTTTTTGGTCCGATGTGGATTTTGTTTGTTAAATGATGATTATCCTAATTGATTTTTCGGTAATTAACTAGTGGAACCACTACCTGCAAATTAATTTGTCCGCTTTTTAATCTTTTGTTGACCTTCAAAGTTCTGAAAAGGGCAACTTTTCAGCCTTCTTTTTCACAAAATAAATTATTTTAAAATACAAGAATCTATTCACTAGGTCACCTTTACACCTTATTCCTCCTTCTTTGACACTTTTCACTTCAATAATGTACATTTTTTCAATAAAAATGTTAATAAATGTACGGAGCTGCTTTTTGGTTACATATCTCTGTATTTAAGGTTAATGGCATGGTTGGTACGACTGATTCCTAAAGTAATTCAAATGTTTTTTACCTTCATTAGAGATTGTAAATTGGTTTTTGGTGGTGTATTGCGAATTTGAAATAGTAGGCGACGGCAAATACCAACCGCTTTTTTAACTAACCTACAAATAGAAGAATGTCACCAGGAGAAGCATTCGTTTTTAAATTGAGTTTTTTATAAGAAAAATGTTGATTATTGAAGTGAAAAGTGTCAAAGAAGGACGAATAAGGTGTAAAGGTGACCGAGTGAATAAATGCTTGTTTTTAAATAGTTTATTTTGTGAAAAAGAAGGCTGAAAAGTTGCCCTTTTCTGAACTTTGAAGGGCCGTAACTTTGTAAATAAGGGAGAGCGCCGCTTTTCTCTTCCGGATTCGTAATCTACGCATCAAAATACGTAAGTACACGCAATTTTTTTTTTCAAAATAGCCGGGTGTCCTCAAAACGAAAATTTACCAGAAGGACTGTCAACCTCATCACTACGAAAAATTCATCGCCATATTCGGTTTTCAGCAAAGCCAAGGCCGGCACAGCGCCAGTCAATCTCAGTTCTCGTTTTTTATTACGGTAATCAAGCAAGGTCGGTGAAACAGGTAGTGATTTGAAACGCCACTGAACAGGTTGATAAATCAAATGAACAAATCTAGTTTACAGTTGGATTCGAAGTGTGCCGTATACATTTCAAAATGCCACCGGACAGGACTAACGTGGAAGAAAAGGAATCGTTGAGCGACGAACAGAAACAGGATAGATTTGTTGAACTCCGGAACTTGATTCAAGGTAGGCGGCAGATGTATCAGAACTTTTCCAAACAACATTGCCTAGATAAATCTACCGGTTGTTTTCTTATGAACAGGCTGTGTTATTTTTAAAGGGTACAAGGGGACTAATGTCAATCTCTAATAACGAATCGTTTCTTTCGATTACTCAAACAACTATAACTATTTCAGGAATGTGTGTTTTACAATCTGGTCAAAGGTTCATTTTGAAACGAAACGTTGTGTGAGATGTACATGCAGATTTGTACATCAAGTTACTGTAGCAACATGTTCTACAGCAGAGTTTGTAGGAAAAAAACATCGATTTTGTCTTTTTGTTGCAACAAATTTCAACGCGAAAGAGTGGTCATTTCGTCACTGATTCAAGATCTATAATTATTACCATTTCAGGAGAAGAACTTCTAAAAAATATCGATACTGGTGATAACTTCTTGGAGAGATATTTCTACGGTACAAACTTCAGCGTCGAAGATTCATTTAAAAAGGTAAAGTGACACAAATTAACTTGATAATTTGTATTCAGTTTCAGTGCCATTCGCGAGCGAACTTTCCGTTTGTTGCGTTCGAATATTCCGTATCAATTCATTTTAATGAAAATATAGTACCGAGGAAGCTACGAAATAAGCGAAACGCGTCTGTAATAAAAATCTATTTGTAAAAATTGCTCAATCATCTTGCATAGTTATATACAGTTAATATTGTTAAAAAAGGGTGCAGACGCAGAATAATAATATTTCATTTCTTTACCATCTTCTCAACTATACAGGGTGTAACTGAATAAGTGTAAAACGTAATTTATTTGGTTTACCCCATGGTTGTAAGGGGTGGAAAACGCAACCCCTAAAATTGATTTCCAATGTAACTTTTTGTCTTATTTGTTTACCATTCAAAAATGTATTTTCGATAGCCTGTTCCATTCTAAACAAAAAATGTCTCTTCCTAAAATAATTTTTTGTTGCGAACTGGTTCATTTTGGGCAAAAAACCCAAGAGACATTTTTTGTTTTGAATGAAACAGGCTAAACAGAATAAATTTCTGGCTAAGTGTCTTTTTGGTAATACAAAACATCAGGTTAATTTCAATATTGTAACTTTTTTAGTGCTTGTTAAAAAAATTGTTATATAAATTTTATGTACCCCCTTTAAGGGGCTGTATCTTAACAAGGGATGCTCCAATTAAATTTCTTTATATGAAAGATCCTACAGAGTTAGATGGAATGAACATTAGATGAACAATTGACGCTTTTGTGATCATTTTTGTCTGTTTCGTTGTTTTTGAATTTTGTATGCCATCGTCTCTTGAAATTTTGGCTCGACGTTTCGCCAGTGCGAGTGACTGGCATCTTCAGAGGTCTGTGTTATCGCTTCCAAGGTCGCAGGTACACTCGGGCACATTTTCCCGGAAAATTCTCAAAAACCCGATAGAACATATAATAGTCCAGTTCCCAGAGACCAAAAAAGTGGTTCCCCTTACAAAAGATGGGGTAGAAGATTTTTTTTTTTTTCGTTTTAATGGGTATAAAGAGTGAAATATAAAAAATCTGACTAAATTTGGGCTCGGCACAACTTTTGGTAGCCAAAAAACCTCGAAATTTTCGGACATTTTTGGTTTTTTTTGCAATATCTCGAAAAGGAGTGGTTCTAGCGGAAAACAGTCCCCATATAAAGTTGTAGAGCATTAAATTCTCTACAAATTTCATAAACATTTTTTTCTTCTACGACCAATGGGGAGCTAGCTACAGCATCTCAAAAATGGACCATTTTTCTCAAAATGGTAAAAAATCAAATAGCGTCTTCTTTTGTGTGTGTTATTGCGACCCATGCATTCTTTGGTTGTATTTTCGAATTATATTTGAGAAATCATACCGTACAATCCTTGGACTTGAATACATTTGATACAATTTCAAGTAAAGTAACAATCCATATAAAAGTGCCCGATATAAATCATTTTCAAAAAAATTCTACGGAGAAATTTCACTTTGCTTATGCTTCGTACCCAGATTCACGATGTTTTTTTCATCTTGCATTTGTACTGCTTCTAAACAAGTTCGATTTATATTTTTGCGTTTGTTTGAAGTTATATTTTTGCATTAAAGTTGAAGGCATTCAGAGAACTCCAGATAGAGAAGCCGGAATGGTTCACCAAAGAAGCACCACTAGATAAAAAACCGATTATTGAAATGAACGCCAGAATCCTATTGGATGAGTGTGACAAAGAAGGAAGGCCTATCTACCTAGCGAAAATGGGTGAGTTATACATACATATTAGTCTAATAACTAAGAACTACTAACCGCATACCGGAGAGGGAAGCCGAAAGATCAAATTGACGTGGTCACAAGTTTGTATATGATAATCCAGGACAAAGATTTTAGAACCTTGGTGGAGACTAATCTGTCACAAACGATGGACTGGAATGGCAGAAAAACTGGGCGTCAGCCACCATGAGATTTTAGATAGTTTAAATCGTATTGAAAAGGTCAAAAAGCTAGAAAAGTGGGGGCTCCACGATTTGGACGATTGACAGAAATTTTCACATTTGGAGTCCTGTTCTTCTTTGCTTTTGCGCAACCAAAACAGTACGAAAACTTCAACATGGTTATGTTATGGTTCAGAGGGTAGGTAGTAATAATGTGCATGAAAAGCTTTTGAGAACTACTGAAAATTCTTTTTGACAAACACCTAGTTCATCTACTTGTCATCAGGAAATTTGTACAATTTCTGCTAAAGTTAAGAAAACCAGAAAAGTTTTCTTTGCTAGTGTTTTCTAATGTGAAGAATTTACTGAAGGAAAACATTTTGTTTAAATATGAAATATGAATGGACATGATTCATGTTACATAAATTGAATAGAAAAATAGTTCCAAAGGTATTAGATAATTGTTGAGAATGAATTATATGTGATTTCCAGTCGAATTACCTTTATTACATTGAAACTTGAAATTTATGTTGGTAATTAAGTTGTTCAAGCAATCATTGATATTTATTACACTCTATATAGATTTTGACAGTCAATTATTTCAATTATATATCAGTGATAGTTGATTTCAACTTTTTTCGTGTAACATGGGGTTCAAGTTTGAGAATTCAAACATATATTGAAAATACTGAATTATAATGAATAAAAATGAAGGCAATGAAGACACAGTTTGATTCGCCCTGTCAAAATATTATCTCCGCTAAAATTACGTAATTCTGACTCAAGAGTTTTGGACTAATGTTTACGTTTTCAGGAAATATTGATGTCAACAAAATGAGCATGTACGACGTGTTGGCTTTGGATGATCTGTGGCTGGAATTCGTTCTTACCAAAAACCCGCGCGTTACAAAAAATGGCTTTTGCATGATAATGGACATGGAAAATTGTAGTTGGAAGTTGGTGAAATGGATGAGTCCAGAAAACGTGAAGATAGGAGTAAAAAAACTCGAAGCTCTCCCTTTTAATGTGTTGAAAGTGCATGTGGTCAATAATTCTTTTGTCGTAAACACAATCGTGAGAATGATGTGGCCGTTTCTGCCCGAGAAAATTAAGAATATGGTACGTACTAAACAGTTGCATTTCGATGAAAAATTGCAAAAATGTCAAACTTATAGAGCGAAAACAACTTATTACCAAAAATTACATGTAATGTTTCTTAATCTACAAAAACTGTTGAAAGTGACTACCCCCCGCTCGGTTAAAAGAATCCAAAATCTTCTCCTCATCAACTCCCGAACTTTTTCAAAAACTCCAGGATAGTTTCTGATCGCGTTACACCCAGCAATGATCCGGTTATGTAAGTAAATAAAACAAATACGAGGGTTACTTTTTATATATTGACATTGAGGCAGGTCTTAATATAAATATAAGTTTACCTGATGGATTTGTTAATCCAGTGGATAGTCCATTAAGAAAGGCTCTTCTAGATGAGGTCACAGTTTCATCGACCCATAATTTATGGGTAGTATGACCAGCATTAACCCAGGTTCCATCCATATAATAAATTGTTCTCTGTTGTTCCCTATAATATTTAATTTTGGTCAAATAACACAATTTCCTTTCTATCCAATAATAAACTAGTGCGCCCTCGTTTTTCCCATACAAAATTCAAATGTTTCAATACTTTATGAAATGTTGACAGCTTAAAACTTGGCAATAAAACATCTTCATTTATTTCTGCGAGTACTTTGTCTATCGTGGGTATTTCATTTCTGAAAAAGTACTCATGCACTTTCCTCCTGATTGCATGTTTATCAGCATCATCTATTGATTTTATAATGGTTTGACGATTCTGATTTGTATTTGGTTTGGAAAATGTATGATTTTGTTTATATTCCCGTAAAACATTGTAAATCGATGCGCAACACACTCCAATTATATCGGAAACATTCGATACGACTTCGTCGACAGTCGATGTCTCAATTTCTTCCATCTCTTTCTTGAACACATTTAAAATCACTTCTTTCATCTCAACACTCAAATGTCTTTTTTTGGATCGTTTCCTGGCTGGACTCAGAGGATAGCTCACAGTGTCATCAGCAGTGTCTGTACTGGACATCTTGGAAAACAATTTTAAACAATATACTATAACACACGCCAGACAAACACGCAAACGACTGATTACAACCCTGTGCTGGTACCGAACTCGTACCAAGAAGGCGAATTCACCAATGAACGCTGCCCTTTCCATCTGACACTGGGCGATCACGTTAACTTCACGCTTCGGTTTTGTTTTGTTTTGTTTTACTCTATCTTGGATTTGGATAGACGGCATTTTTCGGAATCAACATTTTGTAAGAGCTCCTCAAACACTATTTCGACATCTTTCATTTTGAATGTCGTGTTTCTTGTTACATCGAAACCCTTTACTTGAAACCAAACGTGTTCAAGGGGATTGAGTATTGAGTCATGGATTCACGAGTCGTGGATTCATGAGTCGTGGATTCACGAGTCATGAATTCATGAGTTATGGGTTCATGATTCATAAGTCATTTAGATCGGTTTCCTGTATTTTTTTCAGGTTGTGTTTCATTTCAACGACTGGGAAGTTCTTTACCAGCACATCGATCAAGAGAAGCTGCCCATTGAATATGGAGGTATCAAAAAGATAGACTATAGTGAACTGTATGAAAAACTGTTTCAGATGAACGACGAGATTTTCAGAAGTTTCGCATCGTACAGAACGATTGAAAATACGTAGTGGGTGAAAAGCATTGAAAAATAATGTTGTTCTTATTTTAAGGGTGTTATCGATTGAAATATTTTAACTGTAATCAAATTTTCGTTTTAATATACTTATCAAATCACGACGATCTTTCATTTCTTCTTTGACAAGCCTCTTATCCAAAGATCCTGTACAAATTGCTTTCTTGATAATTCTTGATTTTGCCAGTGGTTCCTAAATTATTTGTGAAACAAGCTAGTTTTTGCGATATCTTCCGTACTATAGAATTTATGTATGAGATATTTTTTGTAGAACTCACTAACTCATTCAGTTTGGCGGTTTTCTTAATAGTGCTGGAAAAACACCTCCAATAATTCGATTTTACTCAAACTAGGAGAGTCTAGAGATTCTTATAGGCTCAACAGATCGTTGACATTTCAATTCGATATCTTGTTTTTTTCGGGAGCTATGGTTAGCCATAGTTTAGCGAACCCCCGACAGACAGATGGTCAAATGAATGGACAACAGACAGACGACTACTCTTCAAAGGTTGTATACAACAATTATTTGATAACGTTATTGAAAGGATTATGAATATTTTGGAATGAACCACTTCTAGCAGATTTGAGCCGGACCCTGAAACTCATCTTATAGTGCACGTTAAAAGCCTAAAACTACAGATTACATCAACGGGAAATGTTCCTCCTGACGAAAATCAAGTAGTTTTCATAAAAGAGCTCTAAAACAAAGCATTTTAAACTTATCATTTCAACCTTTTTCTTTAAAAAATTATTTGAATGCTTAAAAAAGAGGAATGAAATAATGCATTCAACATTTAAAGGGATTCGTTTCTATTTTATTATTTGGCAACATCGGTTATAGCTAATAAAGGACAATGAATCTGTTACCTGTATGAGACAAACAAAGATGACATATTTCAGAGGCGTGCTGTTCTGTTTACTTTACAATATTGATAATAAATACAAATAGCAAAAAACCCATAGGAAATGAGATATTTACACAAAAAGCGCAAGAAACCAATTTTTGTGACCTTTGACCTTGAAATTTAATAGTTGCGTACACCCTACTATATGTAGGTTTTCAGACAACTTTTAGAGTGTCAATATACAAGTATTTACTGACTTACAGCTGGGTATCTCGAATTCCGAGATTCTTACCTAATTTAAGCTTAAATGAGTGGACTGTAATGTCTTTCGCCGATCGTGCCATGGTGCCATGTTTACCTTGAATAAGTAAGGTCTAATAGATGGGCGCAGTTTTGATGAGTGAGAGAAGCGTTTTCGTTGGATTCCAATCATTAGCTTTCTAGAGATAAGAAAAGGATAGAGACAAAATATTACTTTAATTTTCTAACAAATCTGCCGTAATAATTCAGCTTACTCGCCATAGATCGAGCACCGGTCTCATTGGAACACCACCCCGTAGATGTTCCAAAATAATAGCCGTAGTTTAGCAACAAAACACTTCCGAAGCATCTGACAACGTCATTCAAAAACCAAAAAAGTCAAGACGAAACCCGAACCGAATTTCCCCCGACATGGACTGGCTCGCGTCCCTGCTACCCTCCGACTTCGGATCCCACTACTACTTCTTCGCGGTGGCGGTCATCGTGCTCGGCGGACTCTACCTGAACGACCTCTGCAACGGCGAGAACACCATCCAGGGCGACGCCAACCTCATCTTCTACGGGTACAGCGCTCACGACGGACCCGCCGTCTGGATGCGGCATTTCGCGACCGCCGCCGAAGGGAAGGCACAGTCGCCGATCAACTTGAAGGAGAAGTACGCCGTCGTCGTGCCGACGGAGACGTCGCCGCCGCTAGTCTTCTCTGCAGACTTCCATGCCGCCCCCGCCGAGATGAAGATCTACAACAACAGCCACAACGTCGTCGTGTACGCGGCGTGGCCGAGCGGGAGGTCGCCCTCGCTGGTGGGGGGACCGCTCGCGGAGGACTACAGCTTCGTGAACGCGAGGTTCCGGTGGGGGCCCAATGATCACGAGGGCTCGGAGCATATGGTCAACTCCACCAGGTTAGAAATATAGATAATTTGATCTTGGAAGAGTATATAGGTAACTAAAAGTATGGCCGAAAGTTATGAGCACGAGCTCAATAATATGATTGTTGTGAAAAAAGCTTTATTATCAACATTTAGTCCCAAAAATTTCGTTCTTGTGACATTAGTGGAGATCGTAGGAAAACCAAATGATATATATTCACAGGTTCTTTGCGGGATATAAAATTTAAGGCATTTTGTTTCATCAATATTCAGAAAAAGACGATTTGCCGGGATAAAGTTTCCTCACAGTTTTCCGTTATAGAACTATCTCGGGTACTGGAAATTATAAGTGAGGTGTCATCTGCATACATAGTGAAGGATGCTGGTACAGGGAGCTTATCAATGTCGTTGATGTAAATTATGAATAGAAAAGGGCCAAGTACTGACCCTCGTGGGACACCCAAGTCGTTTTTTCATGTACTCAGATGACTCATTTTTAATTGAGACATACTGCCATCTGTCACAAAGATATGACCGTATCCAATCCAGAGGTGTACCCCTCACACCATAGGGATAGAGTTTATCCAAAAGAATTCTGTGATTTACACAGTCAAATGCCCTGCTGAGATCACAATAAATCCCAACAGGACATTCGCCTGCCTCAATGTAATCCACTAGTTTATGATAGTAGGAATACAGAAGGAATACAGCTTTCGCGGCTGAGGTTTTCAGTGTCACTGTTTTTCGCGGTTGAAAGCCGTGGATTTTTGGGATTTCTTCCTGACGTTTCGCTGGCGCGAGTGGCTAGCTTCTTCAGAGATTTAACCATCATGGCTTGCTGTCAGATGACTAACTTTTAGGCTTCATAAAGAATATTTATGCCTTGTCGGGTAATCAGTTGTACAGGTACAAGTACAGGTACAAATACAGGTATCAATTGATTACGCTTTACGAAGCCTAAAAGTTAGTCATCGGACAGCAAGCCATGATGGTTAAATCTCTGAAGAAGCTAGCCACTCGCGCCAGCGAAACGTCAGGAAGAAATTTCAAAAATCCACGGCTTTCCAACTCGAAAAACAGTGACGCTGAAAATAAAAGTACTGTTGATGAAGATAAATGGAAATAAAGTTGAGAATTTTTATTGAATATGTGAAAAATTTGATGAATATTTCATAAATGTTGGTTCTTGTTCATCAGAAGTTATCGCTTCTGATGAAATCAAAGGTTTCTACAATTTACCAGAAAGTCGCAATTATGAAATGTTTTAACTGAGTTTAAGAAATGCCCGAATTTGACAATATAATTATGGAAATTATTAAAGAGGTTATATTAGAATTAGCAACTGTAATGAGAAACTCAGTCAATTTATCCTTTCTCATTAGCATAGTACCTGGTAAAATGGAGTCGAACTGAGAAAACTACCAAATTATCACCAAATTACGGTTTTCAGTGTAGGTAGTCAAAAAAATAAAAATTGCTGAAGTGAAACCAATATTCAAAATAGGAAAAAACGATCAAATTGTCATTTATAGTTTTTTCCAAAGTTATCGAGAAAGTAATGCGTTTCGGATTATTTGAATATCTTGAGGAATCAAAATCCCCTATATCTTAAAAGCACGCCCTACGCCCTTCATAATAAAGGGTTATCACACTAAATAATCCCCTTGATCGTGCTGGGACTCGTATTTGAGTTTTAGAGGTAGGCACATGATCAGTTTCAAGTTACAAAGTTAGTTTCTGTCGTGTAGAATGTTAAATAAATTTGATTTCATGGTCAAACTCATGATCAGTCAATTTTATTGCATTGATTCATTAAGTTTTTTTAATCAATTTTATCCTAACAAATGTCAAACAGCTTTTTTCATGATCATTCTATTGTTATTTTATCAATTAACCTTCTAATTTTTCACCAATAAAATTCAAGGCAGCCATCGAGTTTTGAAAACTCGCGACACTCAAAAATAATTGATCTCATGAACGTTGGAAGTTTCTGCCTCACGTTGATTCAAAAACGAGTTCGATAAATCACGCCCTCCAATCAGAAATCCTAAATACACCATTGGAAATTGTCAATAAGAATGTTGTTCTCCCGGCAGTAAAGTATCTATTTCTCCCCCGTCCAGGTTCGCCATGGAGCTACAGGCGGCCTTCGTCAAGACCTCCTTCGGCAGCGAGGACATCCTGGAAGCTGCCAGTAGCGGCGCCCTGCTCATGCTCAGCTACCTATTCATGGTTACGCCTCTAGACAATCCTTACTTGGAACCCATCATCGGCTCTTTGAAGTACCTGCGGTACCCGATGAGCTGCATCTGCATCGAGCCCGTCATCCTCTCGCTGCTGATGCCCGACTTCTCCAGGGAGTACTACAGCTACTCGGGCTCGCTCACGTTCCCGCCCTGCACGGAGGGGGTCACGTGGATCGTCAAACCCGAGCCCCTGATGATCTCTTCGAGGCAGATCAAACAGTTCCGGAAGCTGCACGGCTGCCGGGGCAGGATCGAAACCAACACGAGACCGGTGCAGAAGATTGAGGACAGAGACGTATTTTATTACGACTGATATAAATGCGATTTCTTCGTATGCTCTTGTTGTTTTTTATTTCACGCTACACTCTTAACATTCACCCTAATAAGTTGGCTGGAATCATACTAGTTGGAACCTATAAAACACTCTCTCACAGCCATTATCACTTTCATCATGATGGATATAAAAAACAAAAATACGGCAGGCTACGATGACATTTCGATCAAAATAATACAAAACCTTCCTCATAGTGCCCTAAATGAACTGGTCTCACTAGTAGATGAACAAGGCGGATTCTGGACCACTTGGGAGTGGGGGGAAACGTCATCGAAATCGACGCAGGATGGAACGAGTATCGTAGCGATTTAAGCATATTCCCCTTTTTTCTAAAAACCTCTGTGGTTATTCCTCTGCATAAGGGCGGAGATTCTGATAATCCCTCTAATCTCCGCCCAATATCTCTCATACCATTGCAAAAATCATTGAAAAACTAGTTAAAAACGACTACTTGGATTCATAAATAAGCATAACATCATCAGTGAAAATCAATTCGGCTTCCAGAATGATAAAAATACGCACGATGCGTATTTTTATTATATAAAATAAAGTTTATTCTGAGATAAATGTCGGTAAAAAGACTGCCGGAGTATTTTGTGACCTCTCAAAGGCATTCGACTGCGTTGATCACAAAATACTGCTGAGAAAGCTCCAACGTTATGGATGCAAAGGAGTAACTCACAAATGGTTCGATTCCTACTTAATGGGACGAACGCAAATGGTCAAAACATCTACACTTTCAAAAAAAGGGAAATTAATTCTGGAGTTCCACAAGGTTCTGTGTTNTATGTTCTATCGGGTTTTTGAGAATTTTCTGGGAAAATGTGTCCGAGTGTACCTGCGACCTTGGAAGCGATAACACAGACCTCTGAAGATGCCAGTCACTCGCACTGGCGAAACGTCGAGCCAAAATTTCAAGAGACGATGGCATACAAAATTTAAAAACAACGAAATAGACAAAAATGATCACAAAAGCGTCAATTGTTGATGTTGTTGAGGGCGATTTATTGATGTTTGAGTCAAAGCATTCTGTTTGAAGAATATTTTGAGTAAATATGAGACCCCATTCCATCTAACTCTGTAGGATTTTCAAAAAAATTCTACAGAGAAACTTCACTTTGCTTATGCTTCGTACCCAGATTCACGATGTTTTTTTCATCTTGCATTTGTATTCTTATGATAATAAAGCATATTATTATTATCAGTTTTGAGGGTCATCGCGTCATTGCGTTATGGAATTTGTTCCTGACGTTTCGCTAGTAAGCTAGTACACAGAGGTGCTTACATCACAAATGCTAAAAAACGCTAACATTTGGATCAAATAAAAAAAGCCCGTTTCTCAATCACCAGGACTACAATACTCCAAACAACTGAATAAAATGTAGTAATGTATTTGGATCCATTACTAGGAATTACTTAATTAACCTGCAAGATGATAATATAGTTGTTGGGGTTTTTGTAGGAAAACCTTATGGAATTCTGTGTTCATTCTATAAAAGAGAGCAATCAGTTATTTGTACAAGGCCAAAGCAAGGGATCACTGTAGACCACTATTCATCAAGCATCAAATTCTTACGCTTACATGCCTTTTCATTATGGAGACTGTATGCTTGATTCACAACCGACATTTATCGAATGATAACCCATTAAATCCCAGGCACACCAGAAATAACTGCCATATCTCCCTGCCAATACCTAGGTCGACTCAAATTAAAAATTCAATAATATACGAAAGCAAAAAAATGTACAATCATTTGCCTGAACATTTTAAAGCAATCGGAAATAAAAAAAAATACAGGAAGGAGATAAAAGTATTTCTCATTTCAAAAGCGTATTATGACCTGCAGGAATATTACAATGACCATTTTTAATCATTTATATTTGCATAAAGATATAGGTATNAAGAACTGCATAGAATGTACAAACTCGACACTTTCAGATTATTCATTTTAGCCGAAAACCTACAGTTTGTAAAAAACTTGATAAAAGATTAGTTACCTTTTTTGCAGGCTTTGTTCAACCCATAGAAATCTACAGGGTGGTCGAGTGTACCAATTTAATAAAAATTAAACGACCTCATGCATTTATTTTTTGATACTTAGTATGTTATAAAAATATCCCTAGACTTTTCATATTTTTTTGTCTCTCATATGTATTGGACATAGTGAGTGAGTGAGAGAGTGAGCTCGAACAGATTTTAAACAGAACAGATTAGGTGTGGAAGTTTAGTATTAGTGTAACAATTTTTACCTATCATATTATTAACCATTTTCCGGCCGATTTCTGATTTGTTGTTAGAGTCGCTGATTTTAGTTTTGCCTTCATAATTATTAAAGTACATTTAGAAACACATTGAATTAGTAAATTCCCTAACATTATCCAGACATCTTGAATTTTGATGACCGTAGTTAACGACTGATAGAATCATGGACGCAAAAATAAAAGGGACACAGTTGTTTACCTCATTAAGTGAAGTCAGCGGTCAGGAACAATCTGAGGTCATACTGTTTTAGCTGGGCCTTAACTTTATTGCCACAGAGTTTCACTCCGTAAGTAAAAAATCGACATCAAACATTCCAGAATCTAAACTAATGCAATGTGCTTTGAAAACCCTGTTTTAGGTTTCCAATTCGTTAACCCACCCTCAACAATTATAAAATCCTAACCACCTCACCAGTTTATATTCTCAAATGTGTTGTTTGCCACGGAGAAGCTATCACTTTGTTGTGTCAACGTCCACGATACAGTAACGTCTTAAGAAAATCGCAGCATGTCAATCTATAAAAACCCTCCACATTGAGCGAGTTTCGTCTAGTTTATATATGAAAAAATACGTGGACTGTTCAAAAAATGAGGTGAATGTTTAAATTTCAATGGCTACGTACATTTGATTAGCAACTTTTCACAGTTTCAGCTGTTTAGCATGTTTAGTTTGTTGGTGAGAGGCATAAAAGTTAGAAGTGTTTTGCGTGTTATGTAATTTTCTGCTATAGATAAACTGGATCAAATAATTTGCATCTAATTTTGTGTGAAAAATTCAGTTGAGTGTTCAAAAACACTTGAGATGTTGACAGTGGCATACGGTGATTGTACTCAGATTGTACTTGAGTCAGAAACCTCTTTACAAGTGGTATGAGCTTTTCATAGATGGTAGATTGTTATTTTTTCCTTTGACTGTCAACCCTTGGATTATATCAGATTGTTCCTTCTATCTTTGGTGCACAATGGTGAATTTATTTGATTACATCGAGCCGATGAATCTGTCAGCTGTCATAAGTTCTTTAGTTGTGGGTGCTAATTGAGGTTATACAAATGAAAACAAAGTTTGAATTCGTAACTTTCAGAAGTATTTCGGCAGCGATTGTTATTTATTTCTTTAGTGGTGTGATATGGCTTAAAATATTGGGAACTTGTTTGTATTCAAGGAAAGTAAATACGCAAGAAAATGGTCTGCTTTGATAATAATAGCATCCTGTTACATGTCAACTCCAGTCACTCTTCCTTTTTACACCAAAAATCATATTCAAAGGATTCATCTTGAACTAGTTAGCTTTCATGATTATTCCCTGAAATTATGTTGCAGATCAGTGCCGATGATGAAAATTTAAAGTATAGGAACGGGTCTGGATAATGGTTATCATGTCTGAGAAAGAAAATAATGAAATATAGTGGCACTGGTGGATTCTGAGAAGAAAAATTGAAAGAAGAATCGAGACTTTAATGTACATACAGAATATAACACATACAAATATAAAACAATATAAAAATCTAACAGTAAATATATGTCCGATGCATTCAACTGAAATATACTACTGACATCATCACCTAGTCAACAAATAATTTCCCGTGGAAACAATTGATTTCGCATATACATTAGAAAAAAATAAGTTGTGATAATACTAGATGGCAAACATAAAAATTCACACGAAAATAAATAATAGAGAATTTGATTCGTCCTTTTGAATTTTCGAAAAGGATTACGATAATTGATGCTTTGTGAGTTTGTTGGAATGAAAAGACAAGGCAAATAGACGTCAAATTTCAAAAGTTGCCCAAATTATTCAGGCTCTCAGTCTCGTACTAACATAATAGGCATTTCATTAATCAAAAAAAAAACCCGAAAGATTTGTAGCAATTTCAGGCCCTTCACCAATATTTCTGGTAGAATTTTCACTTCAACAAACGTCTCAAGTTCACGGCATGGTTTACAAATACTTTCCTATATACAAGTCTTAGTGAATAAACGAAGTTTCAGAAAGGGGCAAGATTTTCACTGAAACATTGCACCAAAAATTGCACCTATAAAGTATTTGATCATATAAAATGATACATTAACTTATTGAAAATAGAGAAAGGGTCTCAAGTTAAGAGCCAAGCTTCCTGAATCGAAAACAAGTCTAAAAATCTGACTATATACCCAAATTAAAATTTAATTCAAAAGTTGGGTACACTCTAAAGCAGAAAAATTGTATCCGTTAGGAACTTCATGATCAATGGGTTGCTTGAAACTCAGAAGCAAGGCTTGCCAAAATATAGGAAAAGAAGAGAGGACCTGTTATCACAGAAGTGGATCGGTTTGGTGTGGAGGAATAGCAAAAAACCTAAAGGCAGGTATTGGAAAGAGAGAAGAGCCAATTTGATGAATTAGCAAAGTAGTTGTACCGCTTTGAGCAAATTTTCGAAAAAAGGCTTACGTATTTGCGATCACGAATCAAGTCGAGACTTGGCCTACTTTTGAGAATACGCGAGTCAAAAAACTGAGTGTTCGGGAACTCATATCTCTTCACAATCACATGCTGCAGATTCTTCTTCCTTTGCCACTCGACTTTTTTTTTTCATTTTTTTACATTCAATTTAATCAAAATTGTATCTTGTGTTAATAATCTCACAATAAAGTGTCAATGAATTGACATAGACAAAAATAGAAAAGATGGGAAATGACACCGTCTTTTTTGTCATTCAGAATATGTCTCCCAATGTATCTTTGTGTGTCTCGAATCTCGATAATCATTGATATTCTAGGATTTAGTTCTCTATCGATCCCATAGAAGGCGTCATCGTTTTTTCTTAATCAGGCTTGTTCTTCAGGGACAGATGAGTCCAGCAATGCATTCGTGGTTCAGCCTAGCACCACTGCTGCGACTTTTGGTGGGTCGTAACAGCGCTGTCTGGTGTTAAATCATAAATGTTTTGTGCTTCAGCTCTGATATTCAGCTAGTTGCCTTGTAGTGGAGACAGAGGACGAATCTTATCGGCGGTTGATGTCGAAGCCCGGCTTCGCAAGTGACTGCCGTAGGAAGCATCGTGCATCTTTGATATTTGAAGATTTGAGTTCTCTATGAATCCCACAGATGGCGTCTTCGTAAGTGAAGATGTCATCTATTTTTTGTACTCAAGCTTGGCTTTTAAAGACAGTTGAGTCCAGTAATGCATCGTGGTTCAGCCTAGCATCACTGACGAGATCTACAGCGGGTCAAAAAAGCCATGTCTGGCATTTAGGTTCCGGTTTTCAAAAATAGGTAAATCTAAATGAAAATTTTTCAAAAACTAGCTCAAGCAGGTAATACAAACATTTATGATTCGAAGAAACATCTACAACCTAGCAAGTATCTTTGTTAGTATGTTCGAGATGACAACAAAATATACTGAATTTAAGTAAAATTGCTTTCGAATTTTCAACAGTGCATTACTATGCACGAATTATAATAAAGTTTTCTGGATTCCAGAAAATCGATGAACAATTTGAACGATCCACTGATGATGTTAATTTCTCACCGCAGGATCTTTTTGCCTAGCTATGTGATCGTCATATCCATCCCCATCATCTACAAACAGTGAATAGTTACTGTACAGAAGGCTCCCGAAAAACAAGTTGAATAAATTATTGCTAAACGTCTAACTATACAAAAAAACTCTCTACATACTCTTACCGTCTTCCTCGTTTTCTTCCAGCTGCACATCGTTTTGCAGGTCCTTATAGTCCGGCTGGTCCTGGTCCCTTTCGTTGCCGAGGGTATCGATATGTTGCTTATCGAAATGCTGTTTTTCCGCGTGTTTCACGTGATCATCACGTGAGTCAAAAACTTCATGAGCGCCATTTTCATTTTCTTCTTCCCTCACTGCAAAGATAATTTGATCATTAAACGAGCACAGTCTGTTAGAAATTGTAGAGATGTAGAGTACGACAAAAATTTCACAAATAAAGTATCTTATCGATACAGTTGCTAATTTTATTGATGAATTCGTGGAGAAACCAACCAGCTTTTTCATCGGCATGCTCCTTGGCGCTTTCCCTTGCATTCTGATAGCGAGCATTAATAATTTCCGGTTGATCGTTATGCTCTTTCCTCTCTGGTACTGCCACGACTCCATCTGGCAATTTTTTTTTCTCCGGCACCATCAACACACCTTTTTTTGCCAGAGTTTCAGGAGTAACGGTGGGGCTCAGTATGGGTCTAGCACCTGTAGAAAAAAACATAGTAATGTTCAACCTAATATATCTTTCAAGGTGTCTCACCTGACAAACTGGCTTGCGAAGGTTTCAGGCCAGCTTTGGTTGAAGAACTAGAAGATGCCATTTTGTCTTTGTTATCCCCATCAGGCAAGGCGAGGACATTGTTCTCTTGCTTTTCTTCGCTCTGTAGGACATTCGCAGCGCTGTTGTCTGGCGGATTAAGTTGTGCCGCTTTGTCGGTGCTTTTTGGAGAAGATATACCAGAAAAAACTCTCGGTTCCGCGAGGGTGTCTTGATTTCTTGAACAACTCTCCTAGAAAACATGAATATCGTAAACTGGTAGTTTCGCAAAGGCTCCGTTCTTCCGAAAATCCAATTTTTTCTTGGTAACCCACATATTTTGGTCCACTGATTACTAATCTGAAGTTGAAATTTCTCAGCTTTGTCTACTTATAAAGAAACTATCTGAAGAAGTGAAAAAAATATTTCGATTCTGGGACTCTATAAGAACATATACTTTAACAGTCGGACTCACCATTAGAAAGAACTTGTAGTACCAAAAGTTTTGTCTGCTTGTGCAGCAGACATCTTCAGTGGTGTATAGGTTGAATGTGAGGTGATATCCCACTGAAGATGTCTGCTGCACAAGCAGACGAAACTTTTGGTACTACAAGTTCCTTTTCTCCATGTCCTTATAGCACTGATTTAGTTCTTTCCAATCTGGGACTCGCTTTTAAAAATGTTATGAAAATGATAAAGTGGTTTCTGCTTTCCATGATAGAAAACAAGCATATGTCAAAGTTATAAAAATTTGTTGGAATTCCAAATGAAACTTTGTTTCTTCGTAATAAAAACTAATCTGTATGAAAAACAAAGAACCAACAACAACTAACCTTCAATTGCTTAATTTCTCGTTTGAGCTCGTCATTTTCAAGTGTCAAATGGTTAATATTGCTCTCAAAGTCATTATTATCATTCTGGTTTCTTTGAGCCTCTTTCTCAAAATGTTCCTTTTCCGTCAGAAGTTCCATATATTCCGACTATAATAAAAAAAATGAGAGAGGAGGATCAGCAATTTTCAAGTATTATTACCTTCAGACTTTCCTTGGAAGCTTTGACTTTTTTCAATTCTTCCTGAACTTCTTTCAGTTTGGCTTGTAGAGTATTTATTTCTTCTTGTTGCTGTTTCTGGGCTTTGCTAGTTTCTTCTTTGAAGTCATCGTATTCAGTCTACAACAGATTTTGTCAATTATATCTTACACTCTTTTTTATATCCACATTTTAAATATATTGATTCATCTGTAATTAATCTAAAAAAATATTTCAATAATGATATGAAACTACTTGAAGATACGTTACCTGCAGCAGATTGAAATGTTGCTGTAGCGACGAGAACTTCATTTTTGATTCACTTGAATACTTCTCATTTTTGTTCCTTTCTTCTTTCAACTGGTCTTCGAGATTCGATAAGGCCTGTTGATGATCGGCTTTCTCAGTCTTTAGGCTCTTCTCTAGACGCTGCTTGTATTCTGAAATGACTGAAATTCAAATCAGTGATCAATATCTTCAGTTAGTTTCAGTCATTACCAAGTAACTGTATTTGAAATAGATTTCGTTTTACCTTGAAGTTGGGTGGACAAATTCTCTTCCTGCTGATGGCATATATCATTGGACTTCTTTACATCGTCTAGCTGTGAAAGAGTATTATTGTAACAGGCTATTATGCCCACAATGATCAAAAGAGCACAGATGTAGAGGAATATTTTGGCTCTAGTGCCGCGTATAACTCTGGATGTAGTCATGACATTTATTTTATAATAATTACTACTAACTAATTAATAACTTTCACTTCTAAATCTGCAAACGTTTAAAAAAATGTTTTTCATGGTTTGTAACACAGATTACAACAACTACGTTATTGTGATCTGTGCTTTGTAATTTGTGATGTCAAATTTGACGGTTGAAAACTTGGCTAGTATTCTGTGACTTGACTTCTTTGAAATTTGACACAACATTTTTAGGAACTGAAAAAATCCACTCACAGAACAAATAGCGAAACGTAAATGTTTCACTCAATACAAAAAAATTAGCAGTAGAGATACCTCTATTTGATTAATTATCATTATCTTCCAACTCCCCTTTTTTTATTTGACGAATAAGAAACGTTCAAAAATATCAGTAGAGTGGAAAATCCTGGAAAAAAACTTATGACTACCAAGAATTTCACTGTTTCAGTTAGCTTGTTTTATAAAGAACAAACGGGGTACAAGAATGAAGAGTATTTAGGAAACTTCCTCATCATAAATTTGTTCACCAAGATATCATAAAATATGAACTGTACACATGCAGTATAATAATGACTCTATTCAGAAATTTATCCGGAATGTGAAGCCACTGCACAAAATTTTCAATGCTATTCAATTTTTTTTTTCATAATAATGTTATATATTTGCATACTGAACAAAATATTGAAATAATACAGTTTGCAATGTCATTATGCTTCATAACTTGCAAGAAGCATTTCCACTTCAATTTCGGAGTCATTATTTATTTGTTGTTTATTTTACAAATATTACTGGAGTATTTTCGCAACAACAAACCGTTATTTTAACACCTCGACACGTGTTTCGATCATCAAGTGATTATCTTCAAGAGGAAGATCTTCCTCTTGTCAAGGTGTTGTCACAAGGTTCTTTTATAGTTTGTACCCATGTTTTCAGTAATCTATATTTTCGATCAAAACCCTTTTTTGCCTAAAATAGGTGCTGGTGGTGAAAAACAAAAACTTTCAAGTCGAGAACTCTATCTAAACTGCAACCTTGACACAAAACGCATTCTTTTATTTGTTCAAAACAATCTCTAATTCACTACTCATTATGAAGAACTGAGATTTACATTTCCATTGAACAATAAAACCACCAATTTTATGATTACGGTTTCTTACGGCAATAATTATTTTCCTTGAGATTGATGTTCGTATTATGAAACCTAGATGTCGCTTTTCACTACTTCAAATTGAAATATCAGTGATGAATCATCTGAATCTTAGATTAGGTAAACTTGTCTAAGATCTGAATAGTTCTCTTCTGGATTAACTACTCATTATGAAGAATTGAGATTTACATTTCCATTGAACAATAAAACCACCAATTTTATGATTAAGGTTTCTTACGGCAATAATTATTTTCCTTGAGATTGATGTTCGTATTATGAATGCTAGATGTCGCTTTTCACTACTTCAAATTGAAATATCAGTGATGAATCATCTGAATAGTTCTCTTCTGGATTCTCTACTCATTATGAAGAATTGAGATTTACATTTCCATTGAACAATAAAACCACCAATTTTATGATTAAGGTTTCTTACGGCAATAATTATTTTCCTCGAAATTGATGTTCGTATTATGAAACCTAGATGTCGCTTTTCACTACTTTTTTCCAGCACAGTAAACTACGCAAAATTAAAAACGAATTTACGCCTAGCTATGTCCAGGCTCAAACTTCTCCAAAAGAAAAAATTAGAACTCATTGAAAAGTCCAGAAAAGAAATCGCAGATTACATTTTAGCAGGGAAATATGAAAGGGCTAAAGTTAGAGTGGAATATATTGTCAGGTAAGCAATACAATTCCTAGAATATTTAGATCTTATTCATTATCGAATTTTCAGGGAGGATTACCTAGTAGAAGCATTAGAAATCGTTGAAATGTACTGTGACTTGTTACTGGCTCGATTTGGTCTCATCTCTAACATGAAAGAACTAGATGGAGGCATTTCAGAAGCTGTATCTAGTTTAATTTGGATAGCACCTCGTCTGTCTGATGTACAGGTTGGTAATTTTCTTTCAAGGTCGATATTCGAAATCAGCATTCCAACAATTTTGGATTATAGTGGGTGGACTGCTCAGGCTAGTTTTAAAAAAAAATCAATTAGACTCACATATTTTCGTCAACTGATCAAGAATCTAACTTCAAAACTCTTTGGTCGCCTCAAAAGTTGAAAAATCGAAGATTTGAGGAACAGTTTTTGTTTTTTAAAAAAATTGTAAAATGACACTTTTTTGCACATTGTTAAATTTTTCCCCTTGATAAAAAACTTCTATTAAAATAACACACCCTTTTTGGGATTCCTGTTGTAAAATATTTTTTATCTTCATTTTAGTTTTTATTATAATTATTTTTGGGTAATATTAGACACCTCTCTGTTGACATTATTTCCAAGAAGAATACTATCATCAACTGTAAAATGAATGTAATTGATTTATTTCATGAAAAAATTTTAAATCTGAACTTTCAAAGTTCTATAAAAATGGTCTAAGTGTAGAAAAGTTATAGCAATTAGTAATCGAAAAACTCCAGAGACAACTAGAGAAAAACATAAAGCCACAAAAAGGAAGTGGAGCAAAAAACCAATTATTTTCAACTGACCCACAATAAAAAGGTGACCAGTGAACTACAGCAAAGTGACAAACCAATTCTACAGGGTGAAACAAATAATAATAACATTGCCCAGGGGATTGTACAATCCCTATACAGGGTGAACCTGAAGCTGGTGGCCAGAAATGTTTTGTAAATGGGGATTTTGTTTGAATGTTTTGAGAATATTCTACTATTTACTATTTGTTTCAATGGTTTTATTGACAAACTTATTGATGTGGTATATAACCTTACAATGTAGGGATGTCACTAGAATCAAATTATTTGTAGGAAAAATGTCAAAGAAGGCGAAATAAGTTGTGAAGGTGATGTGGTGAATAAATATTTGTGATTCTTTAGTTCGTATTGTGCAAAAATAAGGCCGGAAAGTTATCGTTCGTATTCCTAATCTACACGTCAAAATTCATGAGTATACACTTTTCTTAATGTAGCCTGTTTATCGACTTTTTAGGGGTCGTATCTCCCAAAGTAGATCGTTGCACTAAGTTTTGACTTCAGATTCTTTATCAGCAGACACAAATACATTGATCTAGTGGTAAAAAGTCTATTACATATGTATTAGATGTCTTACACATCTCTTTATTGTTGAGATGTTCTTATTGGTTACAATGTTGGATTTTTTTAATGTATATTGGGTCTTTAGGAACTAAAAGTCATTTCTGACTTGTTGGAATCGAAGTATGGTCCCAGCTTTGCCGAGGCTTGCAGAGTAGAATCGATTCAATCCATAAGCACCAAACTGAAGCACAGAATGTCGATACAAAGCCCTCCCAAGTTATTGGTGGAGAAGTACATGATAGAAATCGCCAGGAGTTACAATCTCGACTACGAACCTGACCCGCATGTCATGTCCATGGAAAAAGGTGAGAAATATTGAAAAGCATATAGCCAGTGATATTGTTGATTCGTGTGCTTTTTATAGGAAACGATGCTTTGTTGATTGATTTGTCCAGTAACTCCAATAATTTAGGGGGTGGCGGTATGCCTCAGCCCCCGGGCTTCTTAGGATACCCACAGCCTCCTCCATTGCCCCATTTGATTGACCCGAGGATGCCGCCTACTCTAGGTCCTTTTACGTATCCAGTGAGTTTCATTTCATTTTTATTTTGGTAAAACTATAATTTCACTTTGATTACAACTATTATATACTCACTAACAAGGTTTTATACAGAACAGGTCGTAGGTCCACTATTACGAACTTCATTATAAAAAATTGTAAAAAAAATATTGATCAAACAGGCATTATGTATCTATTTATAAAAGTTGATCACATAATGAATTGAAAAATTATGGAGCAAGTTTGCTATCAATCTCCTGAAGAGGAGTTGCTAAAGTATAAATACAATTCTTCAAGAAAATTGATGGAACGGTATCTGGACCGAAGGAAAGCTTGGCTGGTATAAAGTTGACTCTTTCAATTACCTCTACAACGCTGATCTCAACATTGCCGAAATTGATACATTTATCAAAGGCATAATTGGGCATATGTACATTATCGTGAGAAGTGATAGCAGAGGAAAAATTATTTGCAAAAAGATTTACAACTCCGCCTAGGGAGTTTTCATATTGGTTCTGTAAGTGCATTTTGCCTGGAAGATCATAACTTTTCCGCTTATCATTGACAAATCTCCAGAATGTTTTTGGATTCCACTTTATATTGTTTTCGATATTAGTGATATAATGTTTATAGCAATTTCCACTGACTTGTTTACATTGATTGCGAACTTCTGAAAAAACTCTGTAATCATCATAATCACCAGATTGCTTAAACCGTTTGTGAATAAAGATTTACAACTCCGTCTAGGGAGTTTTCATATTGGTTCTGTAAGTGCATTTTGCCTGGAAGATCATAATTTTTCCGCTTATCATTGACAAATCTCCAGAATGTTTTTGGATTCGACTTTATATTGTTTTCGATATTAGTGATTAGCAATTTCCACTGACTTGTTCACATTGATTGCGAACTTCTGAAAAAACTCTATAATCATCATAATCACCAGATTGCTTAAACAGTTTGTGAAGTTTTGTTTTCTCATCTACAAGATGTTTTGACCGCTTTTATTTGTAACTAACGTTATCGCAGTTTCGTCCTATACGGACATTTTCAAACTTATACTATATAATCACTACTGTGTGATACCCTCCAAACTTTTCAGCCCATCTAGTATCCGCTGATTTGAATAATTGTCATTATTTCCCTTTTAAACCAGTGCATCTTGCTGAAACCTATTATTAATTGAAAATTTATTTGGGTTTGATAATTTTTCAAACCGCAAAAGGGCCCACTAGATCGCCAGATATGAAGCCTCTAGATGTTTTAGGAGAAAACTCCGTTATTGTCATGATGAACATTTTGAATACTTATCGTAATGAACTGGAGTGAGTTTTGAATAATTTGTTTCTTGAAATTAGAATAGTTATAATATGTTTGCAATGATGCAACACTTTTGCATTTCTTATCAAAGAGTACCGAAAATGATACCTTTTTACATAAATTTTGTCGGGTCTTGATATACCTCCGCACTTTAAATAATAAATAAATGAATAATTTTATGTCTGTCACATTTTTTCAACAGCCACCAAAAGAAAAGGAACTGAATGTTGGTCCCACTGCTCCACCTTCGGCATTTTCTTACAACATTCCACCAGACACTGGCAAGGAATTCAACACAGATAATGCTGTAAGTGTTGAATCGTTCAATTGATTTCAAGTTGTTGAAATGTTTTATTTTATGGGTATGGGAGTTTTACATATATTTCTCTCAAAAAGTCTCTATTGAAACTTTTCAAAATTTTGAATTTTGTGACTTGTGAGTTGGCTTTTTATTTGAGTTTGATTTTTATTTTTCTAGGATAGTAATTTGCCAACCTATCACAACTTATACCCTGCTGCTAATTATCAGGTAATTATTTCAGTTCTGATTTTCGTTGAAAGTCCAACCATTCAACGTTATCACATAACTAGTTTAGTGATCTAATAATTTTTCTGAAGAAAGATTGGTTGGGTAACAGAATCTTTTTTTTTTTTTTGAACAATTGTTTTCTTGCCAATTATAGGAAATATACTGACCTTTCAAAAGTAGAAGGGATTGTTCGTTTGTTTGCAATAGTGGAATACAAAAAACAGTTTCAGTGAACAAAAGCAGGCTTTGATTAAATATGATTTTATTACTATCCATGAAAACAATTACAGAATATAGATATGAAGGAGATGTCTCCTAGAGACCTGCCCACCTGCCTGGAAAGGACAGGATGGACGATGACCTAGCCTAGAAGGACAACTCCTCAGGAGGATGTGGCCTAAATGCTGTGAGCCTACAATTACCCTCCCTACTTTACAGATACAGAATTATACAATGTTCACAATTATTTTTATCTGAAATGCATATTGATACACGGTAGCTTCATCAGTTGGACTGAGAAATTAATGAAAATTTGAATGTCTGGATTGTGTTTTCTAACACGATTTCATTAGCTTCACCTGTATGTATGTTTGTTTGCTTGTAACTGTCGAGATCTGTATTTGACAGAATTATCGACAGTATTGCTTGATCTATTCGCGGGCAAATGGCGCTGTTCGTAACCTCCTTGATATATAGACAGTATTGCTTGATCTATTCGCGGGCAGATGGCGCTGTACGCAACCTCCTTGGTATATACATGATTGCTAGATCTATTCGCGGGCAGATGGCGCTGAACGCAACATCCTTGATATATAGACAGTATTGCTTGATCTATTCGCGGGCAAATGGCGCTGTACGCAACATCCTTGATATATATAGACATTATTGCTTGGTCTATTCGCGGGCAGATGGCGCTGTAGGTAAACTCCTTTATATAATTCAAATTCACTTTATATGTATTTCTTCATTTGAAAAAAGTATTTTAACATGCGCGCCTGCTGCCTTGGGCTTGGTAGCTGATTCTCAGACTCCCTCTACGGAATTGGAAAATATCAACGATCATTTTTCTAAACAATATATGGCTGATTGATCCCAAGGTTTAGATAAAATAAATAAAGTTTGAAAAAACTAAAACATGCTTTTATAGCATACGAAACTAAAAAATGAAAAATAAATAGGGTTTCAAAAAATAGAAAACACGCTTTTAAAGAACATCGAACTAAAAAGTTTACTACATCTGTCAAATTAGTTGTCATTTATTCAGTCTGTTTTGCTGAATTATCGTATACGAATATAGCATTCAACAACACGTGCAAATAATAAAATTGTTTATCAAAATGGGCGTTCTGTTCGGGCAATGTACCGCTCATTTTACGGTCACCATAATTGTGCTATTCGCAATGTGGTGCTGTCTATGAGAGTGTGCAGACGAATCCAAAGTAGTCGATTTCGAGTCAGAACAAGAAGAATACAGAAAGAAGAAAATTGAGTTATGCAATATGAATAAGTTTAACGGTGTTCATATCAAATGTTAGTTACGTCACGACCATCGGTTTTACTCTATTTTGGGAAAAGAAACAAAAGAAATTGTGATACATGTGGTTTTCATCTAGACGGTTATCCCAATATCAGTGGAAAGGTTCATTGACGAAGAATTTAATTTCTCACATATTTTGTGAAGGAAGGTTGGTTGGGTGGGAGAATAATTTTTTTGAACAATTGTTTTCTTGCCAACGTTTCGAACTTAATTTAATTCTTCTTCAGGGCTTGAAAAGTAGTTTCTTCGTGTTAATATGACTATTTTAAAAACTATTAAACATTAGATACATTTAAAAAAATGAAAAAATATTGCAACAACCAAATTTTGGAGACAACACCAGCACAAAACGACATGAAACAAACAAATGGCTATATCTCATTCAACTTTGTTTTTCTCTCTATTATGAAAGGAAGAAACATGTAAACTCTATCAAAATTTCATTAATTATTTGAAGCTAGCAAATTCCAATTGCAAAGACTGGATGTTTTCTCATAGAATTAGTTTGGGGAAGAAAAAAAATAAATTTATTTTGTAGATAAAATAATATTTATTTTAAACAATTTTCCAAGACTATGAATAATGATCAAGATATTATTTTAGGAAGATCCTTCGGGAACAACTTTTGACAATAACTTGGAGGTAGGAAATTGTGTCAAATGCTAATTGTTCATGCTTTGATTTCAAAGAAACTAACATATTTCTCTAGGATATTTTTTCGTACATTCAACTTAGAATGTCTAATGGAACTGAATAATATGAAAGTCTTTCCAAAACTTCAATATCAACCAACAACAGTTTCTTGTTCATTCATAATAATGTCATAAATCATTTTGTAGAAAACATGAGATGTTGAGGTTGTAGTTCTAGATTATTTGAAAGGAAATTCCAGTTCATCAAGTTGATGTGTATACGAGATAGGTTTGAAACGTCTAATTCTAAACGTAATCTGAATATAGAGGTATGAATTTGAATTGGCGCTCCGGGGCGACTTCATTAATTCCAGTGGCGCATTTGCTTTTTCATTTTCCGATTCAATCCCCCATTCATTCTTCCAGAATAACGATGACAAACCCAAGCCGGCTCCCAGGCTGAAGATGAGCGACCAAACATACGACCTATCCGAATTGCCATCCGTACCGGATTTTCCTCCAAGGCCAAATCGTGAAGACTCGCCCCCAAAAGATGATGACATCGACTTCGATGATCTGACCAAGAGGTTCAACGAATTGAAGAAAAAGCACTAGTTAAAAAGTATTCACTGTTGTATTCTTTAGTATATGTTTATAATGTGCTCCTAACCGAATGTGATACGCTTGTAGAACTTTTTGAATGTCACGTTTCTCTATGCAATTGAGGGCTTTTTCACTAGATAGATGAGGTTTTTGTTTTCAGCAGGTAATGAATAGGTTTTCAAAGAGTTCATCTTAAAGCCGAACAATCTAGAAAGGCAGAAGTAAGCATATTAAATTCATTGATTAAAGAAACCTGGTTATTGATTTTTGGGGCGGAATCTTTCATATTTTCTACATATTTCAATTGATTATATTTAGTTTTGTACTGTTTTATTTGCTAGTAATCTGTAGACAATTATTGAAAAAATATATTTTTACCATAATCGTTATATATTACACATATTATAATAAACACAATTTTCAATATTTGTTTGATTTTCTTCAAGCTTCTATTCAATCTACTTTGTTTACAGTGCGTAGTTGAATAGTCCTACCACTTCTTGACTTTTGAACAGAACAAGATATCAAGATTGGACAAGATTCAGGATCTACACAGTTTATTTTGAAATTACTTGCTTCCTTTTGTCCTTTGGAAGTTTCCCACACTTCCAAGATGGAGAAGAAGAAAGCCAAAACCGTTCTTTTCCAAAAATGTTTTCGTCCTAAAATATAACCCTTTCAATTTCAACAGAAGATTACTAAAACTTCTTTTCATCTGATGATGCTAAATTGGTTGGTGAAACGTGTGTTGAGAGGCAGAATTCTTGTTCGGGTGAAGGAAAAGTTTTTTCAATAGATTCATTTCAACTTTTAATTTTCACAGTAATAAAATAATGTCAGGAATGCAACATTAGAGTCAGTTTTTTATTTCAGTCTCATCTGAAACCATTTCAGGTGTTTTTCTTTCAAAATAAACCCATTTTTAGTCAAATTATTGCTTGATCTATTCGCGGGCAGATGGCGCTGTACGTAACCTTATTGATCTATTCGCAGGCAGATGGCACTGTACGTAACCTAATTGATTTATTCGCGGACAGATGGCGCTGTACGTAACCTCATTTATCTATTCGCGGGTAGATAGCGCTGTACGTAACCTCATTTATCTATTCGCGGGTAGATGGCGCTGTACGTAACCTCCTTGATCTATTCGCGGGCAGATAGCGTTGTACGTAACTCGCCATTTTTGCTTGATCTATTTGCGGGCAGATGGCTGTGTACATAACCTCCTTAATAGGTTTTTCAAATGAAAATCAAAATATAGAATCAGTGAAACTGACTTCTCTTTACTAATTCAAAATTGAAACAAAGTCCACTTTATTTTTGAATATTTGTACTAATCTTATGATTGAATAGATTCTTAATAAGTTTCCTACGACTTTGTGTTATTTAGTGCCTTATCTGCCATGTAATAAAAAAAAAATGTCACAATAAGGTAATTCTTCAACACCTAATCAAACTACCGCTTTGGAAAAGAAATTATTTCAACATGTACAGACAAAATCAGCTTTTCTCGTGATGAAGTTAAAATCTCAATAATGCAAAAAGTCGTTATTTAATTAAATAAACGAAAATTGGTCAAAACTACTAAAAAATGAAAATCAAAATCAGCCAACTGCAACAACCAAATGAAAATCTACAAATTACATGAACATTTGCTAATCTTGAGCAAAATACAAAATCCCAACATTCGAAACCGGAAATTTGATTCAAATTTAATATTGATACTTCAGATTCATTTAAGGTGATAGTGTGACATGAACTTTTTTTAATTAAAACCAAGCATTTCATACAGATACCAGAACCAACCATGTTGATGTCAACCTGGTTGATGAAACACACTTCCACAAAAGTACTGCAGTTCTGGTATTGGGAAAACTGCTTGATTAGTACCTTTTATAACTTAGAAAGTTAGAATTTATAAAGTTGCTGGGAAATCTATTCATTTCTGGACTTGTTTTCAATCACATATTTTTCAACCCCTGGTACAGGATCAACTTTGCAGTAGAGGGTAAATAGAACTTGAATTCAAATTTGTGTGACAAGCATTGCTATTTGGCAAAATTATACGATATTGTTGTATTTTACCCGTTCATATGTTATAGTTTCGAATAGTTTTTTCTCTACTGTAGACATGTATGTTTCTTGGGAAAATAAATCGTTATTATTAATGATTGGACCGAGTGTCAAAAATCTCAAATGAAATCTATCAAAAACAAATTTCTCCTCACAATAACCAAAAAAGTTGTCTCTTGACCCGCGTTTCAACAACCAAGTTAGCATCATTAAGAGATGATACTGACTAAACGCGTGTCAAAAGATAAACATTTTTGTTCTGGTTAGGGAAAATGTTGATAGATTCATTACGTGTCAGATATTCCAAATTCTACTCATCAACCTAAATGAAATAATCATTTTTTCATTATTAGTTTACTTTTCTCAAGACCAAAAATCTAATGTTCTTATTGAAATGAGTTCATTTGCAAATGATGTATTAAAATGTCAGGAATTTATGAAACTCAAATTGTAACTGGCTGATTTTGAGAACAAAATATGAATTCTAACTTTGTAATAGAAAATTAGTCTTGTCATACACTTCAGAGAGTTAAAAAACGAAAAAACACAATTGGTTAAGGTGACATTTCTCGTTATCACTAATTTCTCTTGCATGGGAGAGTAATCAGTGCTTGAAATTTCTGCTGAAGTGGATGTTTTCGTAGGAGAGAAAAACATTTCGACAAACCCAAATTGCGAATCATGAGTTGATACGAAACTTTTTGGTATACATCACGTGCCAAAAGCTGACTTCAATTTTCAAAATCAAAGAAATTCTTAAAAGTTTGGATCGCTGTTCCATCAGACAAAGCAATCCTTGGCTAGCGTTCAGATTTCTACCACAATTTAGAGTATCTGCCTAACCTGAGTATTGTTTCTCAGTAATTCAATATTCGGCGGCGAGTATAACCCGGAATGTAGTCGATTTTCAGTGAAGCTCACTTTCAAACTACTCAATCTCTACGACAAGACTCTCACAGAGTTCTCACTGCATCCGCACCTAGATCTCGTCAGAGAAACCTGTGAAACTGAACCCGTTCGCGCGTCACTAGGGAAACGACGCCGCCAACTAATGCGTCAACGCATGATTGATGCTCTGCGTCATGATCGGATAGGAGACCATCGGCTGTGAGGCGTTCGACATCGCGATGGCTTGCGATGTTGCGATGGCGTTCATCTGGTGGTTGTTGCGGTGCAGCTCCGAGGCAAGATTTTGCTGCGCAATCAGTTGCTGGTTCGTGCTGGCCAACGCGAGTTGCTGCGGAACGCTCGTGACGGCTGCCAGTTGACGAGTGGTGGTCGCTATCGCTAGTTGCTGCGCCTGAGAGGTTAGTTGCTGATTCGTACTAGCTAGTGCGAGCTGCTGTGCTTGCGAAGTGAGCTGTTGGTTCGTGCTTGCCAGGGCCAGCTGCTGTGCCTGCATGAAAATCAATCAACCATCACAAAAAGATTTTAAACAGAGAAAGTATATAAACATAATCAAATGAAGATCAGTTTTGGAAAATAATCGTCAAGCGTGGCTGGTGTTGACTACAGAAGACAGAGACTGAGTTTGAACAAAGTACTATCTGATGAAATAAAAAATAATCAAGGTGTACCACAAGGAAGTGTACTTGGACCTCTTTTACATTATATTGACGTATAATGGTTAGTGGTGAGAGATGTTCAGTTCACTTGTTTTCCGATGATACATGTCTATAATTTTCAGGTTTGAACGAGGTAAATCAATGAGAAATTGGAAAATATTTATAGATGGTGTTATGCAAATTAACTGAAAGTGGATTTCAAAAAAGTATGGTAAAAAAGCTTATGAAAGGCCAGCATCGCATAAACATTAGTAATGAATTAATTGAGGTGGTAGACACGTTTAAATATCTAGGTGTTATATTATCAACAAAAATTGGGATCCTTCACAGATGTTCCAGTTATTCAACAAAATGGACATAAACTATAATTAATTACACTGTTATATTAAACCATTTAACTTGCTGCTCTCAAATAATATATTTTCTAAATAAAAATGAGGGTTATCGATTAAAAAAATCGCAAATCGTGCAATGAGAATTATTTTATTTTGTCCCACTCGTTTCAATAAGGGATATGTTGAACTCGTTAGAATGGTTGCCTACTCATAAATTATTTTTGTATTGAACTATCATTTCTCATTATAAAAAAACAGAAGATGTACCTCCCTATTGCTTGGAATCACACGCTAAGACCTCGTTAATCCTCAGCTCGCATAAGTTTCAACTTTCAAGCTGGTCAACCGAAAAACAGATTTTCAACAGATTCCACTTATAGCCTGACATTGTAGTTTATTCCTTTTAGCTGTTTTTATCTTTCAACTTTTTTTAAGAAACACTTCATTGTAAGAATTTCACTAAACAATTATACAGAAATGCAACACGTGTTTCGCTATACAACGGCTTCTTCAGGCCTGTCTAGACTAACTGAGTCAGTATTCTGAACGATATTCAATCTTCTCTTGGATCTTATGACAATAAACATCATTATTATTCCCTATATAAACATGTATGTTTCTTTGAATCATTGAAGTTACTATTACCATTATTGTTTTAAATCATCCCCTGAAAAAATAACGCCGGCCGCCACTGGCCTTCGTCAATAGAATGTGACCTGGCCAAGGTCGCGCTCAACTCGACTTGAATTTCTCGATCACTCTAGGTGTAGCATCTCTTCAAGAGACTTCCCTCTTGGCTTCCAGAGAATTCCATTACGATATATAAACACTACCAACAGGCAGATCGGAAGAGTCTAGTTGAAAGTGCGGTACGAAGTGACTCAATAAGGCAGTAGACATTTGAATATTAGTCTGAAGTTTCATTTGAAGTGTTTGTGTTGTATAGTCAGTGTAGAAGTGAAATAAAGATGAGCTTAATTGTACAGTGTTGTCAATTAACTATCGTCAAACCCACAGGAAAAACGTAATGATATTAACTACTTCTGCAAGTACTTGACATGATGGATAGATAGATTTTTATTTGATATGAATATACATTTGTGAAAAGTCACAAACAGTTGGTACAAATTAGTGTGCAAATAGAGTAAACAATATAAAAGAATCATTAATTTTCAATTTGTATTTAAAAATGATTCACAACTTACCTGTGAGGTGAGTTGCTGATTAGTCGTGGCCAAGGCGAGCTGTTGTGCCTGGTGCTGCGCCTGCGACGTCAGTTGCTGATTGGTATTGGCGAGCGCGAGTTGCTGCGCCTGCTGATTGCTGGCGAGAGCCATCTGCTGAGTCTGCGACGCGAGCTGCTGGGGCTGGGTTGCGGCGAGTGCCAGTTGCTGATTCGCCATGTGCTGCGCCTGGGACGTCAGCTGCTGCGTGGTAGTGGCCAGTGCGAGCTGCTGAGCCTGCGAGGTCAGCTGCGGCTGCGCAGCCTGCTGAGCCAGGTTGTTGGCGAGGTTTTGCTGGGCGATGGCGAGCTGAGCTTGGGAGCTGTTCGCTATGGCTAGTTGGGTAGTTGGGTTCGTCGTTACTGAAAGTTTGGAATAATAATAACCAAGAAGTTGGTGATCCCCAAAAATTTCGACAGGCATTCTCTTCAAAACTTCATATTTGTTACTATCATTCAACTCACCCAGTATCTGCTGACTGTTCGTCAAGAGCTGTCCCGGGGAAGCGATGCTGACGGCTGGGCAGCCGGCTATGGAGACCGAATGGTTCCCAGAGACCGGATTGCAGGTGGACACAGTCGCAAGAGAGACTGGCACTGTTGCGACGCTGGCTATAACGGTCCTGTTCATCTGCTGGGCCTGCTGCTGCGAATTGGTGTTCGTGATGGTGACGGCCGGCACGTTGACGGTGCCGTTGCGTTTGCCTGACACGCGCAGATTCGCGTTCTGGTCCAACAGGAATTCGTTGGTGGCCGTCAGGTCAGACACCTCGAAGAAAACGTTCAAATAATTCAAAAGTAATCACGGATACTATAATCAAAAATCAATGAGCATTCAAGTTTACTATTTGATTTCGATTTGCCTATATATTTAAAATAACTGTCAGCTGCGATTACTTTACGAATATTCAGTCAAAGCTTCCTTCAATCACAATGAAGTGTGTTTCTATCATGTTTCGACAAAATTCTCAAAGCAAATTAATGAATTAATAAATGAACATGATCAGATTATCTTACCTGCTTTTTGAGCCTTGCTATTTCCTTGTGTAACAATCCATTTTCTTCTTCCAACATGATTGTCCTACAACCCATGAGATATATCAGAAGGATGTATGACTCCAGTTTTAAATGATTCTCAGAACTACTAATGCAATTGGCCGAATAGATTAACAAAATTGTTCATTTTTCTGACACCCAGGAGTATACGTTTTCAAAAATCTCATAAATCTGCTCAAGATATGTACCTGGCATCTACTCTGCTTAACATCGGCGAGGGCGGATTTCCAGCAAAGTAGCCCTTAAAAACAGACCTTGCGACTCCGTTCGTCTCCAAAACCTCGCACGGTACGAATTCCTGCTCTGCCGTGGTCAACAGCCGTCTTTTAACAAATGGAAGACCTTCGCCTGCGTATTCGTCGAAGCTTACACCCGGCCTTCTTGTGCAACCTAAAAAAATAATGCGTCATATCCCGCAGGGTTCAACCTCGGGGCCACTGCCAAATGCCATTTACCATTCAAATTCTCTATCGGGATCAACTGAGTTTCTTCAATATTATTATTCAGGAGAACAGTGGTGGGACTGTGAGGGTGCTTCTGGACAATGTTGCAGATTTCTGCTGCTTCTTGCTCTTTGGACATGTGAATGAATTGACAACCGACTCCACGACACTGGCCCTTTTGGAATTTGAAGCATATCGGGAGCCTGCCAGGTAGTTGGTTCTTCCTCGTTGCCTCCACGAGGATCTGATGAGACATTTTACCTGTTAGTTTGTACTCTTCTTCTTCTCCAGCAGAGCAGTGGATGAACCTTGAAAAAATGAGTAGAGTTTTGACCACTACAAACGATAAGGACTATTTCTGTTTCACATACTTGCAATATCCTCTTTGGCAGATGTAGTTTTGGAAATCGTGACAGAAAGAGAGAGGTTTAGCTTCGTGTTCATGTTTATATTTGCAGAATTTTCGTTCGCACACTCCTCTTGCGAAATCCCTGCAAATGTTATCCACGTCGGATATGACGGTGTCTTCTGATGAGTCTGACATTGTGAGTAGCAGATTAATGGCGGAGCAGTTCAACAGATGAAAAATCTGAAATTTATAGGAAATATAATGACCTTTCAAAAGTAGAAGGGATTGTTCGTTTGTTTGCAATAGTGGAATACAAAAAACAGATATAAAAAGAATCGACAGAATCATCACTCAGTTGTAGCTTCATCAGTTGGACTGAGATCTGTATTTGACAGAATTATCGACATTATTGCTTGATCTATTCGCGGGCAAATGGCGCTGTACGTAACCTCCTTGATATATAGACAGTATTGCTTGATCTATTCGCGGGCAGATGGCGCTCTACGCAAACTCCTTGGTATAGACATTATTGCTTGATCTATTCGCCGGTAGATGGCGCTGTACGAAACAATCTTGATATATAGACAGTATTGCTTGATCTATTCGCGGGCAGATGGCGCTGTACGCAACCTTCTTGATATATATATAGACATTATTGCTTGATCTATTCGCGGGCAGATGGCGCTGTACAGAACCTCCTTGATATATAAACAGTATTGCTTGATCTATTCGCGGGCAAATGGCGCTGTACGCAACATTTTTGATATATATAAACAGTATTGCTTGATCTATTCGCGGGCAGATGGCGCTGTAGGTAACCTCCTTTATATAATTCAAATTCACTTTATATGTATTTCTTCATTTGAAAACAGTATTTTAACACGCGCGCCTGCTGCCTTGGGCTTGGTAGCTGATTTTCAGACTCCCTCGCCGGAATTGGAAAATATCAACGATCATTTTTCTAAGCAATATACGGCTGATTGATCCCACGGTTTAGATAAAATAAATAAAGTTTGAAAAAACTAAATTTCACTGGGTTTCAGCTCAGTCAACTCCGAGATACAGAGGAGAGATGTTGTTTTATACAGTGTTTTTTGGAGCAATGGCTGTTAGTTTTGTATACTGTCTCAATGACATGTCAGAAGAAACCTGTGAAACGTTGCCTTCGGAAATTCATTTAACAAAGGGTAGGTATTTGTTTAAATAGACGTCTTGCATAAAGACACATTTCATTTCACAAAGTCTATGCTTGAGAAGTTGATTATGAAATGAGATATAATTGAATGGTTTGTTTGATTACAGAGGAATACGATGAGCTTGGCCGATTGCAAAGGACTTGTAATGGTGAAGTAGCTGTTAACAAATGTGAAGGGTCTTGCAAAAGTCAAGTTCAACCCTCCGTTATCACTCCAACAGGATTTCTGAAGGTAAGGGTGACTGTCTGATGAAGATTCTCACATGTTTATAACTGACATCGTATTAAAGCCAAAAAAACATTTAAACGTTTAAAAGAAACCTATTTATGATTTAGTAGAACGTTTATGGAAATATTAATAACAAAGAGAAATCAACAACAGTTTTCTGTGACTTCGCTAAAGCTTTTGACTGTGTAGACCACGGAATACAGCTGAATCAACTCCGGGACTATGGCATCTTTGAAATTAGTCATAACTGTTTTGAGAATTATCTCACAGGCAGATTTTGTGTTTCCAAAACAAACTTCATATCATTCAGCTGCTTTATTGCCATTTTCAACAAAGGGAGTTGACACGATGAATGAAAACAGGGCATTTGAAGTATGGAATTGTCTTTTGTGGAGCATGTTGCAAAACTTAATTGCAGATTGTTTTCAATATTATATATAGGGCTATGCCGATGCCGAAAGAGAAGACTCCTCTAAACCCTGGTTTTTGACAGTCTTTAGAATTTTTATTTTAGACACAGTCCACTTGATCAACGAACATAAAATTATATGTAGCGGCTACTCTAATAATTTCCTCCTTTGTGAAACTAATGACCTAATATTACTTCTGCTGATAAAAATAAAAGATAAAGTCATTCACCTGGCCACATTTAAATTATTGGAGATATGATAGACCCTATTATAGTTTATAAGAGTTTTACAGGGATATTTTTTCTAATTTATTTCAAAAAAATGTTTATACTGTTTGACAAAGTCTGTTATGTTGCATTTTCAATATTTTGAGTTTTCCTTATATTGTCTCATGTTGTAACATTCCTTTTCAGTCTACATATGTATTATATGTGTTTGGATAAAATTGTATATATGTATTAATTTGTTGAGACGTATTCTATTCAGAATAAAACCTTTTTTCTTATGTTATTGTTAATTCACATGTATATTTGGACAACCACATTTACTTTTTTCCAAACTACACCTAGGGATTTGATCTTCACAAACTTCATCTTCAAAAATATCACATGTTTCCCTATCACAGTAGCTTTTGAAATTACTATGGATCTTCACCAAGTAACGGTCGAGTCAATCAAATCAATTTTATTTCTCATAAAACCACATTTGCCTTTGAGAACTAGTTTTATAGCACACGAAAAACATTTACGGCTTTGCCAACAAGACCTGATTCTTTGAGCGATAAAGCATTTATCATTGTTGATATTTTATTTTCAGGAGTGCTACTGCTGTCGAGAAAGCTTCCTCAGGGAAAGAATCATAACCCTATCTCACTGCTACGACCCAGATGGTGTCAGGTTGACTGGAGAAGGAGACAACGCCATGGACATCAAACTGCGAGAGCCTTCAGAATGCAAATGTTTCAAATGCGGTGATTTTAGTAGATAGAAATATTTTCAGCGGTTAGTTTAAAGTTACTTACGTCTGAGGGCAGTTTCTTTATGTAATTTGTTGTATGTGAAATGCACATTTTATATTTTCATCAACTTTTACATTGGTGCAATTATTTTCCTGCAAATTAGATGTACTATTCGGAAGGCCCATGTAATGTTTTTTTATACTGTTGTGAAATCGACAGTAGATTTTTCTTTGCAGAAACTATGTTTGTCCAACTGAAAACACTTGTTGACAACTATAATTATGCAAAACTAGTTTGATGTGATTTTTTTGTAAATTTATAAAATGCTTGTGATCTGAAAATAAAGTGTAAAGAAATATTTTGCCACAATAAAACGATGTATTATTATCCGTTGTGTAATTTCTGTTCAATGTTAAAAACAGCAAATGTGTATGTAGTTGAAGAATGGATTATTTCCTCGAGCTAAACTACAAAAAAATCCTAAGGAAAAACAGTAATGACATCTCAGACACACAATAAATCATGTGAAAAACATTTTGTTGAGCAACTTGAATTTATGTGAAATTGAAATTTTTTTCGGTTTTTAATATAAAATCCATTTGATGAAAATGATAACGACCAATGATAAATTGGTATTTTTTCAATTTTTATTAGAATTCAAAGCAAACAGCAAAACATGTTTTAAAAATTTCATTATTCTTCATTTCCATTTGAATTAGGAATTATTCTATTGGAATTATGTGTGAAGTGAAAAAAGAGAGAAACTTGTGTCCAAACAAAAATCAGAAAATATTGAACCATTAAAATTATATCAAGTATTGACCTCATACAAATAAAACATTATATATGAAGCAGACTTTATTTACGTATTTCCTCATGATGAAAAGATGACTATGTTTGTGGTACTTCAATACAGAACTATAATAATAATAATGGTTTGCTACTAGTTTCTCAAAGATTTTTGAGAAAATACTTAAAAGAGCGATAGGACGATAGTTAGTCACATCTGATGTTTCTTTACTTTTGTGAATGGGAATAATAATGGCCGTCTTCAAGAGTGATGGAAATTTGCCAGTTGTGATAGACTGATAGAACAGGTGAGCTAGACGCTTAGAGATCAATACCCCATTTTCTTTTATGATTCTTACTGCACGACCTTTGAATTATCAAAGTCAACATAAAGAAAACCAGAAAATATGAGTTAGGAGGAAAATTGTTGTACTAGACTAGAGTTTGTATTCAGGATATGGTATGAAATGTGATTCTAAAAATGATGTAGACTTATTCGTCTCATTTGGTATATTTACTCAAACAAAAATATGATTGAAAACTTATAGTCCTGTACCTAATCAGTAAAACCATTCAAAAAGTATATATCAAGATCAACATATACTGGCAATATTTAGGCATATCTATAAAAATATAGGTGCTGACGATGAAATGAATATAAGCCTACTGAATGTTTAGGAAATATTCTGAATACATTAACAAATTCCAAACTTAAGTAAAACAGCAGAAGCATCTGAAATTACAGAAATGTATCAAGTGACTCTTCTCATACCAATTTTATATTTGATTCACATCAAGAACATAATACAAACAAGACAGAACACATGAGCTTCTTCCTGCTTCAAAAAGTACTCACTCAAAATTATTAGTATAAGTTTATTCAGTTGAAATAAAAAGGTTTACATACCCTTATTCCATTGGCAATCCAAACCTCTTGTGCAACTCTCTGATGGTAACATGCTCTGCGTCAGCCAAATACCCAAGCACCAACTGAGTCAGATCCTTCATTTCATTGTACTCGTGAAGAGCTTTCATCTGAGGCTGAAGATTGGTACTGACTCCTCTCTTCTGCAGTTCCTCTATTTCTCTATCCAACTGAGAATTTTCTTTCAGAAGACGGTCGTACCTCGTTCTCAGTTCTACGTTGGAAGATATTTCTTTGGAGTCGACTCGTTTGACTTTACTCGATTTTGATTTTAGGGATTTGCGGTGGTCCATCAGTCATGACCAAAATCCTAAACGAGTACAAAATAAGTGATGACAATTGTAAAATGAAATTTATAGTTGAAACCGTAGCTCAAAAACGGAGTATTTGTAATCCAACACNCATGTTGCTAGTTTAGCCTATTATACTTTTCCGAGTTTTGTCAAGGACAGAACACAAGCACTACAAGAAAATCTTCAAGGGGCTCTAAGAGATGTGCCTGTGCGAAAATAGCAATTTACGTTGAATTCAAATCGCTGGAGATTCAAATTCAACGCAGTTCTCCTAATGAAAGAGTAGGGATGTGGTCTTTTGATAATCATCACAAGTAATTAGGAGATACAGAGTTTCAGTGATGAATGGATAGTTCAGCCGAATCCTACTCTGACATATATATTCAGATATCAAGCGGAGGACATGAATATGGCGCCAAAAGTCATGATAATGTCAATGTACAACTGGGATAATATGTGATACCATCCCTGAAGGACTACGCCAAAACACTTATTCATAGGATATAATTCACAATAACTTTGAAAAGGAATGACCGAAAGAAAAAAACGATATAGTATTGCTTACGGGCAATAATGATAATAAATGAATAAAACAGTAATAATGACAATGGTAATACGAATAAGTATTCGAAATACTAGAAGAGAAAAAAATACAAAAAAATTATTTCCATTTAAGCCCTAATTCTTTCAATTGATCCAAGTGAGCAATTATTAATATCACAATAATTGTAAATTGAGTTGTTAATGTAGCACATTGGGTACTTCAATATATTTTTATACATGTATATTTTACAACTTTGTAACTTAGGGTTCTCCCGTTTATACTGAATACATAAATGAATATAAGATTTGTTTTTGCTGTACTATGGTAAAATGTAAAATTTTAATGTGAAAAAAATTTAGGTACCCTGAGTTCTAGTTGCAATAAAATCATATGCAGTCTACTTGGTTGTGTAACAGTTTATAAAAAAAAATAATTATAGCACATCTTCTTTTTCCTAAGGAGATGTTGTCTTTTATTCATCGACGTTTTGAATATATTTTATTGATTTCACTAGGAAAAAATGTGTCTACCAAAGATCCAATTTTATCTATACATTCAACAGCTACTTTAAAATCAATAACCTATTACATGATTCAAATGTTTCTTTTGAGCTAATAAAAAAAATAGAAACACACCCCATATAGAGCGACATGGCAATAATCAACCCCTGGAGAGCTCAGCAGGGGAACTAAGGGTGTTAAGGAATAGAACATGGAATTCACATAACTTGTACCCTTGAAAAAACAAAAATCAAATGAAACAAAAGCAAATATCGATGGCTTCCGAGAAAAAACTAAAAATGAAGGGAGAGAGATATTATAAAAGTGGAAAACACATAAAAAGGTTGACAGTTTAGGTAAATTATTCAGTGAGAGACCATTCGGTGTGGAATGTTCTCAAGAAGTTGTGTTTGGGGTAGGTTGGAGCCGCTAAATATATGACATTTCATTTTAGATAAATATAATACAGTAATATTGATAAAATTGGTTAGTTTCCAATAAAAACCCACATCTTTGAATAAGTGATGTTGCAACATACTTCTTTTTCAGTTATCAGTAAACTATGGTACGTTACTCTTGTTTTCATAATTCTCGGAAACATGTGCATGGACCCAAGACTGAAAACTGCCACATCGCAGGTAGAAGCAGCAAGTACAACAGACGAGTGTCAAGTGACTCCTGTTATTCACGTATTACAATACCCCGGTTGCGTACCGAAGCCAATACCTAGTTTTGCTTGCATAGGAAGATGTGCTTCATACATTCAGGTGATTTTTTTATACCACTATTCAAGATAAGAGCAACACTCAACAATTTTATAACTCATTCCAGGTGTCTGGAAGCAAAATCTGGCAAATGGAAAGATCCTGTATGTGCTGCCAAGAATCAGGTGAAAGGGAAGCTTCTGTATCACTGTTTTGTCCAAAAGCCAAGCCAGGAGAGAGGAAATTTATAAAGGTTTGCAAACTTTATATAAATAAAAACTCACCTATACGATACTTATTCCGCAGTCTCCAATAATTTTTGGAGTGTACTTAATTTATTTAAAAAAATATCCGTGGTAAAGTTATAAAATGAACTTACGATTACAATATGCAAGGACATTTATTGACAACAATGTCAAATGCCAAAAAAAGAAAGCATGAATAAAATATAGATCAAGAAATTACCTTGAGAGGCGTTAAAATCGTTTTATTTTACTGTTGCTAAATACTATCAACAGATGTCAGAGTTAAGATATTTCTGAACGGTTTCATTAAATCCTACATTCACATTTCCCTAGCGATAGTTGGTAGAAATGATTATTTTTAATTTAGTTCTGAAAACACTCCTTGCATAATTATAATAAGCAAACAATAGAAAAAAACTCTTATTTTTCTTAGGACTCATGGTAGGTATCTGTAATCTTCCATCCCTCAAACTGACTTTAGTTTTCAGTAATACACTCACAGATGTCACTGTCTAGCCCTAAATCGATTTTTGTAAACGCATAGGCGTAGGTCATTAAAATTTACTATTATTGAAATGAAAATTTCAAATATATTTGAATTTGTTTATAAACCTGATTTACTGACAATCTAATGTCATTTCACAGGTCACCACAAAAGCTCCGCTGGAATGTATGTGCAGACCTTGCACAGGAGTTGAAGAAAGTGCTGTTATACCCCAAGAAATCGCAGGATATTCGGACGAAACTCCTCTGTCTGGCCATTTCCTCAAATCGCACCAGCTGTAAAAATGTTCATGGTTGTTCTTCAATAAAAAAATCGATGTCTTCAATGATTATTCTCTTACTATGAAATGATTAATTCAGTTCAATACTGTGTTCAAACTCAAATACAAATCAATGATTCTATTAATTTACAGTTTACTTAGTAAAGCAAGTGTTTCACATCTATGGTTTGTATTTATCTCCCCGATATCCAGAACATCCAATATTTGATATAAGGTACGTTTTTCCAGCAGGATCTGGGGGAATTTTGCCCTCGACTTCAATTCTTGCTGTTGTTGCAAAGAGTTGGTCTAAATTATTTCCTCCGAATGTCACTGAAGTTGGCTGAAATAAAAAAAAAGTCATCTTGTCATATTGAACAATAAATATCAGATAAGTATTAACGAAAAAAATATTTGTATCGAAGTACAAAATAGATCAAAGGACAATTACTAGTATTGAAACTACACAATAACGATTTATAACCTGTCTCACCTGCGTTGTTGGGAAAACGATTGTATCCAAAACTTCTCCGTTTTCTGGATTGAATTTAACTATCGTTGATCCGTGTATTGCACATATCCAGAGGTTGCCATCCGTATCAATTGTCAAACCATCCGGTAGCCCTCTTATATTATTTCTTTCGAAATTAAATACCTCTGTTCGATTACCTGTACAGAAACAACAAGTAGGATTTTTTCGAAGTTATCACGCTTGCTCACTTATTTCTCCTGAATCCGATATGTCAAACTGAAAAACAACGGGACTGAGAGTGTCTACAAAATACATTTTATTTTGCTTCGTGTTCCATGCTAATCCATTGGAAATTCCTATATTGCATACATGTTTTGTTATAACGCCTTTTCGCAGACAATATAACGACCCGCGACTTGGTATGGTATTTCCATCTTTATCAGCTGGCCCCATTGTACCTGACAAATATGTATTTGAAAGTTATCTTCAAAAAGTTGTATCTGTAATTCCTACCAGCCCATAACCTTCCGAATGGGTCCACTTTGGCGCCGTTTAGTCGATTTTGTCTAAACATCCCTTCTGTTTCTACTTCTGCGATTGTTTCTACTTCGGAGACGGAAGAGCTCTTTCCGTCCCACTCGACGAAAACAAATTTTCTCCCCAGTCCTGCTACGAATCTTGTATTTGAGCCCTCGACGGGAAACATGAAGGCAAGAGGTTCGGTTCCTGCAAAATGCTCTCAACCCTGAAATTTTATTTCTGATTGAAGGATCGAGGTACTTACCGACTTTAGCTTTTGTTGTTTGTTTAGTGTTCACATTGTATTTGTACACCATCGAATTAGGCACATCCACATAATAGACACTTTGTTCCTCCTCATTCCAGTGGATCCTCGTTCCGACATCTAACGGTTCACTTATACTGACGAAATTGAATTTTGACATGTCGACACTGATTTGGCCTTCAAAAATCTACACTCGAATGCGAGTCACAATGTTTCATTTGTTTAGTTTGCCAATATCTTATCAGAATTTTCACAAACACACCGTTGAATGACCTCTACTTGATAAGATTGTGCTTATACAAATTTACTGCTCAATTTTCAAAGGAATATAAATCGGCATAACAATCAGTCCTCAAATTCAGAGTTTTTCTTTTCACTTAGCGCTGAAGGTCTTTTTTAAATAGAATAACTTCTTGATTTGGAATTTCTTCGTTTGACATAAATATATGAGGGTGAAATTAATTTTCATTACTGGTGGTGATATCACCAGTAAAATTAACTCTATCAGAGAGGCTCATCAAAGAGTACGTTTCTATGAAACGTTCATTTCTCCTTATCAAAGTTCGACCTGAGATCAGTTGAATTCAAGAGTTTGACTTTTGATAAAAATAGATTCATCAGTTCAGTTGATTCGATTTTGATTGGTCGAGGAAGAAATGTAGAGGCAACTATTTCATACCTCCCTCCTATGCAACACAAACACTCTCAGAAGGTAAGATAAAAGACTCTAGAAAAAATATTAACTTCCTTTTATTCAATTCATTCCTAATTACATTAATCGAAGTGTTTTCATAGTACCACTCTCACACCCGGATAACCCTTAGCATTTATTCCAGTCACCCTGTATGTTCCGCCATGTTCTGGTGGCGGTAGTTCCTCTCCATCGATGGTGAATTTGGCAGAGGTCACGTAAAGTTCATCCAAATTAGGCCCTCCAAAAGCAACAGATGTAACCTAAAATAAGTCACAAGGCATTTCTGCAGAGATGATTTTTTTCAAACGGTAGTACAAATGTACAATTATATCGTAGTTTACCTGTTTGGACGGAATTTGGATGCTATCCAATAAAGTATCTGCTTTTCTCGGGTCGATTTTGATCACCCTGTACCCATTGAAAACGGCCACCCAGAGGTTTCCGTCTGTATCGATGGCCATACCATCGGCACCTCCCACAATACCGTTCTTAGCTAAAGTGAATATTGGTTTTCCATTAGCTGGAATAAACAAATGTGAAAGCTAATGAGACGCTAGAGCCACTTATAAATTCACCTATTGTGCCGTTTTCTATATCAAAATCGTATTCGTTTACACTGCCTGCGATGGTGTCGATGTAATACATTTTCTTTAAATTTTCGTTCCAAGCCAAACCGTTACTGATTCCAATTTTGGTGAGGTGAGTGGTGATTTTATTATTTCGAAAGGAAAATAGAGACCCTTTTTCTAATTTCACTTGACCGTTAACTGGTTCTCCGCCCATGGTTCCTATCAAAAATAAATACACCTTTGAAGACAAAGTAAAAAGATTGTGTTATTCCAAAAAATAACCTTTGGTTTTCTTTTACGTAGAGATGGAATATTGTGAAATCATTCATGAAATATTGCATTCTATTTTAAAGAAATATATCTGAAATAATCGGTTTTAAAAAATATATACAGTTCTATTAGGAAAAACGTAAAAAGTTTATTTTTTTACTGGATTGGATATACCTAACAACTAATTTTCACAATACCTGCCCACAATCTTCCAGAAGGATCACACTTTCCATCATTGAATCTGTTATCGCTAATTTCGGGCCTATCATCAACTTCGTATATTTTCTTAGTTTCAGAAACTTTTTCGCTTTCTCCATTCCAGGTCACTATAGCTAATTCTCTACCGATGCTTATCAGGAATTTGTCTTTCTCGCCTTTTACTGGAATTATCAAAGACACGGCGTCGCCGTCTGAAAAACAAGTATTTATTGACCTGTAACACAAATGAGAACATTCCAACATTTTAAAAAGTCACATTTCGTAAATATTCTCTATTACAATTTATTTTTAATTAACTTGTAACTCACCAATAACTGCACTGGTGTGCTTGTTCGTTGAGGGTACATATTTATGGATGGATTTTCCGAAAATATCAACAAAATACAAGCTCTGTGTCTCTTCATCCCAGTGAGGTCCCTCACCTAATTCCGTCGGTTCCACTGCTTCAATTCGTTCAACTTTTGGAGCCATTTCTTTCTTACTGAAATGTTGGCCGTTATTTTCAAATATAAAAAATAATAAAAACAACGTGAAGATGCGTTCTGCTGATTGTTTGTTGGGCATCCTGAAATTGTATCAAGACATCTATGAATTATAGATAATTTCCACAATACAGTGAGTGACATTGCCCCTTGACCAAGAAATAACCTAATAAGAGAAAGTTAGCTTTTTTCAGTATACATGCACCACCACTGGTGTTAAACTCTGCAGATTGTGTAAATGGCAGTTCCTTTAGAATATCTTGAGATAAAGTTTAAGTTTGTAAAAATAGATTCATAGTTGTTGTAATAGTGTTAATTTTCTTGCCGTTAGAGGGCGCTAAGGAGAGTGTCAAAACAAGAATTATATGTAAACGATGTAAAATTAAGAAAATATATGAGAATAATTGATAAAAAAATGCAGTCAAATGAAAATAAGAATGAATATTTCAAATGAAAGTATTACACAACTTTTCGATGGTTAGTATCCACAATGACCTTCGGTTGATAACTGGTCTATCTTAATCTACCTAGCTAAATTTATTATTCCATCCATTCAATTATTCATTTTCATTTCAAGTCGCAAACATTTTTATTCATATTAAATTAGTGTTTTTATTATTTTTTAATTCCATTATCATTGCTTATTTTTAGTCTCAGTATCATTTTTTTTTCAACCCATCATATTTTTTATGTTTCATATGTTTCCTCCACAAATAGATTCCATTGCCAACTCGTAATTATTCGAAGTAAAATGTTTCTTGAACGGGATAAGCCACTTGGCAAGGATATGTTATTATTTGGAAATTTGTGATCGGAGCTTTTCACCGACACAGATGCCCTGAGCAATTAGGAAACCTGTTGTTAACACCTAATTTACATTCTAAAAACCTTGCAAAATGAACTTGAAATTCCTAAAACAAGTCAAAATCAAACACCCATCTCTCATTGATGTTTAAATGTCGAACTGCCATCTGTTGCTGAGGCCACTGAATCGAAAAAAAAAGAAAGAAGAAGAAGACCTTACACCTACTAGCGCCCTCTGTCGGCCTCGCCTATGGTGGCCCCCATGTACAAAGTACCATCTGCATGAAGAGTAGGCAACTAATTTGTTGATAATTTTGAAATAATATCTGATATGAGAAATAAATATTAACAGAAGCTGCAAAAATGACGGCATCATTCATTTTCAAATGACTTTCAGTAACACCAATAAAAACGAATACAGGTTTTACGTTGTTTTCATGTAGTTCGAGAATATCAGTGGTTGTTTTTGAAATATTCGAATTTCGTTGTTTAGCTCTACCGCTTTCATGTCGAATAATATAAAAAAGGCAAAAAAACTAATACTGCTTCATATTTGTTATAATCTGATTTACATCGTTTGAATTGACAATATTTCGTGGTGTATTTCATCAGTTCGGACTTCCATTGTATAATATAATATAAATTGATTTGATAACCCTGAAACAAATCAAAAAGATTAACCGAAAATATCAATTTTATTAAAAATGCACTCACATAATACTCCTTTCTCGATATCAAAATCGTATTCATCAACCGTTCCAGTTCTTGAATCGATGTAGTACATTTTCTTCAGTTGAACATTGAAAGCGATCCCGTTGGCTATTCCTATACCTCCAAAATGTGAAGTGATTTTCTTGTCCTGGAAACTGTAGAGCGTACCTTTTCCCAGCGGAATATCGGCAATAACTACTGGAGGTCCACCCATGGTTCCTATTGAAATATATCAAATGGTTATCTCATACGAGTGTTAGTTGTAGTCCCGTACCTGTCCATAATCTTCCGGAAGGGTCACACTTTCCATCGTTGAAAACGTTCTTCTTGATATCTTTATCGACTTCGTACAATTTCTCAACTTTAGAGGGTTTATCACTTTCTCCATCCCAAGTAACAACGACCAGCTCGCGCTCCAGACTTATAACGAATTGATCGGTTTTTCCTTTCACCGGGATTATGATCGATACGTTTTTTCCTGAAGATAAAGAGGATTGAATCTTTCTTTAAATCTCAAAAGAATAAATTTCGTTTATGATCTATGATCTCTTAGAGACCTCTTATATACAACACGAATAATTTCTACAGAAAAAATATGAAAAACCTCTCTCTCTTGCAATTTTATATATGGTGAAAAATCATGATATGAATGATTATAAGTATTTCTTACAAATATACGAGGTCTGTTAAAAAAATAAGGTAAATATTCAAATTTCGCGGACTACGCACATTTGAATAACGATTTTTTAATTTTTTTATGTTGGTACACTCGTCTCGAACACATGTTCACAGTTTTAGCTGTTTAGCATGTTTAGTTTTTTGGTGAGAGGTATTAAAGTTAGAAGTGTTTTGAGTATTCGACGATTCTCTGCTATTGAAAAAAATGAGTCAAAGAATTTTGCATCAAATTTTGTGTAAAAATGGAAATGAGTTCTCAAAAACACTCGAACTGTTGAAAGTGGCATAATGTGATTGTACTCTGAGTCAGAAAAATGTTTAAGTGACACAAGCTTTTCACAGAAGGTCGAGAAGATGGAAATGACGACGCTCGCCATGAATATTCCTTCAACAACTGATGAAAATGTTGAGAACATGAAGAAAATTGTTATGTAGATTAGTTGAATAACTATTATTGAAATTGTTGAGGATGTCGGCATGTTTTGCTTTTATTGGCTCATGCTATGCAATTTTTTCGGAAATTTTGGGCATGAACTGTGGCAGCGAAGTTCGTTTCAAAATGAAAGAACGGCGTTTTACGGCGATTGAGGAGATAAAAATAGAACAGCTAAGGACATACCATTATGTATGTATTAAAATTGGTTTTATTTTTTCGAACTTGAAAGTAAATGTAAATTTCTTCGTCGTCAACACTGTGAATGGTGTAGAAATCTACGCCACTGATGAACGTGCACCTGCATAACAAAGAATCATAATTTTGTTATTACTTCATATTTTTCAATGTGCGCGATTATGAGCTCAAAAACATTCCAATTGTTCAAATGAATTGGTTAAATTATGTAATACCTAATGTACAGTTCGTTGATGACGATCTTGTTTATTGTTCTTAAATTCTTCTATTGTTTCTATGTTTTTTCAAATAACGTTTTAATTGTTGGTGATCGATAAACTAGGTATATCAGAAAAAATAAACAAAAACTCTACTATTCGCGAAAACAAAAAAACTACTAACTCAAAGGTCCACAGTTATTCCTAAATAAGCAAAGAAAGATTGTCAAAGACAGAAAATATTCAACGAATATTTTTTTCTAACCTATTTGGGGGCTGGTAATTTTACATATGAATGGCTATGTTGATAAATACTGTTGAGATTTGCTTGGAATAGATTATTATGTAATCATCAATAAAATTGATAAACTTTACTTATATATGAAGCAACTCATAGTTTATCAAACATTCTTCACAAATAATCATATTTCTGAATAATTCCAGCTTCAACCTTCATTCGACATTGATGTTGTCATTCAGATAAATTTGAAATATGCCGTATATAATCTTTCCTCAATTTCAAATATTTAATTATTCGAAAAACGAAATTTAATCATTCATTTCTATTACTTCTATGTCTTTCCATTAGTTTCTTTTTCTTGGAACTTGTAGTAAGTATTTTGGCAACTCAAGTTTTTGTTTTGTCGAAATCAACACAGTTGCCGTTTTGTTGTGGTTTTTTTTTTCGTTTGGTGGAAATCCGTCTTAATAACATTTTACATCCAAAATATTATACTTAAAAAAATGATACTTTAAATTACACAAAAATCAGTTTGTTTTTCTTCAACTATTTTCCACATTCAAAAAAACAAAATACAATATAAAAAGTTGTATGCTGGATTGGAAATTAAAGATTCTGACCTCATTGAAAGAATCTGATATTGTACTGAAGCCCAAATTTGAATATGTGATGAAATTGGTCCATACTTCATGAAAACTTTTGACGAATTTGAGTAACATATTATTGTGAGATTATCACTCGAAAATTTACAAAACTGCGACACGTATTCCATTATATAATAATTTCTAAGGGTGCGTTACGTTAAATTTGAAATCGAAAATTATTTTCTCTGAAAACTTTTTGTCGAATTATTATTGAAAGTTCATGGATTTTTAATGGAAAAATGACAATTCAGTATATACACAGCAAAAGTGGAAAAGAGAGTATTTTTTTTAAATAAACGATAGCCATACAAAAGTTGCACTTACCCACATAGGCGCTGGTATGTTTTTTAGTTGCAGGCACGTATCTGTGGATGCTGTATCCGTTAATATCAACAAAATACAGGGTTTGTGTGTCTGCGTCCCAATGGGGCGCCTCCCCCAATTTGAAGTTTCCACAAATTTTTTCAATTTTTGGCGCCATGTCGTTCCAACGCTATTCTTCAACTTCACTGAAGTTCGGATAATGTGGGCAATTCGATGAAAAATTATCGACTTATATAGACCAGATTATCGATTCGGTTCCAGAGGCGTAGAGTAAAACGAAAAGATCGTGCAGAACACGATTATTTGAAAATCCTCTTTACGTCTGATCCTTTCTTCCATCAACCCTCTGAAGCATTCGTGACTCTTGTCGAAGCGAAGTAAGTCTATGATTATTTCAATTATTCAATTTAATTGTTTAGAACTTTTGAAGTTCTTTAACAAAAATCAATCCAACACAGATCAGTCCAGTATTCATCTACACTTTTTGCAAACTACTATATTCTGTATACTTAGTTTGAAGTAATGAGAATCGAAACTTTCTATGTTTTTACTACTTTTATTTGTAACTAACGTTACTGCGTCCTCATAAGACGAAACTGCAATAACGTTAGTTACAAATAAAAGTGGTAAAAAACATAGAAAGTTTCAATTCTCTTTTCCTTTTATGATTTCCTACCACGTAGTAACGGCTACATCCATCAATTTATTGTAGTTGGAAGTCATACCTCCTTCTCACTACCTACTATCCCATTCATTTCAAATTTGATGAAAATATAATAGTTTTATAATGTATAGAATCAAACTTTGATCAAAATTCTCTGCTTTTCTATTCATGCTAAAACAACCAATCGGATCACAGAACTAAAACTTAGGGTTTTAGTTCTGTCTATTCCGTGTTCTTTATTTGTTACTGTCAGTAGTGTCAGTAAAAACTTTGACATATGAATTTTTTGGTTATTTTATTTATTTTTTATTGAATTGTAGTTTATTTCTGTTAACATAATAATGGTCCTAACTGCCCTAATAGACGACTATTTGGTAACTTATCTAACAAACGTAGCAGATCAAAATATCAACGCTGTCGGCCTAATTTTAGGTCAGGTAAGGCTACCTTCTATTTTTTTATATATAAACATATGTTAATGTATTTTCATTTCAGTCATGTTCCGGAAAGGACTATATTATACACTTTGCAAAAACGCCTCCATTCCAGTCAGAGGAAGACAAAAAACTGGGAAAACCAGTACAAAACATGAAAAGTTTGGATGACATGAATCCCAATTGGATCGCAGATCATGCCAAACAAACGACCAGAATGTTGCCAGGAGGAATGAGCGTACTCGGTGTATTTTTGGTGTCTCCTGACGATTTACTGACTCCATTCCATTCAAAGCTGAAGCTTATATTACAAACCATACACAAGCAGTTAGATATGAACAAATATTTGCACGGAAACCCTTCTAGTGAAAAACTCGTTTTGCACTTTTCTTCCAAGTCGCGGAAGTACTTTTGTAAGACTTATGATGTAATTTCTCATAATATCCAACCTGTGGAAGTAAAGTCTGTGGCCAAAAAATGGAACAACGTTGAATGCAATTTTGGCATTGATAAAGTTAAATTTATAAGGACGAATGAGGCCGATTGGCCTTTGGAAAAACATATCAAAGTAAATACTGGTCATTTTGGGTTAATGAGCTCACTTGAAATTTAAAATTTTTCATTGGGGTAATTTGTCTATACTGACCACAAATCCGAAGTAAAATTCTTGCTGGGATCTATTTTCACCCATTTTCGTTTGAAATTTTGTGTAAGCTAGGATAATGAATAATTATCAAATACTGATCCTCATCAGTTTTGATATTCTTTAATAACTTCAGGTGATGTTAGATGAGATCCATGACAATCTTGAATCGTCTGTGCTTTTCTTCGAAGGAGAGTTCAAAGACGAGGATGATTCATTGGAGAACGTAGGTAAGAAGAAAACTAGAACTACGAGATCAACTAAAGTGGGGCACGATGTGACTGAAAGTTCTAAGCCTATTCGAGTATCAATTTTAACAAAGGTGTACTGATTCTTATAAAAAAAAATGGCTTGTTTTACTACCAAAATATATTTTTTAGTGTTCTAACATGTCCGGTTCCTCCGATTCTGACAGCGTGATCGAAACCTCTGGTCAGCTGAGAATAGTAGGTCAGGTATCTTGCAAGCTATGGCTACAACCCAAAATGTCAATTAAGGAAGCCGCGAAAGCGTTGAAACAAGACATCATGCGTAGTTTGGAGTCTAGGTTAGAAATGCACTGGGACTCGCTGACAGAGGAAGAAAACTCTGAGGGTGAGTCAGATTTGCAGTCAGAAACAAATGTTGTGTTGAGGGATTGTTCTCTAGATGTGAATTGTGTTCACGAACCGCCAAGAAGAGTGCTCATCAGGCTTCCTAACAGCAATATCACCTTGTCAGACTATTTGTTTCCTGGAGAGGGGGCACAGGATGCTAAGGTGTCGTTAGAGGAGTTGTTAGATATCAAGATCAAAGGAAAATTGCAAATACTGGATGTTGAAGGTCAACCAGGTGAGAATGAATGATCTTTAAATTATGTCACTTCATAAAGCTCTTTATATGGGGATATTATATTGAATAACTTTTTTGCTCACAACTGATATTAGTAACAGTATTGAAATCCAAACAGGCATTGACTTGATTTTGGAATCAAATATAAAAAGTGGGTCTGTCTTTCCCAAATAAATAGTAAATATTTCAACCTCGATTTCAACTTTCAATTTCTCATGTACGTACACATGGCAAATATACTATTTCTTTATAGATATCACAGAGTATTGCAAGGGTGCCTTAGAAAGTGAAAGTAAGGAAATACTGCCAAAGCTCAATTCGGATGCCAATCAATTCATGTATTTAGGAATGGTTGCCGCAGTGATTGTTTTAATCGTCTCTCTACTGTTGCATTTGTATACATAAGTGTGAGATTCCAAGCAGCAACTTTACTTCTAGATTAAGGCCATCTGTGAAATGCATTTATTTTTTAATAAATAAGTTACTTTTGCTGTTGATCAATTTTCCTCTTTCCCTCCAGCAAGCAAAAAATAGTATTGGCAGAAAGATATAAAACATATTCAAGATTAGTCAGTCTTGAGTGTTATCAATAATGATTTTATTTGCCTTTCAGGTTATATACATGATATCAAACATATCAGTAGGAAATGAAAATATAAAAACATATTTGCAAACATTTCAGAATATATACATTAGATAGGACATTCATAACTCTACGAAAAGTGCTCTACATCAGGAATACTGTCTTGGCAATGTCAAGAATCTTGAAACAAATGTAAAATATCTCGTATACCTAGACTAGAAGAATTTCTATACTGTCTTTACTGGATGTACTACAAATCTTTTTTTTTTTGTTAAACTCTCCTAAATGAAGATTAATATTATTTTACATTGCAAAGTTATGAGCAAACGATTCATGTCCCAGAAGAGCTTTACTGTATAGAAGATGCAGGGTATAGTTAACATTTATTTTTGTAGAAAGCAGGTTTACAGCTATCCCTAGGTGGGTGAAATAATTTTAGGTCTGATCAGTCTCGGTCAAATAGAGTAAACTTTTTAATACCTCCAACTAAAAAATTTTTTGACTATGAAGGGCACACATTTCTCCCAAGAGAAAGTTTTATTTATAGTGCATATCTAATAGTTTAGCTGTATCAAATACTTGGATGTTTTTTGAATTCACTGTGTTGTTCAAGAAAAAGTTTCTCTTGCACCAAGATCGGAGAAAAAATTACATGTTTCACAAGGTAAAGAAACAGATTTAATGCCATGGCTAATATCATTGCCAGCCGCGGCAGTAATAATGCTACTTCTCTACCTGGTTAAACAAATAACTCATTTATCCATTTGTCAAAAAATAATTCTAAATCACTTTATGAAGTTATAATACCTTCCATATTATAAACTTTACTATTTTATGCTATTTTTGTAATTAATAATCATTTATGTTGCTAAAATGAACTAGAACAACCAAAGAAGTAGCCATTGGATGAAATTATATGTATAATGGAGAAAGTTTACTGCAGCTCCGAATATCGATGGCAAAAGTCTGGTTTAATGAAAAACATGAAGAAATTTCATATTATTATAATCACCTTTAGAGTGGTAAAGTCAAACTGAAAGATAACATCATGAAATGAATTAAAAAAGTTGGAATAAAATTGTATGTTGGTCAGATTAACAAGTTCCAAATAATAGTGATAAGAAACACACGGTACATGTTCATTTTGGTAGACGAAAAATTCTAGTATTTCAATGAATGGTCATAGAATGAAAATTGTTAAGATTGATTTATCTTGATGATTTAGAAAGTCTGATATTACCAAAGTGTGACAAAAAAATTAAAACAGTACAGGATAATTCAATTTTCAGTTGAGGATCTATAAAAACTCTTCGACATAATTTGCTTTCACAGAACTGCAACTTTTATTTTTCTGTTTTGAAATGCATAAACAAAAGATTTCGCATCGAAAGCAAGGCATTTTGTTATTGCAGGAAGCAGAACTCGAAATAATTCTCCAGTTCGTTCCTCCTGAGAAATGACAAAATAAAAAAAGGACCGTACATTTTTATAAGCTGCGTTTGCATCATTTCGAATTTTTGTGCCAATTTTTTCGTACTTTGCGTTTCCCCGCCCCCGCGCCGACACGTCAAGATCATTATAGGCGTCCCGACGACCCGAACGGCGCTCATACGGAGCGTCGGCTTCTCACAGTTCACTTAGTGCCGTGACGAACGAAACACACCGGTAAGTATTTTTAGAAAATTATTTTTAATTTGCAGGCGAATTTTATCACGTTGTGGGTCATGGTAGATATTGTCCAAATTTGGTACAGGGTGATTTTTTAAAGATTTTTGTTTAGACTTTTTGTGACAAATTTTCATTCAAAATGAAATATATTAGTAGTGACTATTCGAAATCAGCATATGCTTCAAATACCTTTCTTCTAACTAAATTTCAATTTGGGATATAATATATTATATCATGTATATAGTTTAACTCTTAGTAAAGAGATGTGGGAGAATTTACTTGAATGTTCATCCACTAACAATGTAAAATATATGTTGGAATAGTTTTCAACAATTTTTTTGAAATTGGCAAATTAATATTTCATAGACAATAACTGAATACAGGGTCATTAATAGTCGACACTTTTCATCATAATTGGCAGAGATTATGCTTCTTACTGCAGATTTTTGAATGAAAAATATTCTGTTAAGATGTACCTTTGATGCATTATTCCAATTGATTATACCATATCTAAGGACTGAATGAAAAAGTGAATGATATGTTGCAAGTGCCGCACTTTGATTTACAATTTTTTTAATTCTTCTGATAGCAAAAACTGTTTTACTAAGTTTACTACACATGTTATTTATGTGGTCTATCCATTTCATGTTGGAATCTATTTGTACTCCCAAACATTTGGTAGAATTTTTGTTATCTCAATTTAAGCAAATTGTTTCAAAAGTTAGAGTTTGTGTTTTTTGTTCATTGAGAATCAAGCCATTTGGTGTGAACCATGATCGAGCTTTCTCTAATATGTCAGTATGGATCATATGAGAACCATCTATTTTATATATTTTTTTGCTCAAGGTTGCATCATCTGCATACAATATAGTTTCTATGCCTGACGAGTTCATCACGTGAGGTTAGTCGTTGATATATATTAGAAACAGAAGTGGCCCCAATATTGACCCTTGTGGCACTCCTCTTAATATTTTTCGTTTTTCACTTTTGGTATTTCCTAGATCAACAATTTGATATCTTTCGTTAAGGTATGACTTCATCATGTCCAGGCAGACACCTCTCACTCCGTAGAAATCTAATTTGGCCAATAAAATCGAGTGATTTACCGAATCGAATGCTGAAGTAGGATATGTAAAAACGCTCAGATATTTTTCTTGGTTATCAAAGGCGTCTTTTATACTATTTGTGAGAAAGTTTATTGCTGTTTTTGTTTTGAAGGCCAGCTAAAATTGTGATAGTACGAAATTCAATGCCTATATCAAATTTTAAAGTAAAATAAAAATTTGAAACTTTTCAAGAAGTACTCGAAATGTAGAAAAGAGAATTGTAACTTTTTATGTTTTTTACCACTTTTATATAAAGTTTCAATTATCTTTTCTTCATTATGATTTCCTATCACGTAGTAACGACTACATCCATCTATTTATTACTCGAGATGTTCTTCATTACTATGTGAACTTCAGGAAAAGTGCACTTTGAACTCAGGTCTGTTCAGAAAAAAAGGGTGAAGGACATCATCATATGACAAAAACGGCTATTTTATGGGATTGTATGTAGGTGTATTTCTTCTTAGATAAATTTGTATGCCATTCCAAGCAGGATAGGGATATAAGAGTGCACGATCTTGCTGAAATTATAAATTCAATTACGATTTTTGGAACTAGAGAATTTTTCATTTATTCTAAAATTGGGATCTGGAACCTGAGTTGCCTTTTCCTTCTGAATATTGTCGAAACAAATATTTCTAGAATACCAGGTAAAATAATAGTAATAATACTACAATGGAATAAATACTTAAAGACGTGTATTCAACCAAGAATGGAGTTGAAAAAAATTGAGAAATCTAATTAAAAAAAATGAAAAACTTAGTGTTTACATAGCTTTTCAGTAAATCGCAATTGCTTTGCTTTGCACGTAAAACACTAACCCGCTTTTCTATATTTTTCACACTCGACGCAAACCTATTTATAACAGGATTCAACGTTGCGAAAACAAACTAAAATAGATATCTCGAATTTGTCATGAAATTATCCGGAGCAATTACGATTCATTTTTTATTTTCCAACAGCAGTTCGTTCACATTTGGCAACTCTAATCACAAACAATGAAAATTTACGAATTATTATTAGAATTCAATTCATAAAGTATAATTTGTAAATTATTTTTAGAATTAACGTATAGTTAACTACCACATTGAGTGATATCAGTGTTTGAGGAATTCATTAGAGCTAGTTATAACGTAAAAAAAGATCTAAACAGAGTTAAACAATCGGAAATAGTTTGCGTACTTGGATTTAGCTAGATAGAGATTATTTTCAGAATTAATACATCAAAATCATGATGAACGGTAATGAAGAGACTTTGAAACTAACATTTAAGAAAGAGAAACAGCCATTAATATTAAATTTATTCATGAAAACCATTCATGAAAATGTTTGTGAGATTCAAACCAGTAAAAATAATTTTCAAGAAAAATTATCTAGCCTAGGTCTCCCAAGTCACATGATAAATTGGATTTTATGATACATAAGCGAAAGGAATATGAAGGTACTTTGTAATAGTTCAATGTCAGAGTCAAGAAATATTGAAATCGGTGTGCCTCAGGGCTTGGTCCTGGGCCCTCTACTTATCTCGACATACAGGAGATGGGCCACGACTTTATCGGGACAAAATGTTGAGCAATTTATCTGCAAATCAGAAATACTCCTTAGTAAATATCGAAGTGAAATTTCTAGATGGATGCTAATCTTAAGTTGGATAAACTAGTATAAATCATACATGTTCAAAGATCAATGAAGCATATATTATGCCACGAAGCAACTGAAATCAACATTAAATGAATCAGGATCGCTCAGCATTCATTATGCCATAATATATTCTCATATCAATATATTACCTTCATGTTTTTAGACTATATTCAATTGTTGTGAGTTTAATCATATATTCAGGTATTTTTGACTATGTTCACTGAACGCGATGCTCAATTGACTTATTTTTGTCATATTCATCTTGAATTACCACATATACCAATCTTGATACACGTGTGTCATATCTCACACATATAATACGTGTATCTTCGAGGTTCAAAGTTGTTCTTCTTGGCTGAGACAACCAAACATACTTTTATAATTTTAGCGTTAGCGCATTTCTGTTTTCTCTCAAAGTCAGCTTGTTTGTACTACTTCTCGCGAATTTTATAAATAAACGTGTTTTCTTAGATAAATCACTCGTATCAAAATGTATTCGGATCTATCTGAACTTTTGGATGTATTCCAGGATTTATATTTTTATAATACATCGAGGATAATCGTCCAAAATAACATGACGATACGGCAGTTTGTGGAATGTGTATATTAATCCGTTTTGTGACCTGCGAAACATGCAGAATGACGTCACTGATTTTTTATTGAAATAGACTAACGAAAAAAGGGTTTAGATTTGATATCTCAATTATCAGGCTGTTTGAAAGTACCAATTTTTCAAGAAGTACGATTAATCAGTTCAAAATTATCGTAAAACAAGCTAAACAAAAATAATTCGATATTTTTTAGGACAATAATCCAAAATGCCACAGCCAAATGAAGGATTGAGTCTGATGACTACCTATTTGATCCTGATAAGTCTTCTGATAGCTCTTTGGGTCCTCTATTCTGGCCTCCTACAGTAACGAATTTCGGTGATCGAAACACGTGTCGAGGTGTTGAAAATAACGATTTGGTGTTGGGAAAAAACTCCTGTAATATTCTTTTCATTTTTATATTACATCTCAATTGCTTGAAATATATTGTATTGCAGTATACTTTCACTGGAAATTTGTACTTACTGTAAAAAACAAGACTATTTGATTGAAAATCCAAGAAAGATGATTAATATTACCATAGTCTTGATCATCTCCTGATGGTGAAACTTGGTTGAGGAAATGCGCGTCGGAGAGATGATTTTGACACTTATACAACTGTGAAAATTATTTTTCATGGTATCCAACCATAGTTGCAAATAAATTATTCTCGTTATCTGGTCTCTATAAGAATATTTTTTGAACGCCTTCGGAAAAGACACGTCAAAACAAATCAAAAACTTTAAAATAATACATCAAAAGTGACATACTGGCAAACGCTTCGCCACGGCTAATTTGAATAATGAGACTGCTCTAAATCTTTCTTGCCAGTTTCAATTTAGCATCTAAAAATATCTGGGGAGTTATCCTTTTATACAGATGAAATAATGAAAGAATTTTTTTTTCTTTCGTGTAATTCAATGTTTATATGAAAGTAGCTGTTTCAGGAGGACTTTCTTTCAGTTTGTTTCTGAAAGTTACTTCTTTGCATGATCTACACATCCATGTATAGAGTTACTTATTTTGAAATTGATTACTTCCTTCCTTTCCTTGGAAGATTCCCCTCATCCTTGTTTTTAGAAAGGCAAAAACTTTCTTTCCCAAAAATTAATCACTCCTAAAAATATAACCCCTTCAATTCAAATGAAATAATAGTTTCTCAAAGAATAATTATTCATATACTTACCTACATGAGGTTCTGAAATATACTTACCGTGAAATAATTCGTTAATGGGATTGACGCCATAATTATTGGAAAAACTATATACATCAATAATTCATAAAAATAATTAACAACATTCAAGAATAGTTTGTTTTGGGGACTAGTGGTCGTTTCCAACTTGTCTTTCATCTTTCATAATTAGTATCTGAAAAAAAATTATAGGCAATAGGTAGACATTTTACCAAAAAGTTGGATGTTCTTTAATTTTTTTCATTTTTGTTCGGGATTTTTTTCAATATCAATGGCGATTAAAACGCAAGGGCTTCATCATTAATTAATATTCGTCAGAAAATAAAGTACCTAATTGAACTGAAGCATTATTAGATCAGGTCAAGTCATGAAGTTATTTTTTTTCAGGGGCAATTGAAAATATTTCAGGTAAGCTGTATACATATGTGATAGGTACATTATAAAGTCATTTTTATAGAAAGACTTGACAATTTTGATCGAGATTCGACAGTAAAAACAATGTTGAGTGTTTAATAAAAAAAGTCTATCAATTATTAATGTGAGTAAATATATTAACATATTTTTGTTACTCACCGTATATGTACAATTATAAAAAGTATTTCGAGATTTGTTACATCAAATAATACCAATAACATTGAACGATTTAAATGAATACTTCATGTTTCACTTTTCAACCAAATTAATTATGTACGCTTGAGGCACAGCCACTTGAAAATGTTTTATCACTCTGCTGCTTAAGGAAGAAAACTATAATTATAAATTACTATGAATGATTTACATTATTGATTTGAGAATTACGATACAGAGACATTACCTTCACATTTCATCATATTTATCCAATAAATATTCATTTCACTTCAAAACTAAAGCCATAATTCTACGTTATTGTTTATAAAAACTTCAATATTGAAAACAAAAATAAGCAAGTGATGGATAAATTATTGAAGTCTAGGAATATTACTGTATCAAAGGTATTTTCCATCTGTACGAAGGTGTGATCCAAAATTAGCAGTTCATTTTGAAATTTTGCCAAGGTGATGAAGGAATTGAGATGTTCTCTGGAAAACATGTAGGCAATACCAGTTAGTTTGCAGTGTTGGGGTTATTTATAAATTATTCGTTATTAACATGTTTTTTTTATCCATTAACAATTTCTTATAGAGCGAGTTCGTCAGTAGTTTTTTTGTTGCAGGTGCCGACAAAAATAGATTCCGTCATCGTGATATGAATCCCCCAACTCATCATTCATTGTAAAAATGCTGGCAGCAACGCAAAACCTACACCAACAGAATAATACTTCACCAACAGGATAATACGATGATATTAATGTTCCATCACTTGCAATTGCAGGTTTACTCATTTATATTTTTATAATTGTTAAGGTAACTGTTAAGTGTACAAGAATTATGATACGTGTAAATAAAATTGTTTGTTTTTATAGTATTTTTGTTATTTTGACTGAGGGTTTCAGTATTTCAAATTCAGATGAAGGTGTGTCATCTGCTTATGAAACATGTTATGGAATAATTAACTCCTCTACCAAAATAAAGCTATTTCGAATATTACTGGTGATTGAAACACGTGTCGATGTGTTAAAAATGAAGATTTGTTGTTGAGATACAACTGCAGTAATATTCATTACCTACTACACACAAGTAGTTATTTTTGTTTCTTGCAAAAAATGCTCTTTGCTAGGAATCGCACGTCAGAAGGTAAAACCTTGTTAATATTTAGCTCGTACAAAAGGTTTGGTAAACCTGTGTTCCCATAAGTCAGTTCTCATATAATGAAAGAGCTGTCAAAATAGGTATGAACACAATACGAGACCATGTCAGTTGGATTTTTTAATATCTAAAGAAATATAAGCACTCATAGAGAAACCGTATGAATGTGGCAGAGATTTCTTGATGAATATTATAGGATTTGATTTCCATTGTCTCAATAACTTGTTGCAATCCAGGAATGATGAATAATCTAGAATTATTGATAACAAAATATTTAGTTCCGGTGAAATGTAGTCAATTTAATATCTAGATAAAAAGAAAATACATAAACAAAAAAGTAATTTATAAGGAAATGAAAAATTGTAATCTGATATTAAAATAAAAGATAAACAAGAAAAACAAAATGATGGAAAAAAGTAGGCAGGGCATTTGTGAGTTCAATAGTCAGGTTCTACTTAAAACACTTTCCCACATCAGGACAAAAAAGCTGTCTCTTGACGCGCGTTTCGCTAATCAAGTCAGCATCATCAGATTATTCGTTTCCTGATGATGCTAACTTGGCTAGCGAGACACGCGTCGAGAAACAGTACTTTGTTCTTGCGGGAAAAATATTTTCACCAGACGATCAAGTGTGATATGCCGCTGAATTGTGACTTTATCGCTTCATCAATATTTGTAATAGAAGAGACAGGTCCGTATTTGAAAAAATAAGTTCATGGTGGCCGTGTTGAAACTAAACATTTAATCAGAGATTCATTGCTACACCATTATAGTACATTTCAAATTCAATAAAATTTTCGGCTTCCATTTTTTTATATTTGCTGGAATAACAATTCTTTTGTGAAAAGTCAAAAGCAGCATTTTTAGTTTACACTGCTCAACTCATGAAGGGGGAAAATCCCTGTAATTTTTTTGACCATTGTACTGTTCATGTTACATGATAAAAGAAACGATCTGTATAGAGAGGCAATAGAAAGTTACATTTTTGGGAACAAATTTGGGTGAACCATTAAACTTGGAATTGCACAAAGTCTGCAAGAAACTGAAGAAAGCATGTCACTAGGTAAATGAAAGACCGATAAGAATTATTGACCATCTATTATGATGTAAGTCTTATTTTCATAATTTCTCTCAATGTAATGTCTTGGAATTGTTCGAATTGAGCATCATTAAATTGCTTTACAATGCCGCTAAGATTTGATATTTGGTGGTAAATGGTTAAAACTTTCATGAATATTAGGGTTCCTCTCTACTTGGTTACCAGACCAGGTGAGATGACCAGAAAACAAAAAAAGACTCTACTCAATATCCTTATCATGATACAAGAACATTTTTAAGAGCAATATATTATATACTCCAAGTATTTTTCTTGAATTGGAAATGATTTACACGTTTGGTTCAATGCTTGTTTTCTTTTATAACACACTTCAAGAAGAATTTCTTCAACTCTAGCTATTACTGTATAGTTACTTTATTTTACTTGTACAAAAAAAAAATAGATTTCACAATTTTAACTAATTTAAGCTACTTGCATATATTATCTGTCACTGTTCTTGCATCTTTTTATTATGTCTATTTAACTTCTAATAACATGTATATATACACTAACTATAGATAAGCACAATTGCTTATGTTCAGTTCTGACTAGTCTGATAAAGTTTTATACTGTATGTACCACATGTATAAAACCTTTTAATGATGAACAAATTTCTATTCTATTCTATAATGAGAGATTTCCACTTGAAAGTTTACGCAGACGTCACAAATACTCCCGAGGATGCTGTCGTATAGCGAAACACGTGTCGTAAACTTTGTGGATGTCTGACATTAGAGTGTGTATTTGAATACGTAAACCCCTGAGATTTGAGGTCTTATCTATCCTTTGCCAACCTTCGGATTTTCTTGGTAGGCTTATATTTTATCCTGAAATCTTTTTTCGAGAAGGCAGCCAATCCAGTTGGTTACTTTGGGAATTGAAGGCAAAACGGATCATGTAATAATAATTAAATGACGATCACAGTTAAATTACTGCTAAATTTAATTTCTATTCATCTCTTTAGTTGTGTGGATCAACATTTTGTGTACAATAAAATAGTTGTTGAATCATTCTCCAATAGACCATTTTCATGGATTATAGGTTGTTCATAGATTCTAAAAATCTCTTAATTGAAAACTTTTTTGGGTCCATACGTACTTTCTGTGTGATATCTGGATTAGATCCATTTTGGTGATTTTTTCTTTAAAGTACAGTTTTCTTTAAATGTTTTTGTGAATTTACGTGTTTATTTCAGAGGATTTTAGAATATTAATAATATAATGGTTTACCTTGGTTCATTACTCATTATTTTTCAGTGTTTATATAAAAAAAGTTCATTTTATTCAATCAGCAATCGACACAAGTTGTATTTGGTTATTTTCCGAAGGTATTTTTTTCCCTTTCCCTCAACTAAAAATCAAATAACAATCAGTAAAAGAATGGAATTTATTGAATGTCAACAATTCTAAACACTAGAAATTCAAAAGAAACACACCTGTTGCTAATTTTTTCATTATTTTGAGGAAAATCAAACTTTTCATAAGGAACAGTTCAAAAAAATAAACGAGATCTATAAAAATGAAAATGTAACCTTTATTAATTTGATGATATAGTACATTGCATATTCTTCTTTCCTGCTGGTAGATTTCCTACCTTTACTAAACAAAAAATCCTTCTCAGATAAAATAATGTCCTTAAATCTAGTAGCGGCACTACACCTACCAATTTTTATTTCCGAAGTCCGCAGATGATTCAGTTTCAAAAATCAAATCAGTTGTCTCGGGGAATTTGTTTTCCCCTGTTTATACCAACAGAGTATTTGATAGATTTAGGAAACGATTCAATAAAAAATGTTAATGTACTGCAAAATTATCCATAGGCCTAGAGTCGCTACAACATGAAGAAATACCGAATCAAATTCAAACAATTTACCGCGACTTCCGAACAAAAAAGTCCACTTTTTGAATCTCGACAACTGTTGAAATTCATCGAGAAATTATCAACTACAAAAAAATAAACTTAGGAAGACTCGTCGGGGGTGTGCCATGCAATTCTCTCTTCATAGAATTTGATAACTACTTGCGGACACTTGACGTTTGCCTCTTTGGCATACACCAGATCTGTATCATCGCTGCCCTTCCATTTCATCAGGAACATCAGCTGGCCGGTTGTGTCTGAAGCTCCGATGATCTTCTCGGCATCAAGGCCTTTCTCGAAGGCAGACTTTTCTTTGTCCTTGATCTTACCACCCTTTTTATCTTTTTTGATATCAACTACTGCCTCGGATTTTTTACCCTTTTTGGGAGCTTCATCATCATCAGAGTCCTCTCCCTTCTTCTTTGATTTCTCGTCGTCTTTCTTGCTCTTCTTTTCATCGCCTTCCTTCTTTTTTCTGGGTTTGTCATCGTCTGAATGATCGTTGTCAACTTTCCTGGATTTGGGGCCGGCTGATTTCCGTTTTTTTTTCTTTTTCTCTTCCTCAGAGTCAGAGTCTTTTTTCTTTTCTTTTTTAGAATCGTCATCAGAATCATCCACTCGCGATTTTTTCGTTTTGGGCTCATCATCAGATTCGGGGGAGGCAGATCTGGCTTTGGACTTCTGAAATAAAAAGAAGTGTTGTAAAATGATTATGTACACTTCAACCATCCCAGGTCAAAGTAATGTTTTCAAAAGTCAAGAATCATACATTATAAAATGGAGACTTATTAAATAATAAATTCAACACAAAAAACATGACTAGGAACTGTGAATTTCATAAAATACCTCAGCACTTCTTTATCCTACATTCAAAATGATTTTCAAAATCATTATTAAACCAATTGAAGAGTTTTTGCAATAATTTGTGATCCTCCCAATCAAAGGTCTTGGAGAAATACGTATATTGCAGCCAACTTGCAACTTACTGTCCAATACTTGATGAAAATTTATCGGAAACGGAAGTTAACTTGTTTGGAAGACTGATATAAATGTCAGTTGCTATTTTCACTATTCACTCAACATAAACTTTTGAGATTAAGTATTTCTGGTCCTTCTTTCGCCAATACATTACTAAAGAATATGTGCATTTTTTGTCCATATATTTCTGAAAGACTTTGAGTCAGTTTGCAAGTTATTGTTGACTGTATGAATGTAATCAATATAACATAACTTGAAACAATCTGGCTTGTTTTCCCAATCATTTTAGATTCCTTAACAAGTTCTAGACAGGATGACACATTTAGAAAAGATATGGGTACTCTTGATAATTATTCAAATACTTTTCTTGCAATTAAAAAAATTGTTATTGGTTATTAAGAGTAGTATCTGGGCATTTCAAAGTTGCATCAATAGTAAATGGCACTTATTTATAAGAACACAACCACTATCTATAAATGATATAATCCCTACCTTCTTATCTTTGCTCTTTTCTGTTTTGGAGGAAGATGTGTTGGAGTCCAGAGAAGAAGTAGAATTTTCCCTTGTTCTCTTCTTGTCTTTCCCGCTGGCTTTGGCTTTGAGTTTTCGGTTTTTCTCGAATTCTGCGATCAATTCGGGGCAATCCAGATTGTCTTCTGGTTCCCAAGTATTATCGTCTTCAGAATAACCTTTCCATTTAAGGAAATACTCGACTTTCCCGCCGACCACTCTACGATCTATGATCTTCTCTACAGAGTATTCTTCCTCGCTTTCGCTTTCTTCTACTTTCTTCTTGCCCATTGTGTTAACTGAAAAATATTGAGACTAGTTTTAACAAGGAATAAATACTGCAAACTTTGCATAAAATTTGGTGAAAAACAAGACGCCTTCACCGGTGATGAACCAAGCCAATAAACAAACTATTCGTTTGTAAGTTTTATTAGACTACATTCATTTGAACTAGAAAACATTTTTTTTTAATTATGAAATTATTACCTTGATCTATAATAAACGCTGCACAAAAACAATTTCCAACAACCAAACCAAACACGAGCCGCCTTCAATCCAACAAACGGATAAAATGGCGGATGACGGAACGCGATGGCGCTAAAACACAAAACAAAAAACAAGAATAAGCGACTTAGCTTTTCTTCATGGAACGACGCATAGTTGAAAAAAACCACTGGATATTAACATTGTCCTGTCATTTGACAGGACAACATTGTCCTGTCAACATTTTGCCTCCACAAGCGGTTAAAGCATAAATAACATACACATTTTTACAAAAGCTAATGAACAGACATCATTTACAATTACTGAGAATGATGCATCAACAAAACAAACTTTGCAACTAACTGATCTAGTAAAGACCCAGCTGTTAGTATAGACACGCCTGAAGAAGCTATTATATAGCGAAACAAAAGTTGCTTTTTTTAAACTGTCAAGTGAATATCTCACAATAAAATGTTTCTTGAATACTTTATGGACATTCATCAACCATCGACCGATTCCATCACATAACTGATCCAGAGTCCTAATATTGAAACTCAATGTATAAACAGTATTGCATAAATTGAAATAGGTATATTGTATTATCATAACGAGAAAATAGTATTTTATATTCATGATAGTGATTTCTGAACCTCTCTGTGCTTACATAAATAACACCACATTTCAAAGCAATTCTTTCTAGTGAAATCATTTGAAAATTTTCGTTTCTTCTGGGGATGAGAACCCATAAATAAGGTTGAAATAATTTTTCGATCCATAGACATGAATTGTTTCCTTTTACCTCCTTCCATAATCGTAAGTGGAATAAGTAAACAACTGTCACTCGGAGTACTACACAGATGAATCTCATTCAGAAACAAAATCACATTATTTTCATAAACTACACCTTACGATCTGATCTTCACAAAGTTTATGAAGATCAGATCGTAAGTTGTAGTTAATGAAATTGCTATGGATTTTTATCAAGTAACGCTGAATCAATCAGAAATATCACATTTCCAAAAACTACTTGTTCACAACTCACAACTCTGATACAAGACCAATGAATAATTCAAAGTCTGTCTGGGAATACTCAACAAGTTACTGAAATTTACTGCGTTGCCATATTTTTTCCTCTGTCATAGTGAATGTGGACGTTCGTCGGGATGAGAAGGTGGAGGATGTGCTCGTTCACATTCGTATACGTATACGAAATTCGAGATCGTACGTTCATTGAATGTATACGTTTGTGATGTAATGAGCGAACATTTCATAGAAGTGCTCTTCTGCTTACGACGATTGTTGTCTTCAGAAGCCATTTGATACTGATGGACTTTCACTTTTTCATATTGGCATTACTGTTTATGTCCTTTATATAAATGTCTGTTGTCATTTGTCATAGTGACGTTAGACGTTAGTCGTTGTCGGTAGTGTTCGTGTCATGGTTCGGATACCACAGAATAATTCGTTTGACACTTTGACAAAAAGCGCGTCATCGACTTTGTGAAAAAAGACGCCATCGAGACTATTTTTGGTTTTTTGAGTGTTCACAGAAAGTTCGAAAAGCGATTCACTGGTCCTGTTATATTTCAATGGGAGCTCCGGTTCAAGGTAGAGGAGGAAAACGAGGAGCCGCTAATCAAAGAGGGAACGGAAAAGGAAGAGGTCAGGGGCGTGCTTTTAATGGTTTTCCGCCCCCGCCTCCTTTCGGGCCGCCAGACATGATGATGAGACCGCGAGGACCTTTCCGAGGAGGCATGGGAATGAGGCCCCCTATGCCTATGATGCGCGGTGGCAGGCCGCCCATGAGAGGCAGACCGCTGCCTCCGCCACCCCCTCGAATGATGGGTCCCCGAGGCCCCATGATGCCTCCAATGAGGCCCCTGCCGCCGGGAATGAGGCCACCTCCCCCGGGCATGCGCCCGCCTCCGCCCATGATGATGATGGGCCCCCCGATGCGAGGAATGTTCAGAGGGGGGATGAGAGGCAAGGCGAGGTTTCCGCCCCCGATACCGCCGAATGGATTCAGGGGGGTCAACAAGAAGAGCAAGGTCATTAAAAAGACTAACAGACCCTCTCTGAAGAATGTAGATTTGACAAAGTCCTGGGTAACGGAAACCATAAAAGCAGAATTCGCTAAAAAAGAGGAGTTATTAGCTGCAGCGAAAGCCTCACAGAAACAGGAGGACTGGATAAAGTACCGTGAACAGAGAGAGAAGTGCAGCAAGGTGTACCAGGAAGCGGAAAAGAATGCAGGAGGGCAACCCGAGGTGCGTATCCCGCAACTATTGCCCGAAACAAATTTCACGCGAATAACGGCACCTATTGATTACACGGCAGACGTCTTATTATAGGTATTTCATTGAATCACATTATTCTCCTTTGCTCCTATTACTCTATTGTCAGTAGACTTGTTTGATAATTTTTCATTTGGAGGGACTTTCATATTTCTGAGAATTGTACAGAATTTTCAATAGGAAATTGGTATTTTACAATTTACTAGCATACTTTGGAGGTCTGAAAGTTCAAATTGCACAGTGAAGTGTTTTTATTATCTGTTGTTTATTAAGAATGCTGCTCAAAATGCCCAAAGTCAATTTAAATTTATAATCTTATTTCTCCAATTTTACATTACCATGAAACTTATAAAGACTTAATATTGGTTCTTATCAGGAAATTTTTTATTTCTATAGGAAAGAATACTGATTCTCTACTCTGCCATTTTTCTTTAACTTCAAAATAACTTTTCTATCAAAGTCCATGAAATTTCGGTAATCTATTGAGTAAATAACCCTTTTTTTCCCTCGACCCTCTTATGTTTAGTTTCTTTGATTACTGGATACATTTTATATATAATTTACAACAATTCATACTAAAGTTTACATATGTAAAAAAGGATTTGCGAACTAACAAGTGATCATATTTTTATTGCTTATAGAGCTTAGTGAAGACTAGTCAATTTCAACAGTTCAGTCACAGTTATGTTTAATAACATCACGGAAATTCTTGACATCTTTGACTTTTCAGGTTATAATTTCTGTTTCTACTGCTTGTCCTCAATTTCTCTCACTCACGACAAGTAGGATAAGTGAGAGAATTCTTTTTTCTCTGTTTGTGAAAGTAGTCATTTAAAAATACCAGTCTAATAATTTAGATACATTTTCAAATCTTAGAAGCAACAAGTTATTTATACAGTCAATTTGAATAAATGTAGAGCTGAAAAGGCAAAAGTTCTGTGTAATTTTGAAAACAATACTAGAATAAAAACATATTTGTCTCGTTATCGAATTTACTTTTTGGTACCTCATTCAGAGAACAGTTGATTCTTCCGAAATAAAACTTTTATTCTAATTCCTTTATTTCATAATATTTTCTGTACTGTTTGTAGTTTTGTGTTGAAATCTTCGACAAGTCCTGTAAATCGAAAAACTATCTCAACAATCTCACAATTGCAATTATCCAAATTACCACTAGTGCAGATCTTATCCATATACTGGTGGTCTTCCATGGATTGCAATGAGACAACTTAGTTTTCATTGTTTTTTGATTCAATTAATGTAACATAATTTGGCCAAATTGACTTGAATGAGAATATTTTTTCGTCTGTTGGGTTATCCTATTGCAACAAAGTGGAATGCCCCCATTATCAGCCTCTTGTGGGTTTCTACAGAGAAATTTATTCAAAAAATATTTTCAAATTATTTTATACCAGTGTACGAGTTATATTTTCGATAATTGCAGTATCATCATAGCAAAAATAATCTGATGAATTGAATCTTTGTCAGATGATTTTATGTGATGAATTACATTATTAAAGACTTGAAAAATCGCATTTTTGAAATGGTATTACATTACTTTTTGCTAGCCTATTCTGCATAAATAGTTCATGCTATAACAAAATGTCATATTATTTATAGAACATGTCCTCAAGTCTTTAATGAAAAATGATGTACAGGGTGATTTATATTGCAATTATTCAGTTTAGATAATGAATTGAAAGTGCATTTGAAATCAACCTTTGCATTTCCATTATAAAGTACAGGTACAAAAATTTATTAACAAATAAATAACATTCAGTCAGAACGTAAAATGAATGTCATTGCTTCTGATTGCTTTTTATTACCTTTGACCTTCTAAATGTTTTAGTTTTCTGGTTTCCTGAATATTTGCCTCGTTGTTATTTCGGTTCCATATTACATGCCCTCATATATTTCAATTATTTACTTCCAATTATTGCATCAGACAGCTTCTTTTGCTTGACATCGTCATTATGATTTTCAAAGGCGGTGACATTCATTACAATTTTGACTAAATGTAAAAAAAAACTGCTTTGAAGTTTGTCACAAAAATTTTCATTTTCAATTGAAATATTTTCAATTTTTGTAGTTGCTTTACATAACACCTCATGAATTTCTGACTCCTATGTCTAAATCGATTGGGTATCTTTACAGGCTGAAAGCAAAACAGAAACTGCAGAGACGAACAAAAATTCACAAAGTCAAAATGATGAGTCTCACCCTGTCTCTGAGACTGAAATATCTGATTCTACAAATACTGATACTGGAGTATCGTCAACTTAAAATTAAAGGCCACACAAATTTTACACCTTGACTAGTGTTTTCTCAAGTTTAATAGATGTAAAGTTCGTTTAAAACATTTTATTTTCCCGTTGTATGTCTGTGGACTCTTTCATGATTGTATAGTTTAGATTTGTACTTTTATTTTGCTTTTTGGTAACAAGCAAGATTCTCCTACACTGTATAGTGTTTTCTCTATGAATGAATCATAGTATTTTTTAGAGATCTTAATTGTTAATTACTTTAATTTAACATAACAAAGTACCATCAGGTATTAGATTTATTTACTGTAATTACTCTTTAATAAATTAACTTATAGAAATACAAAGTCGATATTTTGATTTTTTGTTAGTTTCTCACTAATGCTCTCCAAGCAAAAAGTTTTTCCTGGGCAGGTATAAAACTAATGAAGTTGATTTTTTATTATAAATATGAAATATAGTTATGAGTTTCAGAATGTCCCTCTAGTGCCAAATGCCTTAGAGTTATTGATGCAGAAATTTCAAAGTTATATCTATATAAAAAACCTGTTCACAAGTCTGTTAGTTAGTTGAAGACTAAACAAAAACGTTGAAATTTTCAAATGAATTTTTTACATCCATCTAAAATTTTCAGTGTAGCAACTAGCCTCTTCTGATTATGACTCAGAGATCTGTTTCAAAAAAGTTCTGCAAACAATCATTCTGGTTACAAGTTTTAAGAAATCATAACATCGTTTCCTCCTGATGATACCAACCTGTTTGAAGAAACACGTGTCGGACACAGTGTGTTTGCTTTCAGACATGTGGGTAAAATTATTTTTTAGTTTCTTACTACTTTAGGTTCAACTTATACACACAATTATTTTACATTGTTAAAACTGCTCAGGAAAAATATTTGTTATTCAATTTCTTGAGACATTGCTAAAAGTTAACTTTCAAGTAAGAGAATACTACCTTACTTTTTGAAAAAACTTGAGCAATCGCATACAAAATAATGTTTTTTCCATATAGCACTTTTCTTTGTGTAAAAGTGATTTATTCTTCAGCGGTGATGATCAATACAGAGAACCAGAATATATTTATTTGAATATGGTTAGTATATGAAAATTGTTATTTGTTTAATTCTGAACACAAGTATACAATCATTGGAGTATTTTCCACGTCATATCCACCATCCAAGAAACTCAAATGTTTTCTTGCAATTCAAAGGAGATGTCCCAGTAAGTTAATTTTTTTTCATGTGAAACTTCCATTAATTTTAAATAGATAAAACACGTTTTCAAAGTAGTTTCCATACGATTGTCATTCAGTACAGTTTTTGTCTGTTTTGTTACATTATTTGTCTTCTGCTGCGTATATGTCTTTTGGTGAGTGGCCAGACTATTCAGAAGACAATTTAGTTATTTGCAAGAATTATGAATGATTCATGATATATATTTAGGTCTAATCCTTCTGTCACATTAAAAATGTTTAAATAAAAATGTTAGTTGTTTTGTAGACTCTTGAAAATGATGAAATCTGTATTTTTATAAAAAATTTCAGATATAGAACTTGTCTATAACATAAGAAAACATAAAACAAAGTATTGAATGAATAATTTGTCATCAACCATTCACCCACTGATGTATACGCAGAAATCATGAAATAAATACTACAACATTGTTTTCTCTAGGTATATGAGTTTGAAGATTATGCACACCACGAAGATGGGGAATTTGATGAAGAATGCGATATTTATGAGGACGAATCTTTTCTAGCAGACAGTTACAAAGAAGCGACTTGCTACAAAGAAAATAGTCACTACCAAGAATCCTCTGAGATTGTTTTTGAAGAAAGTAATTGCGACGAAGAACACTGCAATCAGCTCTTTTCCTGCGAGACTTGCGACAGAGACTTCTCCACTGAATTTCATTACAACAAACACATGTCAGAGCATCGAACTTGTAACTTGGACGGATGTCAGTTCACCGCCCATGAGAAAGTCATAGAAACGCATATTCGGCTTCAGCACTCTACCGGTCTTTACAACAAAATCAAGAATATCAATACTCCTGAAGAAATCGCTAGGTGGATAGAAGACAGAAAGAGAAATCGTTATAGAAGTGACAAAAAAGAAGAGGAGAAGCAGGTGCAAGAGGCGAAGGTTAAGAGAGGGGAGAGGATTGGAAAGAATGATAATAAGTTTGGGAGGAATAATTATAGATGTAAGTTTTTTGTTGTTATTTTTAAACAATATTTTCTACTTTATCAAAGCCGTAAAGTTTACTTTATAGTAAAAGTAGTCTGTGAAGGCGTACCAGGGTTATTTTATTATTAAAGAAAGTTATTGAAGTTACAAAACATTGATATAAAGTTATGAAAAGCTGTCAAGAAATATTGAATGGAACTGGATGATACTTGAATAAATTCCATAGAAGAAATTACTAATGATATTTATTTTAATTCTCGCTATAATTCAACTACTTCTCCGGCTGATACCACGCTGGATATTGAATTATATCTAACATACATTTATTCAAGATACCTCACAGAGGTTAGTCTCCCGGATGTTTCTCGTTCATCCAGCAATAGGACCATGCTGAAATTATTCAAGTAGATCACCTGCAGGCTGGTTTCGATGTATTATCTCTGTTTTTTTATAAACTACACCTTAAGATTTGATCTTATATTTAGGAGCTTTGTCAATAAGAATTCTATTCTTCAGATAATAAAGCATGCTTTGATTTGATTTGATTGATTTGATTTGATCTTCACAAACTTTATTTTCACAAAATATATCACGAAATGTTTCGCTATCACAGTAGCTTTTTCGTAGTGAAATTATGAAATCACTATGGATCTTCATCAAGTAATGTCCTAATCAATCGACACCTTTTTTTTGTGTAATCCAATAGGTAGAGTAGACTTCGCAGATGAATACTTACTCACTTCATGTTATTCTAATTAATTGCAAATATATTATTAAGTGTTTCCTTTCTTACAGTGCAGAAAATTGGAAATGGCCAGAGACCACTCCCGAAAACGAAAGCTTGCCGATCCTCCACACAGCATTCCCCCTTTGTCAAACGAGGCCTTCCTTTCAAAGCCAAACCTCAACCTTCGCTTGTCAACATGAAAAGCGATTGGAATGGAACCATGTTCCCCTTTCGAGGTACATCGAGTTTGACAGACGTCAGCAACGAAGAACAAAAAAGTGATTACGAAGATGATGAATGGACTGCTGCTCCTGCAAAACACGTGGTCAAGTTGAATAATGCCCTGAGCACTCTGATGGGGGCTTACATGAGCGGGGATGATTCTGAGGAGGAAATCACTATCGTTAAAGATTCGGTCATGAAGGACAGTCCTGAGAAACAGGTCGAAGAAAAAAAGATAGACTCTGTAGGCAGTAGTAGTCAACCTGAAATAGCCCCTGTCGTAGATAGTGATGGAGAACCTCCAACTGAAGTGAAGATAGAAAAGAGGCCAATGCCAGAACCACCAGTTCATATGCCAGCAGAGACCAATATTGAAGCAACTGCTGGCCATGGTGTGAAAAGGAAAAGAAAGCATGGGAAAACAAGGTCTAACTGTAAAAATAACCAAGCCAAAACAAATGGCACGGATTCAAAGAATACAGGGGTTCGTAAAGATAATTTTCCTTATGACAAGTTCAAGAAGAGAAAAGCTACGCTTCTGGAGAAATTGTTGGAGAACGAAATAAGAGAGGAACGCAACTTTTTGCTGCAGTGCGTCAGGTATATTGTGGAAAACAATTTTTTTCAAAAAGAAAGCTAGTCTTGTTGTTGAAATCTCGTATTATATGTTGTTAATAATAAAGTTTGTTACACTATTTCAAGTATGGTTATTTTTTTGAAATGGAAAGGTCATGTACACACATTATCAACTTCAATTAGATCAGAGCCTGCATTTATTTGTGATTGTACATATGTAGGTGTTATTTAATTTGAACATATAAGTATGTACTGCAACTGACTTTGTCAATGGGAATTATATTCTTTCGCCGATAAAGTATATTCTGAATCTATGCCTGAAGTTGGCTAGGCTTCAATAATAAATTTCTTAAAGATAAACTATACGCTACTGGTATAAGACGTCCAATGCCTGACTTCTAAGTTCATATTTATATGAATAATAATTTCATTAGTCTCAAGAAACACAGTTTTTAGACACGTCAATACAATTTCTAAAATAGCTTCGAGACTATAAGATTCGTCAATATAGTTTCTAAAAAATGCTTGTAGATAAATTAGAGTTACGAAAGAATACAAGTTAACAAGATGAAATTCCAATCGTATAATCTCTTTCTTCTTGAAGAACTTCAAAAAATTGATCAATTTCATTTAAAGTATGTTTGATTAATATTTTTTTCAATAAGTTTTTGAATCTTCTAGATGACAAGTTACGAAATTCTATAGATAAAACATTGTATAGCTAAATACCTGTTCTTTTCAACCTATTAGCTATAGGAACAAGGATTGATTTATTTCTTGTATCATGTTGGTGTATATCCTTGTGTGCAACATTATTCATCAAGTTTTGTTGACCAAGAAGCAGATTTTCATAGACAATAACTGCTTCTTATTGCATATTTTTGAATGACAAATATTAATGATCTACCAGAATATATTAACGACAGGCTAATAAATAATATACGCAGACGATTTCTTGGTGGTGGTTGCACAGACTCCTGAACAGTGCTGCCACAACGTCAATTCAAAAGTACCGAAATTTACAAGCCCGCCCCAGGTCCACTTAAGTGTGGCCACATTTGGATTCAACAACAACGTTCGTTACCAACTGGCCGGATAGCCTTAGTTGCTGAGGCCATTGAATCGAAAAAAAGAAGAAGAAATTTACAAGAAAATAGTACCCAAAATATACCGCGCAAGCCTAAGCATGGCACATGCGCATAAGTCATTTCAGACCAAATGCCAGTATTGCCAAACGTGTAACACACAGAACTTAAAAGAGTTCTATGTTTAAGTTCTGTGGTGTAACAATGTTATCCATTTAAATTCGTAAAATATATGGAGTAAAAAATTTGCTGGAAACTAAGAAATGTTCCTTAAAAGAAAGATCATAATCAGAACATTTGATAAAAATGTGTAAGTAGCTAGATTCGAAAATTCCCATGGATATCATGATTTTCAAATCGGAAAAAATATGTTTGATAATTTTCCTCTTCTGAATATTTGAAATTTCCGACACGGTTCCACAAAGTTCTGTTTCTGTGTGATATTGAATATGAAAGGCAAAAAAGATATTCTCGAACTGTAAATATTTTATTTGTACCTACATCACAAAAATAAATAAAAAACAATCATAAAATCTTTCAAATGAACAATGCGGAAGATTATGTTCTGACAAAAACATGCATAACTTCAGTTCACTTTCTTGCACAGATGTTGCCAGCTTTGTTGATGGAAGGTTTTCCATAACAACTTGAATATTCTGGGATCTTTTTAAAAAACTCATCTTGGCTATATGCTTTTTAGTCTTGCTGTGACGAACAATGTGACTCTTCCTTCCCTCTAAAATGAGATTGCATGATTTGCAGTATGGTTTACTATCCCTATTTGTCAACCACTCTGAGAACTCCTTAAAAGTAGTAATATATTAATCTTCAAAATACACATTTTTTATTTTTACTCACATCATCCCATTTTAAATTATACTCATAAGTTATTTTAAACTTCTTTTTATAGAATGTATCATCACCTCTATCCCCAGAATTATTTTTCAGATCTGGGTCTGATCGTTGATTTTCAAACTCGCAAATTGGGATATTTCCATTTTCTTCTTTTGAATTTGGAGTGTCTCGACCCAATGCTATCAGGTACCTAATAATGAAAAGAGGGATACATATTTTAAGTTCATTTTTAGTCAATTTTATTTCTACCTGTCCATATTCCTATTTATTTTGACAAAACAATAAAACCAATTTTTCAAAGGTGAGGTGTGGGGTTAAAAGTTAAAACTGCTGTTCTGCTGACTGACTGACAGATGACAGAACCACAGTTCACAGACACAACACAGAACACAGGATTAAATAATGCAGAGTTGTGATGATTTCGCAATTTTGACACAAGTACGTTATTTGCTGATCTGGAACTTGAAACACGGAATTGCATTGTTGCTACACATATTGTTGTTATTTTTTTATTGTACTCGATGAGAGAAAGTGAAAATGTAAAAAATTGAGATTATAGTAAATAGTACCGAATTATCTACATATTGATCCAGGTAGTACCTTCGTATCAAAATCATGGAATAGTACCAAATGCGGTACAATAGAACCTTAACGACAGCACTACTCCTGAGGAATTGCTGAATGCAACGAAAATCGCTTTTTGAGTTGCTTTAATTTTGTCCGACAGATGGCTTTAGTAATTATCGTGTACTACCCTATCAGCGGTGAAATGGCTTTAACTGTTGGACGCAAACAATTAGTTATTTCTGGTGTCAGTAATTTTTTAAAATCAATCTGTGAAAGAAGAGATTGAAAATTATACTTAGGAAAGTTATTTCTGCAAAATGAAATAAAAGCAAATTTGTTTTCATTTTACCAACAACTACAGTAACGTTAGTTACAAATATAAGTGGTAAAAAACATAGATAGTAGTAGTTAGTAAGGTAGTAACGGCTACACCCATCAATTTATTATTATATATTAACAATTCGAAAGCAATTAATTCGAAAAAAAAATGAACTTGAAATGAATTTGGTCAAACAACAGTGTCCGAAACAGACTTTTATATCTATTTCACTACTATTAGTCTTGAAATTATGTTTTTCAAACGTGATTGGGTGGAAAAATGGCGTTTTGCTACACTATACTTGTTAAATTGAGATCATTCAATATTATTATTATCATCATTTATTATATTCATTACGATTATTATATCTTCATATATCTAATGAAGCAGTGATAGTCTTATTCTTCTATATTTTACGAATTCCAAAAATGTCAGGAATACTAAATCTTTTATTGAAACTTTCGATAGTTTCCAGAAACGATGTATTTGTAAAAAGTTAAAATAAATTACTCCATGTAAACATTCAAGTCTGAAACCAATAATGTAAATAAAATACATATTTCACATATGTACTGTTTCAAAGATTTATCCGATTCGCAGTAGAGTTCAAATATTTCATTTCATTTGTGGCAGGCGAACTTCGGAAAAAATTGGCTTCCTTCCAACAGATATTTACCGTTTGATTTGTCAAACACGCTAGTGCCCTCATCGGTAATGTATTTTTCTATTTCATAGTAAATTTGGTGGGTTAAATAGTCGTATCAGCTTAGGACATAATATAAATTGAGAAGATCTTGCCTCTCCCTAACTTCAGACAAGTTTAAAATTGAAAAAAAAAATTGTAGTAGTTTCATTTGTGAATAGACATGTTTCATTCTATTCATTTAAATATGGATCATTTCATGGTCCTTAAAACTTTTTTGTATATCTAATACTATTTTGAGATATATTACTATTATTACTATTTTTGTTGATGAATGAAAAATAATAATAATGTCTATAAATACCTGAAGTTTGGGAAAAACTTTTGGAAAATTCATCAAAAATGGTTGTATTGAATCCCGAGACTGGTCGGGATCTGTGCAGCTGGTTGGGTCATGTGAAGCTGTCTCGAATAGTTGTAATGGTCCTAGCCATTCTAATATTTACACCTCTCATCACACATTTTTACTTGTCCAAAGTAGAAAGAAGTTCCTACCTCATTGAGCACAGCGCACATTCGCACCAAGACCTTCCCGAAGAATTGTACGCTTTCAAAGAGTCTGATTTAAGAGTAGGCGTAGAAGAATTACTCAGAATTAGGGGTTCGGTATTGAGTGAATTGCGAGATATCGAGAAAAAACGACAACAATACAAACAAGAAATCCAGAGTTACCTCAAGAATATAGAAGAATTGAAACAGGAGCTGTCTCACCAACAAACTAATTTGAACAGATTGAAAATCTCTGTGGAACAAGCCCAAGTAGCACAACAAGAGGCTTTACAACAAAACACTCCTGACTTAGCACTGCCCAAGAAGCTCACCGCCGATACTCAGCCCGCCGTTTTGCCTTCGATTCCAAGGAACAGATCGAAAAGATGTCGAATGTTCAACTGCTTTGATCATTCACGATGTTCGTTAACTTCAGGTTTCCCAGTGTACCTCTATGACCCTGATCAGTTTCCTGTCATGCACGACGGATGGGACGTGGATGGGTTTTTGAAAACCACCCTCAAACAAACTCTAGGCTATAACCCTCACTTGACTAATGACCCTAAGGAGGCTTGCATTTACTTGGTGTTGGTTGGCGAAGCTTTGAAAGACACTGACGATGTGAGCGAAAACGTGGGAAATCATCTGAATTTGCCCCCTTTGGATTCTGATGCTCTCAAAAGGCTGCCATTTTGGGGAGGGGATGGCAGAAACCATGTTTTGCTGAACTTGGCTAGAAGAGATCTCACTGCCGTTTCGGGAGATGTTTTTTCCTCAATTGACACTGGTAATTTTAAATTACTCATTATATTCATTGAACATAATTTTCAACTAGTTGTTTGAATTTTATAAATGAACGCTTACTTTCTTTCTGAGGGGCAATAGATTTTTGACAGGATTTGACAATTATCGTTCAAAAGAGATATTCATAAAAATTATGTCAATTTTCAAGAGCAGCAGAAATGAAAATAATTAAATGAAAAATAAATTTAAAAAAAAATTATCATTTACAGATTACATTAAACATCTCCGACAATGTATATTGTTGGTGAAACTAAATAAAGTCAAACAGCTAATGAAACCAGTTTTGTAATAGAAAAGTCTTAATGTTTTTCTTGAAAATGTTTGCGATCTTAATAAGACACTCTCGCACCTCATTATCATTTAAGGTTTAAATTGAAAGGAGTATATGTTTAAGGGAGATTAATTTTCCTGCATCAAGATGCAGAAATAGAAAGCCGAAGCCTTTCTTTCCCGTCATTTAAGGTATTTACTTAAAATGAGAAAACAGTAATTGAAATTGATTTGTTTTTACAGAAACCATGTTGACATTTTGTTAAAATATTTCTATCATAAAGATGCTTTGAGAATCTGTCTAGGAAACATTATTCAATATCGATATCTTTTTACATATGCAAAATGACTCTTTAGAGTCTGAGTCGTTTGTCATTAAATTAGTTTTTTGAATTCATCAAACCATTCCACGTTTCTCCTGCAGTATTGATAAAATACTGTTCTACGCTCATCTGGGCATTTTACTTCATTGTAATTGAACAAATAATAAATAAATAATAATACAAATACTCATTTGCAGTATTATTCAATTTATATTCTAACATTTGATTTCAATTTAATTCTCAAAGGAAACTGAAAGGATCTCAGAACTATACTATAGTTTCCTTAAATCCTCGCTAACATTGCCTTAGTATGTTATTAGAGTATTGTTGTTTGAATAAATAATAAATTTTATTACCCTTTTGGTGAAATTTTCACATGTTTTCAGAATTTTCTGCGATACAGATAAATAAAACAAATAGTTATATTTTTTGATATATTGCTGTTGCAGAATCAGTTGATCTCATTATTGAAAAATTGCAGGTCGTGCAATCTTAGTCCAATCAACATTCACTCAAGATCTCTACAGGCCAGGTTTTGATCTCATTATCTCTCCCGTCCTTGGACCGCCAGGCGGTGACGTCTGGCAAGAGTGTGCCCCCATGCTGCCGTCTCGTAGAAAGTACCTTCTCACTTTCCAGGGGGAAATGAAGCCTCTTCAAAAAGCTCCCTCACCAAAACCCAAAATATTTGATGATTTGGAAGAGAGCGGTTCAGAATTGGACAAGTTTGTGATTGATCATTTGTTACAGGTAAGCAAGCCATTGAAGCGAAAATTGTGAAGGAGAGAAAACATCAATTATGTACATTTTTCACAAGAACTTTCTCTGGGATAAGTATTAGGTCCCATTGTACATAAATGTAAGAGATATAAAAACTGTATTATCTAAAGAACTTTATCGGTGTAGGTTGTGTCGTTTACAGACAGATACATTTTTGTTTAATAATAATGATAATGATATGTATTATCCACTTGACAACATAAATTGTATGGGATTATGATAGCAGATGTAAACAAACGTTTATTGGGTGATAGATTGTTTAATTGGTTAATTTCCTTGCAGCTGTCCAAAAGTGGGACCTCAGACAAATTCCTGTTTGAGTTCATATGTAATCCTGCAAGTGATAATACCATCAATACTGGAACTCAAGATTGGGCTTTATGTGGAACGGATAGCAGTCGTAGAGCTGTCCTGAAGGATTCTACATTTGTTTTGATATTTGCGCCTGGTCATATGGATCTTCTGTCGACTCCTTTGCTCCAAGCTCGGGTTTATGAATCACTGAGATCTGGTAAGGAATTAAGAAATCTTTTTTTCTAAACACACTAGAGAATGTTACAGATTACTTCGTTGATATATTGAAAAAGATTTATTTTTAGGGAAATCTAATTTAATTTTTTTTTTGTGAAAGAATGGCTTTAGCTTTCTACTTCTTCATCTTTATCCAAAAAAAGTGGGTATCTTCCAAAAAAAGGAAGAAGGTAATTAATTTCAAATTTAGCTCTTTACAAAGATTGTAGGTCATTCAAAGAAGTAACTTTCAGATACAAACTGGAGGAACAAGTCCTCTCAAAATAACTGAATTCATATAAAAAATGAATTATTATTGTCTTTCTACTTCCTCATTAATATATTAAGAGCATAGTACTGAATGAAAACCGAAAAATATCAATGAAAATTCTTCATGAAAATGTATACATCATATTCATAAGTTTCTTATGAATATAATCTGTCTATCTGAACAAATTGTCTTCATATATGAACATTGAATTAGACGGAAACTTTTTCTTGTCCAATTTGTATACAACAATTGGAAAAAAGGTTGTGGCTTTATACTTCTCTACTTAACAGGTGACCATTAACAGGAGTTTTCCAGAACCATTCTGGAAGAGTTTTTGATAATCTCAACTTAGCGGAAGGCTATAGAGTGATTTTTCAACAAGATGGTGAGCCCTCACACAATACTCGAAACGATAATAATAATAATAATTTTGTCTTTCCGTTTGGACCAATTTGAATAAATTCATGCCTGAAACCTAAAATAGCAAATATTTTATTGGCTAATAAATAATTTCTGATAAATGCTTTGAATTTATTCAGATGGTAATTTTTGAGTGAATTTGGAATCCTATTTTGAAGACAAGGTGTTTAATATGAGAGAAAAAGTCCGGAAGTGAGATGGTTTGTTTTGTTGGTGGAACTGATTTTGGAATCTCAAAGTGAGGTTATGAATAGCAGTGCGGAATTTAATCTTGTTAATAGTTTTAAAATCTGTTAACATCTTTTCAGACAATGGAAGTCATAAAAAAAATTGTCAAGCGTAATCAAACATATGTTTTAGTGTATTTGTGTGTTTACAGGAGCAATTCCGGTTGTCTTAGGGGGAGACCAGATAAAACTCGCCTACGACGAGGTGATCCAGTGGAGACGTGTCGCCTTGTTTCTACCCAGAACACGTATAACTGAACTTCACTTTCTCCTGCGTGCCATCCCCGATGAAGACGTGCTCCTGCTGCGGCGGCAGGGGCGGCTAGTGTGGGAGCGGTACCTGGCCTCGGTGCAAAGCACTCTGGATACCATCGTGGCAGTATTCAGGGATCGACTTAATATACCGGCGTTGCCCGCCGACACTTTTCTTGCTGTTAGCGTCTTCAACGATACCTTCCAGCCGATACAGGTTCCTGTAAGTATGACTCTAAAGTTAACTGAAATTTTCCTGATTCTGTAAGCCTCAAGTTTACATGACAGTATTAGGCAAATAAGGAAGTAGTTTATTGTGTTACTTGAATATTTCTCTGCAGAGTAACCTCTTTTAAACATAATGAATGATTGAAAATAATCCCAGTAAACAGTATACTTTCCTGACATAATAGTACTATTACTATTTATTACAAATGGCCTTAAGTCTATTGTTGATATGAAATTTAAACTTGATAGCCAAACAGTATGTTATATTGATAATCAAAATAATCTTTTTGGAGATGAGTTGTTATCTATTCGAATAACGTAAATTCAATGAGGTTGAAAAACCAAAATAACCAGCCTTATGCCCGTTTAGACCTAACAAAATATGTATAAAGCATAAATTAACCTTGTTTTTATCTGTACCTTAGGTTGCCAGTGACATTGAACAAGAAGAGAGTCTCGGTCCTATGGAGCCCCCTTTCGACAGTCCATCTTTCAGGCGAAACTATAGCTTATCGTTGGTGCAGGGCTATGAAATTTGGAACGACTGGGGCGATCCATTCCACCTGTATCCTGCACTGCCCATGGACCCCGTTATGTCTTCAGATGCAAAATTCATCGGTTCGGGTAGGGGCTTCAGACCCATCGGTCAAGGACAAGGAGGAGCTGGTAAGGAGTTTTCCGAAGCCCTCGGAGGAAATTCGCCAAGGGAACAGTTCACCGTTATTCTGCTGACTTATGAGAGGGAGCAGGTGAGTTGAAAAAGTAAAATTGGAATTGAGGATGCTGCCAGGTTGATCTACTATCATATTTATCTGTTACTGGATAATTTTATTCACCTGCATTGGTGTATTAGCCAATTTTCTCATATTTAACTAGAACTTCGTTTTACCAGTCAGAAAATACAAACTTTCTGTAACAATAAACATTGTAGTAATTCATTGAATGGGATCATAACTTTTTGACTGACGTTTTTTCTCAAGGTCTTGCTCGATTCCATAGCCCGTTTGAGGGGACTACCTTACCTAAACTCGGTAGTGGTCGTGTGGAACTCTCCGAGACCTCCCAGCGCAGAACTGAGATGGCCTGATATCGGCGCTCCGGTGCATATTATCAAAGCTGCCAGAAATTCGTTGAACAACAGATTCTTGCCGCTGGACAATTTAAAGACTGAAGCGATTCTGTCGGTGGATGACGATGCACATTTGAGGCACGACGAAATACTCTTCGGCTTCAGAGTGTGGAGAGAGCACAGGGATAGGATTGTTGGTTTTCCTGGAAGGTAATTATGAACCGTGTATGTTTTCAAGCGGGTCAATGTTGAAGTGTTTCTGAAACACATTACATTTTGCTTCCAGATACCACGCCTGGGACCTGAATACCAAAACTAGTTGGTTGTACAACTCGAACTACAGCTGCGAGCTGAGCATGGTGCTGACAGGGGCAGCCTTTCTGCACCGTCACTACCTCCACCTCTACTGGAAGTGGCTGCCGCAGGCCATCAGGGACAAGGTAGACGAGTACATGAACTGTGAAGACATCGCCATGAATTTCTTGGTCAGCCACGTCACCAGAAAGCCTCCTGTAAAAGTTACTTCGCGGTGGACATTCCGATGTCCCGGCTGTCCTCAGAGCTTGTCTGAGGACGACACACATTTCCAGGAGAGGCATAAGTGCATCAACTTCTTCTCACAGGTCAGTACAGGAATTTTCAGGATTGTCTTCATTCTGTATTATTTTCTTATAATGTTTTTTGTCCAATTCCTTGGCAAATATAGACGAGGAACGAGACTTCAGAAGATATTAATATTTCTTAGCTGCATTGCAGAACAAATTGATAAATCATTTCAAAGGTATTTTTCTGGATCGTTAATTAGTAAAATGCATTCAAATAGATATAAAAATACAGCTTATTTCATAGTAATGATCTTCACCATACTGAATGAGCTCCCAAAACAATATTTTATATTTTTTGAAAGTCATTTTGTGTTTTTTGCCGTTTTTAAAGTTTTCAGCTTTTCATAGTCTGAAAAATTACCAAAGAATCTGCTGAAGGGCTAACTGAAAAGTTTCTGCTTGATATAAACGGCTGTAGAGTCCAATTGGTCAGTAATTTGACATAAGTTGAGTAATTTAATGTGAAAATTGAATTTATATACTCAGCTTTTTGTAAGATGGTCAGCGTTTTGGAAAGTAATTCCTTTCAGTTTACGAAACCTAAAAAATATATACAAATTCATGTTTTCATCAAATATGTAATTTGTAAACAAAATGTATTAACACAATTTACTGCCTGATTGGACTCGTCAGTGGTTTATATTATGTAGTAACTTTTCAGAGTGAACTTTTCAACTTGGCCTTAATACGCTTTGTTTATTTTTTTATTGTAGAAGGTTGAAAAATTAGAAAAACAACAAGAAATATTTTATATTCAACACCACTGCCCAAATTTATATTTCAATATTCTTTATAGGTTTTTGGGTATACTCCTCTACTGAACACCCAATATAGGGCGGATTCGATATTATTCAAGACGAGGATTCCCCACGACAAACAAAAATGCTTTAAATTCATTTGAGGATCACCAATATCAAGTCATTTCTCAACAGGTTCTGTACAATTTGTATATTTTCTTACAAAAGTTTTTAAGTTACAAGTTTTATTTATTTGTATATTTTTAATCAATATAAATTGTGATAACTCATTAAGACTTTTTTAATGTTTTTATTGTGCCATTTTTTGTATCAAGTGTGTAAATAAAATAAACGTTGTTAACAAGACTTTTTTTATATTAACTCCCATCCTGAAAAAATATTGCTACCACTTGAAATTTTAAACATTTGGTCTCTTCGCTTTTCTATTCCTCTGATGGAAGGATTTGTCAGGATCAATTGTGAACTAAGGGTTTTATTACCTCTGTTGTACATGTTTACTATTTCTCGAAGAATATATTAATGAGAAGTATTATAGGTCTTCCCAGATGTATCCAAGGATACAGTACCTCATTTGAATAAAGTTGTGGAACTAGTGGTTAAGTACGTGTCCTCCAACATACCCAATTAAACGAAATATAACCACATTATAACATTACTCGACACATATTTCAATCACCAAGTGATCATTTTCAAGAGAAGGATAAAAAGTTTAATCTTAATCAACATCAATTCTGTCTCAATCATAGAGATGTCAATATGGACTGACCGTTACAAAAGTTTTATAATACATACACTCCGGATCACACGAAGTTTTGGAAATGACGTCACTGCCCAAAAGAATAGGCTTGTGCTACGTCATACGTAATATGGGTTGCATACTGGGTAGTCAGTATTATGTGTCCAATCGAACAATAATGAAATAATTGTCTAATGAAATAAAGTATAGTAAATCATTTTAGTAGTATTTTTTTTGGTACTGACGATTTATTCAGGACTGCTGCAACAAAAAATTGAAATTTTTTTCGATGAAAGTATGCAACACGTAAAACATCATGACGTCAAATCTGATGTTCAGGTACGTGTTTCTATCACCAAGTGATCATTTTCAAGAGGACCATTAAACTGATAATTATGAAATACCAAAACGTGGATCTTTCCATCCTTTTTCAGTTGTTGGAGTAGGTCACAGATCACAAAACTATGTTGTTGTAACCTTGCACTCTCTCTTCAATCACCGTGTTTACTTCTACACGGTGATTCAGTAATCATACAATATCGGAGGTAGTTCCGATATTCTGTGTCCATATTATGACGTCAGTGGCACCAACAAATAAAAAAACTGCATTTTGCAGTTGCATGAATGAAATATAAGAATAGTTGTTTGTACCTATTTTAAATTCCGTAAATATTAAAACGAATAAAATTATTGATGAAGAATGAATACACACAAAACTAGGCATAGGATGCATTATGCACATCATTTCAGCTAATTCCTCATAATTACAAGGCACATGCTCTCAAGAAATTTTACTTATAACCTTCAATATTGCAATACATTCAATAGGTTATTCACTACTAACATGTCGGGCAATAAACCTCTTGTTTTCAATATTTTATCAGAATGTAAAACATCCAAAGCTCGAGTAGGGAAAATGACTTTACCACATGGTGTCGTTGACACTCCAGTATTCATGCCTGTAGGAACACAGGTAATAATAATGTTCATTCAAAATGTCCTTGGAAACTGTATTAATTTTTTTCAGGGAACTCTCAAAGGAATGTTACCAGAACAATTGGAAAAAATGGGGTTACAAATAATGTTGGCCAATACCTATCATTTGGGAACCAAGCCAGTGAGTGCATTTAATCAAAGAATATTTGAAAGAAATAAAAGTTGGACATTTTTAAGGGTGCAGAAGTTCTGAAAAAAGCAGGAGGACTCCACAAATTCATGAACTGGGATAGACCCCTTTTGACAGATTCCGGAGGGTTTCAAATGGTTTCCCTCCTGAAATTAGCAGAAATAACTGAAGAAGGTGTCAAGTTTCAGTCATTGAATCAACAAAAAGCTGAAGTCATGCTAACTCCTGAGCATTCCATTGAAATTCAGAATGCAATTGGAGCAGATATCATCATGCAACTGGATGATGTAATAAAAACAACCTCTCCAGATGAAAACCGAGTAAAAGAATCTGTTCTTAGGTAAAAAATATAACCATGTGTAGGTAAATTTAATTGATGTAACAACTTTATCAATTGTGTTTTAGGACTACCAGGTGGTTGGATAGATGCATAAAAGCTCATCAAAATCCAGACACACAAAATATATTTCCTATTGTCCAAGGGACTCTCTATAAAGATCTAAGAATAATAAGTGCAAATGAATTAATTAAACGAAGTGTCAATGGCTTTGCAATTGGAGGTTTGAGGTTAGTATTATATCACTCCATAAATGATGTTTTTAAGAGAAATGGGGCATTCTGAGGTTTGGCAATCAATGGTTGCGTAAGCTGTTTAATGAATGATAGTCAAAAAGTCAGATTTACATCATTCTTGTAAATCTATAATTTTCGTAACAGAATGGACGAATAATTTTCAGCAGGAGCATTAGATAATCTCTCCCAGATTAGGTTTCTACTGTGAAAGTGACAGTCTCTCACCTCATCCTGAGGTGTGTGTGTATCTGCTCCGAAAGGATATACGACTCTTACCCCATTCAGTATCACTACAGAAACCTATAAAGTTTTGTCATATTAACACGTGAATCTGCTGCGATAAACCTTTTTTTCTAGCCAATCTAAACTAGAATATACAGAGATAATGGGCGTGGATTTAACAACCCCAACTGCCCCCCCCTGCAACATCCGATTGAGATCAAAAACTTCTTAGTTCTCCAAATCTGTTTTCAATACTTTCATGGAAAAATCTAGATTTTCTTTCATTTGATACAAAGTGAAACGATTCCCTTTGTTGGACAGCAGAGTATTTAATATTACATTCATAAGGAGAATGTCAAAAATAAAATTTTGAACAGTTGTTCACAAAAATATCAACTTTAATACTTTTCCATGTGAGAAATTGTTATATTTAAATTAATCTTTCAGAAACCTCTCGATTATGGTTTTTTCTAATGTAATGCAGATTTATGTACTCAAAAAGAGTTGCAAACTTGATTGTTCTCGTTACAAAAATTTGACAAGTTTTGAAACTTCTTTGGTTTTTCCACAAGTTTAAGATAGTGGATATGTGAAGTTTGTCAACGATTGATTTAAATAAGTGGGATTATCACTGCACTAGTGTTGTTTTGGTACGTTATAATGGATTTTCATCAAGTATGTTAAATTTGTTTATACAGTAAAAGTATTTTTGTTTGTTTCACAGTGGTGGAGAAAGCAAAGATGACTTCTGGAAAGTTGTACATTTGTGTACAGATTTGCTACCTAAAGAGAAACCACGGTATCTTATGGGCGTTGGATTTGCAGTTGATTTAGTTGTATGTTCTGCTTTGGGCGTGGATATGTTTGACTGTGTTTTCCCTACAAGAACTGCAGTAAGTTTAAATATTTTTTGGTTTTATTCTTGAGATTTTAAATTTTTCAGACTACCTTTATCTCTTCCTCTGCTCTGAAATCTACAAAAAACTTCAGTAAAAATATTTTTCCTTAGATGTATCAGATCGATAAATTTAAAATAAAATGACAAATTTGATTGTATCAAATGTTTGACTGGATCAAGACAGGTCAGAAAAATGTTTTTCCCTATTCTTTACAGAGATTTGGTTGTGCCTTGTTATCGATTGGACAGTTAAACCTGAGGAAAGCAAAATACGCCAAAGACTTTGGGCCCATAGATCCAGAGTGTTGGTGCAACACCTGCAAAAACTACACCAGGGCCTACTTGCATGGAGTAGTGACACAACTACCAGTAGCCTGTCATTTGTTGTCAGAACATAACGTAGCTTTCCAAATGAGGCTCATGCAGGAAATACGGGACAGTGTCAGTGAAAACCGGTTTCCGGACTTTGTGCAAAACTTCATGTTGAAACTGTATCCTGACAAGAACTATCCGAGCTGGATAAAAGATTCTTTGAGTGCGGTGAATATGGAATTGCTGTGATTTGAATTCAAAATGTTTTCTACGTCAAAGTTTCCATTATTTTATTTTTGAACAGTGTAGCAAGTTAGTCTTTATTTATTTGAAGGTACATGTACCTTTCGTTACCAATTTTCACTGTTTACCTTATTTATTTTCACAAACATTCCTTTACAAAATCAGTCATTAGAATAATATCATGTGACCAAAGATACCATCCTAATTTATTTTACCATTAAATTTTTTCATAAAAATGTGTATTATTCACCAGGTGGTGGTTCTGTTCTAACTGAAATGATTTTGCTAGGCTCTTATCGAAAACTACTTATTTTGGAAGAAAGTTGAAATGATTCTTAGATTTTTACATTCTACAAACAGATTGTCAACGATGTGCAACATAAAAAGTAACTTCTAATTTCTGAAGAAAAAAATACTTGCATCTCTGAACTTTTGCCTATAAAACAAGAAATTATACAATAAGTTCACATATTTAGTTAGCGCTTTCTTCAAAATGGTTGATCTTTATTGAAAAATAATCTGTTTCTGATTTCAAAAACTATTTTATTTTTTAACGTACTGGGTTTCTTTTTACCTTCTTCTAAATGTTATATTTCATTGTAACTTTTCAGCTTGCATTTCTTTATATAACTTTAATGTTTACATGTTTGAAAACCCTGAATAGTCCTAGAAATATTAAATCAAGCTAATAAATAATTTGTTAATAAATATACTCATCCGAGACATAAGACATTCAAGAAAAAGGAATATCAAATAATCCATTTTAGTTAAGAAACTGAGCTGAATGGACTTCACTAGCAGTAACGGAGTGAATTGACTTTTTATTATTGTGGCATATTTTACAAGATTTAGAAAACATAAAATCATTGAAAGGTTGATTTTTATGTATCGTCATTTTTGTGGCCAAATACTTCTGTTTTTGTTTTGGGTCCATATATATTTAATCTACTTTGTGTGTTTCTAGTTCTGGGTATGTAGAGTTTGATCTTTCTCTTGAAGATGATCACTTGGTGATCGAAAAACGTATCGAGCTGTTAAAATAATAGTTTCGTGTTGGGAAAAAACTCTAGTTATATTTATGTAGAAATGTTCGAAAAAGTCCAATTCAACTTTTAATGTATGTAAAGTACAAGAATAGAACACAATACTTCAATTACAAAAGAAAAATAATATATATGACCTCTCTCTTAAAGTTTGACACTGCTCTTTCAAACATCTATATGGTGAGTCAAAATAAATAAATTACAACAATTATCAGTGGACAAATTCTATTGTTTTAATAAATTTGAATCTACCGTACTTCAACCTATGAAATACTCTCGACATCATTATTCATTCTACTCTAAAGGGGGTTCTGTTTTCAGTAGAAAGTCTAAAAAGGAAATTGTTATTTGGGATATTTTAAATGAATTTTTGAAATAACTGCAGGCCGCTTCTACACAAATTGAAATATACTTCAAATTACATTTAGACGATTTTCTTTGTTGGACTGATGGAGAGAAAAATGCTTGGGATATCTTCAATAACATACTTTGCATTCTTCCTACCACTAATGTTAAAAACAGTTTTATTTATTCATTACAAACAAGTTCATGTTATGATTTCAGTAGAAAAATCATTTTGTATAACGCTCACACTCCTCATGCCTACATGAAATCGTCCGAATCATTCCCATCATCATATTTGTCCATATTTTCAGAGTTCATAAGAGAGTTGTAGCTGCGCAGTTCGGCATCTTCTTTCCTTTTCTTTTCCTCTTCTTCTTCCTTTCTCTTCTGCTCCCTAAGTAATTTTTTCTTGTCTTCCCTCTCCAGCCTATCCCTTTTTTCTCTCTCTGCTCTAAAATCTACACAAAACTTCAATTGAAGAAATCTCCTCAATATTTTATTTTGGGTGAATCTAATAGAATGATGGAGATATTAGACTTCTCAGTGACATAAACATTCTTAATTAATCCATCAGATAAACCAATTTACGTATCTGGGGTGAAAATTAAAAGTAATCTCCCTTTTGAAGATGATCACTTGGTGATTGAAACACGTGACGAGGTGTTAAAAATAACAGTTTGGTGTTGGGATAAATTTTCAGTTATATTCAGTACCAATGAAGTTTAGAGTATTGGATGAGATTTGTTATATCTGGATCATATCAACACACACCATGATTGGTGTGTCTGAATTTTATATAGATCCTGATTTCCAAATTAAAACAATTTACTCTGATAGAAATGAAGCTTTGGTATACTTTTTTTGTTAATGATGTTGCTAAATAGGTTTATCACAGCTGTCCCTCATGAATTAGCCGATTCCTTCAATATGGCCACATATTTTGTTTTACCTCCAGCTCATATGTGGGAAGAAATGTGTTTTAAATCAATAATATCAATTACGATGAAATAAATGAACAACTCAATCATTAATGATCAATAATAAAGCTATTATGTTTTGAAGATAATCAATTCAGATAATTTATTATCCAGGAAATTCGAAAAAAGGTTTGGAAATTTCAACTTGTAAACATAAAAAATTTGAACTTTGGTTTCTTTGGAACCAGAATGGAATCGTTAAAAACATTCTTATCCTTTTATCAAAGTAATTGTGAAGTGGAAATGTCAATTTTATATGAAAACATTAAATTATTTCTCCCAAATGAAAATTAAATGATTCACCTGGATTCTCTTCCCTCTTCGTTTTGTTTAGCCTATTTACTATTTCATTTATCCTTTTTGCTACTCGTATTTTTCTTACTTCTTTCTCTTTATGGAAACCAACTTGACCGACTTCCATTCCTGGGGTTTTTTTCAAATTAGCCCACATTGTGTAAACAATATCGACATCATTCATTTTGTTTCCCATAATGCTGTTTGCTTTCACAAGTTGGGCAGCATCTTCCAGTACTGCTGAAGGGATATCATCTATCGTCTGGCCCTGAAATGTTTATTAATAAAACCAATATATTTCATTCAACTAATCTACCAAACACATACTTGTTTCAATCGCAGGTATACATGAGCCGAGGATACTTTATCAACATGAAACCACACATCTTCAGGCCAGCCCCATTTGATGAGATCCTCATCTATAACAAAAACAAGAGTGCAACATTTGAAAAATTTCCATTATTTCTTTACTGACTTTCATTTTTGTCGAATCCCATAAACAATAATGTCGGAGGTGAAACGACGTCACTCTCAAAATAGTACACCATTTTGAGAAAATATATTTTCTAAAAAATAATAGAAACTTGGTAATTCAGAATAAATAAAAATGCTTATTATAAATAGTAAGGTTAAATCCAGAATTCTTCTTCTGGGAAACGGCCTCAGTTATCAAAGATATTCGACATTGGCAGCTCATTTTCAGATGAAATTTCAAACGGTAAATTTTTTTTTGAAACTACAAATTAGAGAAAATATTGGTAAAAAATACATTATTTTCAGAAAACCAGTATTGAGGAAGGTCAATAATTATTTACAGCATATGGCTCATCTCAAACTATGAACGCTTTTAATGATTTCTGTTGTACGAAGAGGAGTTATGGACATTCAAAATAAGTAAGTAAGTAAGTAGTCTTTATTGAATAGGAATAATCCTAATATTCACAATACAAAGTTATAATTCTACAATAAATGATAATCAAGTAAATACTATATCAAAACATAATACAATGAATGGATCCATGTATAAATTTATAACAAAATACATTATTAACAATAAACATAGTAAGATTGGGAAGAGATAAAAGAAGGTCATTTAAAAAACAATCTGACGAATGAAACAACGCTTCAAAGTAGATTAATTGCAAATAGAAGAAGAAAATTCGCATTAACTGAGTCATCAGTTAATGATAAATGAAATGTGAAACATCATTTTCTCGTTTTGAAGAACAACCTGATTTTTGCTAATTTGAGCACTGTCATTTTATTTCATCTATATTTTCCAAGGAAGTGATACTGATGTTAATGAAAAAACAAAGCTGCAGTAGTTCATTGATGATATATTTTTAATCTATGTTAGGAATCACACGTTAAAAGGGAAGACCTCGTTAGTCCTTAGCTCGCACAAGTTTCTCAACTTCTGAGAGTTGTCGTTCGTATGGGGGTGGCAGCTGATTAACGGAAAAACAGATTTTTTTTTTAAACAGATCTGTCATCCAGTTTCATAAGAAGTGATTTTCACTTAGAAGAGAGTTTTATTCATTAGGGATGATTAGATATTACTTACATCCAACATAATTTAGTAGATACCTACGAATTGTTGATATGTTCTGTGCATAGACTTGGCACTTCAAGAGCCAATTCATGTACAATGCGATTTTCATTATCATTATCGATCATTTAATTTCAATTGATGGCAAATATTTTCAATAAAACGAAAACAGGATATTCATTGTGTATATAACGAATGCAAATAATTTGTTTACAGAGGTGCGGTTGACTTTAATTTAGACTAATTTTATTGATGTCGAATATATTTGAAAAATGTCCGATGCGACTAAATTCAGCTCTTAAAAAACGCGAAATGAAGCTGTCACAGTGTGAGAAATGTCATTTTCCAATTTTTTTTGGATGATATAATTTCAGAATGATATAAAATGATATACTGAAACATTTAACATTCGATTTGTAATTTAAAATTCCAAGTCGCTGGCGAAAATCAAATTTAAAATTACCAGCAATTAATTTTTTTCACGCTCTTTAACAATTAGTTCTCCTTGTTCCGGTTGGTCGAATATCTAATGTCGAGTTTAAACAAATTGTCTTGCATATTAATTTTTTTCATTGCGAACGAAGCACCACAACTTTTACCTCGACTAAATCGAGCGATGCGCATAACGAGAGCGATACTTTTCAATAATTTTCTCATGCGTGAAAGACCAACTGAACGCTCAGGAATTCGAAGAGTGTAAATAAACATTCAGTACCAGATAATTTCTCATAACTGTTATACAAAGGCGATAATTTTTTACACTCTGGAATTACGAAATACTTTTTTGATGCACCTTCTTATAACTAAATAGTGGTAAGAAAGAGTTCACAAAACATAGAGAAATCATCGAAACATGCTTTTCTCCTGGTTGGTAGGCAGTGGTTGAATGGAACCGGAAGTACCAACAGTTTCGTCTACTACTGCGGTAGAGAATAAAAGTCATAATAAGCATTTTTAAATTATCTCAACGAACAAGAGCCTTCACAGAAGGACCTGTACCTGGTGTGACAAACTTCCTTATTGTCAAACAACAAGTATTCTTACGTTGGATCATCCTGATTCAGCGAATAATCATAAGATTACCTATTCGCTGAATTTCAGCATCAAACTGAACATAGTGGTTAGCTTCATTTGTGAAAGAACGTTTGTTTGCGTTGATGATCAAATAAAGTCCAGTGACCTTTATGAGAGATTGTCTAATAATTACATCAGTTTCTATTTTCAAGAAAGCGAAAATGTGGAATCGCATCAACTGCAAATAGCAATTTTAAATATGTTACAAAATATATGTTGTTCAAAGTAACGTACGATGCCAGTTTCTGTTCCTCTGTAATTTGGCAAAACTGAAATATTCGTGTGAAACGTACCTTGAAAAAGGAATTTTTTAAATAACTTGCTCCAATTTTGAAACTCATTATCATCATCAGGAATCGTTATTAGCCAGTGATGAAACCAACAAGCAGAATTTTAAATTCGTAACCTTTTGTAACCTAAACATGAAGAGTTTCAACGTACTCATTATCATTATTCTATAGCTATTGAAAACCAAATTTTCGATAATTTGATCAGAACTTTCAGTTTTCACAAGTATGAATAAATAAAATGAAATATGGCCGTGTATTATAGTACACAATTAAGTGATAATTGCGAGTACCTACAAAAGTTGAACTAAATTGTTCATATGCAAGTAATCTGACATACTTTATTCACAGTAAGTCAAATTACCAGCAAAAACCACCATGAAACAAATTTAACGTTATTTATGGCACAAGCCTTCGATTATACTTTTTGTGAAGAAATAAAAAACTAGGAAAAACTAAATGAACTGAAAAAAATAAAACTTCAATTAATCAAAATATATATTTTACTCAAAGAATATTTCCTACTTGAAAAAGGATTTTTTACAGGAGATATTATTTCATTGGGAAAAGCTTTTTTGACTTTCTACTTTCACATCATGAATTGTAACTCAGAATTCAGAAAAATTCGGAATTTCGACTTCAATCTCTAATTAAATATCGTTGAACTCGAAATTTTGTTGAATTCCGACTACACTCTCGAAATTTCGAGTTTAAAATCGAAATTTAGTGATTTTTTGTAACAATTTGTAGTCTTTTTACGTCTTTCTACGTGTTTCGATCACCAAGTGGTCATCTTCAAGAGAAAGATTGAAATCTATATATATCTATACCTACTAATATAAATGTGAAATGTGAGAATGTATGTATGTTTGTGGCTCTTTCACGCCTAAACGATTGAACGGATTTAGATGAAACTTTACATAAATACAGCTTATACATCAGAATAATATATAGGCTACAATTTACAAAGGTTTCATGTTATTTTGGTTATAGTATAATGATAAGTATTGAGTGAGTCGGAAAAATTCTTACTATATTTTTAAAGTAAAATATAAATTACTAGCTGATGACCGCTCTTATATTCACGTACAGCCGAAGCTACTGAACCTAGAATCTTGAAATATGCAGGTAGGTTCTTTGTATAGCGTAAATAATCATCAAGAGAGGGAATCAGGAATGTCCACTCCCAAGGTGGAAAAATGGGGTTTCAAAGATTGTATTGAATTTCGTCAGTTCTGAAGTTGGAAACCTGAAGTTTTGGGGTATTGTTCGAAATGGTCTGTCACGAAACAACTAGTAAAATTATATTTTAAAAACAATTTTAAAAATACTCTATAAACTCAATTGTTTCTTTTTTGTTGTGCATTAGACTGAGATAATCTTGATTTATGAGAATATCTAAACGATTTATCGTTCCCATGATAATTTAATTTAAACTTTCTACTTCAACGAATTCTATCGATAATTTGCTTGCCGTTCCGCGTCACGTCTTGAACCCGTTCGTTCATAAGTCGATGTATCAAAAATGCTTTCGAGAAAAACTATGCCCTAAATTCAACAACCTTGCAGTTTGCGTTATGACATTGAACATTCGGATCGGACAGATGATATATATGTATACTTACCTACTTACTCGTTTGATGATGCAATCGATATTTATTGAAGCAGTTCCTGATGACTCCAACATTCTCCAAGGATAAAAGTATTTGTTCATTTCTTGAAATCATAAATCTGTAAATGCTAACTAGATAACTACATAAGAGAAGAGAGCTCTACGCTGCCTGAAATAAATAGACGATTACAATGAGTACAAGTTTGAGCAGTTGAAAAGCCCAGGAGTTTATAACTTTGGCTTCGCACGGGTGCAATTTAGAATATTTATGTGAAACATAGTTAAAGTCCACATTCGAATAATTCAAAAAGGAATTGGCATGTACGTAAACAACCTTGAAATTATTTAGTTAGGTGAGGATTAATGTCCGCATATGAATGTCATCTTTTCTACCCGTACATTTCAGTGCCATTTCACATAATTTCAGTTCGCCTTCATCGAAAATTATGATTGTCATTCAATTCGTAATTTTATACAGAATAATTTACGATTCGAGCCAAGTTGCGCTAACAAATAGTTTAGTTATAAACAATTTAATTAAAGGAAAAAGAGGTGATCGTTTTCTACAAATATCTCAAAAACTACGATAGATATTCAAGATTTGGAAAAAATCCTTAGAGCAGAAAATTTAGATAGGTACTGAATAAATTCACCTCTCGAATTTTAGAATCATAGTGAGTGAGTATTATGGCTTTCGACTTCATCTCGAAATTACGACATTAATCTTCGAGATGAAAGTCGTTATTTCGAAATTTAGAGTTAAAAGTTGGAATTTCGAGAACAAATGTTTAAAAATATGTGGCTCTTCTGCGCTTTCTTAAATTTATCATACCAAGGTTAACATTATGGCAATTTCCGTGAGTATTTCTAATTTTTTCCAAGGTAAAATACAGTTTATGATAATGAACAAGTGATTTTTTTTCAAATCGGTGAATTCGTTTTTGAGAATATCCGTTAAAACGAAAATGAAACCTTTTGTCTTTATAATATTAGCGAAGAAGAGACCGTTAAGGCCTCAATATGACTTTCAGTGGAGCTAAGATTGATAAAAAAAAATTTGAAACTATGAAAATGAAAAATCAGATTCTTCAAAACTGAAGCGCTGAACTGCAATGCTCCGTTATATAGAATCTTCCAAACTAGAGACTAGTTAATTGGTGTGTTTGATACACCTTGAAAGTGGCAAGATCTTCAGTGAGGATTAAGCGAAGCAAATAAGGAAAGTAAATTACTCTAAATAAAAATGCAACCTTGTCATCTTCATTAAGGCCGTCGTAATTTGGCACAGGGACGGTGATGATCGCTGATCTGTAGGTAGGAGAAGAACAGTTCAGACGTGCAGAGTGATTTTTGAGTTTTATTTTGAAACGCATTCATTTAAATCAACTACTTCTTTTAATTTTTTTCTGTTGTTCGAAAGCGCGTAAGAAATGATGAAACACCCATAGCACGATAACAAAAAAATTCAGGTGCGATTTTTTTTAATAAATTACCATCATGCCTGTCGAATTAGAATTTTATTGCGATTGAACTAGTGCAAAAAAACGTGTTTGTTATTGGATGCATACAAATGGAGTTTGGGCAGTGTGAAACAGTATTTTCTTTAAAAATTCAGTTGGTTTCTCTCTGTTGTATGATTTGCAAAAATGCCTATTGAAATATTCGGTTACATGGTAGTGTCTGGTACTTTGTATTCGCCATCACATATGATAATTTTAATAGGTCTCTTATTTTTTGTGAATTAGCCACATGCTATTATGAAATATTAATAAAAACAAAATTATTTTTCTAGTATTTGGAAAAGAAATCTATGAACTTACTCTCAGAACTAATGTATTTTTGAGGAATTTTATTGCTCATACACCGAATATTCTGATGACATACTTTAATAATGGCTGATTTGTCAGCTATTTTGGTAACTAATTGACATACCGTTGGATTAAGTCATGTGAGAGGAGCTTCTAATCATAGGACAGGGACTTCAAGTCTATAAATACGTGATCAATTACAAACACAATTATTACAGTCATTATTGGTAAAGCAATTAACGGAATAAACCATTATTATTCATCTCTTTGAGTTTGTGGGTATTTATCGTTTACAATTTTCAACTGGTAATCAATGGATAAGTTACATTACATTCTCATAGATATATTGAAAGAGTAGTTATAACAATGACCTGGAAAAATGCCTTATCAACATTTTACGCTCTTTCAACTACTATTTTTGGAATATTCTCTTCCATCAATTATCATATTTTTTACTATCATTTCTTGCTAAATTCGATTTGCCTAAACCAAGCCACAATAAAAAACCGGATCTTCATAATCTTCTAGATATTGGGAAACAGGAAATACTGACACACAACTTTCAAAAAATCAATATTTATTGTACCTACGATGTTCTTCCAAAAGCTATTACAATAATTTATGCAATTGTTGGCGAAAGGGTGAAAACCGAAGCGAACAAAACATTTTTCTTCTCCATCTCTCGAGATTGCAAATGATTATAAACATTCAAATATGGATAACAGCAGCCATGTATTGCATAAGATGTAGGCCGAGTAATATATACGTCGGCAGAACGTCCATCTGACAGTTCATCGAAAAGAGTGTAGCATTGCCGTCTCTTGTAGGATTAACATTTGGTGAAGCGAACAAAACATTTTTCTTCTCCATCTCTCGAGATTGCAAATGATTATAAACATTCAAATATGGATAACAGCAGCCATGTATTGCATAAGAACTCATTTAATTGAGGATAAAATGAGAGGCTTCAAATGTCTTTCTCTACAATAATTTATTATGTTCAGGAACCGCACTCAGGTTGTAAATTATGGGTCAAAATCATTTCGTAAGTTCTCCAACACGTAACAATATGAATTTGTTGCAATAAAGATTTAGTATAGTCTTGGAGATAAAAATTGCACATTTGAGACCTTGCTTAGAATATATTTGTACAAGATGAATTCCATATGAGAATAAAATTATCTATATGAACATACGACATAATGAATACGACGTATTTAAAGCACACCAAAAACTTAATAATTCCATGTAACAAGTTCTTATTAAAAAAGAGGAGCAATAGTACTATGGAGTTCAGGTTATGTCGGTTAACATCAAAAAAGAAACATTGATATTCCAATACAAACCGTAAGATGCTAGTGATATCATAGATCATGACCTCTCTCAGATGTATAAGGAATATTACTTATTTTCATAATTAAGAAAATTACTGATGATACGTTGCATACACGCGGTATTAACAAAGGTGAAGGATACTCGTACACATTCACTTGCCTGTATTATTTTGTATACAAATGTAATTATGAGAAAACTTGGTTGTCATGAATACCGACTTTTTCCGTTAAAAAGTACAGAGTAACGGAAAAAGTCTGAAATTTACGAAAAAAGCTGAGAATTTCGGCAGAAACTATGATGACGAAACTGAGCGAACAAAAAAACGCGTTTCGAAGAACACGTTTCACGTAATATTCGGTATCGTAGACCAGAAAAGTCTACTGTCGCTGAACATGTCTTAGAGAACGATCGGAAAATGAGTGAAACATGTTGACATTATTCAACGAAAGTCATTTTTTGTGGAGGAAAAAATCAGTAAACTAAAAAGTTTGCCCTTCTACACTTGTATAAAGTGTAGAAGGTAACAATTACCCAAAAAAGGTCGATAAAAAAAGGTTGACATTGTTGAGGCTGGTACATTACCAAAGCTTTTCGGACACTTTCGAAAGTTTAGAAATCGGAAAATGTAGAATGGGATCTATGAATAGCGATAAAGATTACATTCCAAATAGACCGTTATTAACTATCTCACAAAACAATTATTAATAGATGTCAGGTGAATATTGGGTCACTAGCATATCAATATTACTGGAGTTTTATCCCAATATCAAACCGTTATTTTAATACCTCGTCACGTGTTTCGATCACCAAGTGATCATCTTCAAGAGGAAGATTAAACTAACTGTTTAAACTGATTAAACAGTTAGTTCAATCTTCCTCTTAAAGATTATCAAAATGTTTTCTAAAAAGTATACCTTATACGCTTTAAAACCACAAAAAAATCACAATTAGATAGTTTTTATATGGATCTTCATCATCAAGTCTGGCCATTTCTATTCAAAAATATTTTTCTTCAAATTCCAGAATTTATCAAGTCATATTCATTAATTTGGAAAAGACTGTTGAATACTCTCTGAAAGACATTTCTGTGGAGGAGTCAATATTTCTTGCTGCTTTTGGGTAATTATTCAGCAGATTCTCTATTTATTTAGCTCTGTTTATTTTTCAGATCGTGAAAGGTTCAATACCGAAAAAAACTGTATCAGTTGTTTTTCGAAAAACATGAAATTTGTTTATTTTTTATATGTGACTAGAAACAATTATTAAACGGTTTGAGACGTCGAAAACAAAATATTCCCCCAAAATTGATCAAGAATTGCTCAACACCTACGATAGTGACAGTGGTCGGACGACGTCGAGAGGGGGGACTCCCCGGGGGGCAGAGCTGCAAAGTAGGTTATTGAGCCGTGGGGATGTAGGCCGAGTAATATATACGTCGGCAGAACGTCCATCTGACAGTTCATCGAAAAGAGTGTAGCATTGCCGTCTCTTGTAGGATTAACATTTGGTAAGTTTATGTGTGCAGTGAATCGGCGGAAGTGTATTTTTTCTTCTTTCATAACGGAATCGCCCAATACAGGATCTAGGTGAGGCATTCGACGGCTTTCTTGCATTGGCTCGTCTCTCGCGTTTAGGGAGACCCTGGAATATGTGATGCGGAAAAGATTGTGATTAACGAAAGAAAATAACCACTAATAATTACTCGATCAATGAATAATTCAAAGAAATGTGTAACAAAATCAAACTCGAACGAATTTATTTGAGTGTTTTTATGAATAGTGAAGTAAAGAGCATCACCGTTTAACTAGTAATAGACTTTGCACAAATATTTCATAGAAAAATTACCCTCAGGTTAGATACTCATCAGTTATGTTGTATTTGTATAAGATACTTTGGAAGCCACAATTGTTTATATTATAATTATCATCTCTAATGATCACCTAAGTTCATCTTTTCGTCTAATTGAAAATATTTTTTAGAAAAAAAACCTAATAATTATCTATTTACTTGCGTGATGCAGGATAATTCAAAAATCACTGAAAAAAAAAACCTTCTAAAAATTCCCGCTCTTCGGTTTCGTATTAAAAAACTCATTTAGATAGTAAATCTAGAGTCCTCCAATGTATTATGACAGCTTATATGTTTTTATATGGAGATTAGCCCCTTTGAAACCAGATCGAAGTGATATAGTCTAGGATAGATCCAGTTTAAATATATATAGTTTGATATGGGTTCACATAATCATATTATGGAAGTGTGTTTGTTTTGTAAATACGACATTCTGCTTCCAATAGATATAAAGTCTTGGAAGGATATTAAAATATGCGAACAAAGGTTTGCAGGTTGATCTGTTTGCTGTTTTCATTGTAGCTCGTATTGTTCTTTTTAGGCTTAGACGAGACTTTGCATGCTGGCGTTGCTCCTCATCGTAATATGCCATACATTAATGACTGAATTTCTGCGAAATAGAAATTTCTCAGGCGATTCCTATCGACAACATTTCGAATTCGGCGAACTTGACATATCGCACTAGTATTTCTAAAGGGACACAACTCAAAAATCAATATGAAAAAAATCGATAAATATTTTTTTATCGATCATATAAACTGTATCAAGTTGATACAGTATCATCTGAACTATATCAAGTTGATACAGTTTGGATGTTTATACAACTTGATACAGTTCAGATAAAGAAATATTTACCAATTTTTTCATAGTCTCAACTCAAATATACCGATTTTTGAGTTGTGGAATTTTAGAAATACTAGTGAGATATGTTTGTGTCAATTTTTTTCATCATACTAGATGTGTTTCGGGTTTCGGCCAGTGAAGCGGATCATCTAAAGTCATTCCTATCATTTTCACAGATACATTTCGACGTGTTTGTCGCCAGCCATTTATCTGGTAGGTACGGAAGATCACATATTGTGTTTTTTCAATATTGAGAAACTTTTGATTGGCAGTTTCCCAAATAATATATTACAATCCTTACCAGCTCCAATGCACTGTTTTTTTGGGCAGTACATTGAATTCATTAATGAATGACGTGAGCATAGAGTATTGAAAGATCATTGCGAAAGGGTATATTCCTAATATTGGCCTATAGTTTTCAATGCAAGCTTTTTCTTTATATATTGGAGTGATTTTTGCGACTTCGAAAGACTGGAAAATATCCCTCTTTCCAGAGAGCGGTTCAATGTGTGCCAGTTCGTTGCCAAACCATCTCAAAGTGCTAGTAGAAACTTCATCTACGCCCATTGATACATTATTTCGAAGTTTTTCATCACGCTAATTGAACCAATTTGCTTCCCTTTCAATAATACCTTCAAAGGTGAATCGAATACTGATGAAAAATACTTAAAAAATAAGGTCTTCCTACTACTATTGGTTTGACGTGCGCACTAAAATCGATGTATTTTAAATTTGTGAAAGTATATCTTACTCCAAAACGAAAGTTTTGACTAATCGCTTTTCAGGATTATCTTTAAAAAATTGGGGTAGTTCCGGAGATTTCGAATCTTTCAAGCAAATTACGTCTCGCCCATATGATTTCCGACAATCAGCGCATCAAAATGCAAAGTTGGAAAACATTCATTGTATTAAATCATAATACGTAACAAAAGCACCTTACACAACGCAGTTTTTCAGTAAATTGTGGAGGTGCCCGCATTGAAACAGCAATTTAGAGACTAACATTGTTGCAACAGCCTCATCAATTAAGAACTATCCTAATAACAGGTTTTCGATTCGATCACTTCGCCTGAGAGTTCCTTTGGATTTGTTCAACGATTGAAAAATGACAATAGCAGTTCACGCGAGATCCTTACATTTAAACCATTATTTTCGCAACAGTTTCTTTGCAATGTGAACCATGGCGTTATCATCGTTATTACTTCATCGTGGCCTGTGTTTAATGGGATGTTGGGCAAGTTTTAAGTGAGGTACAATTGAGAACAAGAAGCTTAATGGAAATTCACAGTCGAAAACGATACCCAAAAATTAGTTCAAGGAACTGGATTAGTTCAAATTAAGTCGTTGAAACGATATACGTTTTCGCAATGGATAATCCACGTACAATTATTCCTTTATATGGTTCGTAAAGATATCTTTTTAGTAACGACTCAGAGCTTAAAAAAATCAGTATCTACTCCAGACAAGAAACAAAGAACTCTTATGATCTTGATTCACAAAATGCATCAGCTTACTCACTCCCTAGGCTCAAGTTACAATTTGCGAGGGCTGCTTCTCAAATACTTGGAACACTGTTCGAAACCAGAAAACTGTACACACCTGGACTGTGGCTGTTCATCGTTTTGAGGTTCAACTCAGTACACCTCGAACTCCACTGTTTAAAAACTCTTACATATGGAGAATTGTGTTTATGGGGAATAAAATTCCTGAGAACATTTTTCCAAATGAATTTATTCTCCAGCGATTCAAATTGAATGTGAATTATTACTTTCGCACAGACACCGCTCTTAGAGCGCCTTAGGGATTTTCCTGTAGTGCTTGTGTTTTGTCCTTGGAAAAAAAATGAAAAAATGCAAATGTTGCTTTGCTTCTGCAAATTCTCACCACAACAATAAACAATCTGATGAAAAAAATACAATTGCGAACAATTTCAATTGTTTCAATGGATTGAAATTGTGGCGCAACTAGACGAGGTTTTTTTGTAAAAATTAAATCAATAGAAAGAAACCTTGATACTTTGACCAGAAAATATCGTTTTTCTATTCCTAAATATGTCAACCATTGTCGACGACGGTCAATAATTTCGAAAAACGACGGGCACGGATGTTTTCAATAATATGTTTATTAGGGGAAAGTATGAATATTAAACTTTTATTAGTAATCATTAAAATATGTTGAAATGGTCATCCTCCTATTCGTCATTTCCACTAATTCGTCTCTTATTGGGAATTTCGCACAGAATTAATGACAGCTCAGTAATGAAAGAGATTGTATGAATTCAGTTTCGACTCAACTGATGTAATTTCACAAAAGAGGTAGTTGCTAAACTCGATTTAATATCACACAATGATGGATGATTACAAGTCACTTAAAAATTGCGCAACATCCTGAATACTGATCAATTCCCATCGATATGATAGTCCCATTCTCCAGGAACAGTGCCGTAGTTTCATTTAAATAGGGGTATTCGTTGAAGGTTTACAATTGACGCATTTTCATCTTATATTTTTTGGCACTAACGTTTATTCCTTTTTAAAGTTGCCACTGCTGTCTTAATTACCTATAGTATAACATAATTGAGACTTTTGAACTGCTCTTGGAATTTGAAAAAAATATAGAAATGAGCTTTGCTCGTAAGTTATAAATTTACGTGAGGTAATGATTCTAATGAACATTTCGGATGGGTAAATTGCACTTACATTAAAAAAAACATATTATAACACATAGAGTAAGATCTGAAATTCAAGGTCGTAAAAAAACAAAAGAAATAGAATGAGTTAGGGACTATCATTCAGTGCTAAATTTTTTTCTTTCAATATACCTACCTAAAATTTTTGCCTTTTATATCGTTATCCGTTTGAGAGCATATTTGATTTGATTTTTTCTATACTGCACGTATTATCTGATAAAAAAGGCAATAAAAAATCTGTTTTTAGAATTACTTTCATTATTCCGTGCGAAGTAGTTGAAATTTATTTAATTTTCGGTAAGATCAAAAAACATGTACGAAGAGTTTGAATAAAAGTTGTTATTCGAGTTTATTAACTGGGGTAGATACGCCACTGTCCAAGAAGAGAATAAATAACCATTTTAGTCGTTCTTGTTAGCATACTGTTCAAACTAACTGCATCAATTTTACGCAACCTATAGTAATAATGCTAAACGAGTTGGCAAATCATTTGATAGGTGTGAAATTTTGAAACAAATTAAAAAGCGATTTCCATACTGGTTCGGCATCGAACTCTTCTTAATATGGGATTATTTTGTTGTCAGTAACATTTTCTGTGTCTCTGCTTTGACGAATAATAATTTAATAGAGAGATCATAGGGTTCAAAGCGGTTACAGCTTTAATAATGCAATGTGAACTTTCTCTTCGGATCACTATTTTCCAAAGCAAGGCTGTTAGTCGTTCTTTCTTCCTGATGTGGGAGATGAATACACTTCCTTCTTCACATAACAAATGATATAAATAACGAACATTTTTTCACTGAAAGTGCAGTGTTATTTATCAGTGAGAGTTGAAAGTGGCATCAGCACGTTCGATTTCATAATAGTGTTTCAGATTTTCGATGAGTCGATGTAAATGTAGGTTTTTGTGAGATGTAAAACAAACAAATATTTTCCCTATTATGAGTATTAACCAGTTGGGGTTCTTCCTCAATTATAATTAGTTTTTATTCACAAATAATATACTACCATTTAATTCTGTGTTAAATTTATTTATGAAAATTTTTGGATAATACTCAAAATTGCATTAGTGAAATATTCTAATCATTCCGCTCTTATGTATTTCGAGAAGTTTAGGTAGGTAACAGTATTTTCAATTTTGAACTATCCGAGTAAATGTATTTAAAGTTGTTGAAAAAATTTAATGAAATAATTATTTAAGGGAAAAATAAGTTTCCAATATATAATTGACTGAAATGAATTAATGTATAAGCCTTTGAACTAGGCAGGTTATATATGACATTGTTTCTCAAAAGTGTGTTATTGATATTGACAGAGATTTCACTGCCGAATACTGGCCAAGCCTTCAAGAAACAATGTCACCGCAAAGTAAATGTCGTTAGGATGTGAAAGTTTTTTTATTTATAGTTTCCACAGAATCGTTTCACGTACTCTAAAAGAAATCAATTGATGACCGTGTGCCTGGAAAGTGATGTGCGGTTTCGATTTTCTTTAAATACAATTTTCAATAGTCGCGTCAATGAATACGTAATACAGACAATCTTAGGAAGTATTTTTTTCTAGTATAAAAATACTTCTGCATCATCAAGTGCTGGAGCCATCGATGCCATACATACATACAAAATGTTTATTCAAGCTTTTGGTTAAAGTAACAAAATATTTGTTATAATGTTTTTGTGTGGGGCCCTGGTATAGGCTTATGCCTCTTCAGGGTTATCGATACCATTAACACATAAGTTTCCTTAGCTATAACGACTATCGGCAAATTTAGAGATGTTTCTGAAGACAACATTTTCACGAACCTATAAACTTTCATTTACAAGAGATTTCCAGACATCAACAAGTTAGTTATTTAATGTTTAGCTTCAGTGGGATATCATTTTTTAGAAATTGATACCACAAAGCCTCAAAATTTTGTTAATTAGCATCATGAAGACTATTTTCAGAAGCTTTCTATCGCAGTTAAACAACGTTTTAGCGGCCTAACCTTCAATTTTGTCATCATTTTACGGCTTTAAAGAAAATAATCTCTTAAAATTCACTTTCGTTATATTTCCTGTCTGGTGATGATCGTGCACAAATAATCAATAAGTCAAGGAAATAGACACACAGGTGTTTCTTTAATACGGTTCCGAGTCAAGTGTAGGTCTGGTATTCGATTGTCCCGGATTGCGGAAGGTTTCCGACATAGTGTCCGAACTGGGTCAACCGTTGACCTTAGACAGACCACGATACCACCGATACCGCTTTCACGGTCACCAACTCAAGATGATTTACACCTCTGCCAATTTTCGTGACGGCGACTTCTGCAGATTTCTAATAATTTTATTATCATTTTGTTTCGAAACCCGTTTTTTTGTTCATAATTTTTAATAACGTCATCAAGAGATCAAGAACATGAATTGAAAATTACTCACCTTACATACCCACAAACACACGTTACAAATCGAAAATTATGCAATAATTTATTCGGGCCCCGTGAAGCCTAACAAAAAAGATTGTTCTCGAAAAATCTGAGACTTTAATTACTATGAAAATATCTTATTCAAAACAAAAAACATAATAGATTCATACCTTTATAGTTAACTAGAGTCACTGACAATTTTATTGAACTGTCATGTCAATGTTCTTAAAAACAGCTGATGTCAAAAATTTTTACCACTACCCCATGTGCCCCACATTGTTCGTTATAAGTCTTCCAACTGAGTTTATAGTACATAATTGAAAATTAGCATCACCTACAAATTTTCTCCGCCTGTAAGAGGTTTTAAATTTGTATGAGGCAAGAGAAAGTATCTTATATTTTTTTTTAGTCCGTCGTGATATATAATTTTTTCTTACTTCAACTTTCTAAGTGAGAGATCAATAAAACAAGCATAAATGACTGAATAACTCACAAACAAATTGACTAAAAATAGGTCAAGAAATGTTCTGTCCATACCAAGATGTCGTATATCAGATCGAATGAAAACTCAAACCACGAATTTCAAAGATGAATGACGCTCCTAATATTGACCGCTGAATGAGAAATCGCTTTCTGTTCAACTCTACAGTTTTCATTGCATGCAGAGCTCAATTTTTAAGTTCTGCTATCATATAGATTCAATTAACATTTGGTTCTCTTCCAGATAAAAATGTTGCGACAAATAACGCTCCTAATCGTAGGGGCAGCCATGGTGATGGCCCAAAGAAGATTAGCCCTACCAGACCCCAGAAGTTGTGCCAACAGTAAGTATTTTATATAGATATTGCATTCCAAAAAAAGTCAATGTATTTATCGGTACAAAATAGTTTTGCATATAACTAGCGACCCGACCGGGCTTCGCAAGCATAGCAAAACATATATAGCTACATTTTTTATGTCAGTTTGAAACTTATAATGATGATGATGATGACCTTTGTTTAGATAGTACAGAACAAAAATGTCATCAGTACGTAAAACAAAATGAAGCTATTGCAACCTTTCTTCATCGCGCGTGTCACATCGATTTGTCATCCTGCTTGCATTTATTTTCTCCAGGGGTAGTTTCAATTCTGCAGTAACTCCTAATATATTTATTTGAATTGTACGGTCTTAATGGCGATTATAATTTGTATGAAATTCTCAAGGTAACTGAAGTATTACTTTGATGAGGATCAATATCAGTCTAAATGTTAAAAATTGAAATGGGTATAGCAAGCTATCCTTGAAAGATATACATACATAACCAATCGCAGAATTTATTGTATCTACAAAAGAAGAAGAATGGTTCTGCTATATCTCAAAGGGATTAGGCAGCTTTTTCGACGAAAGCTCGCACGTGTAGCAGTACCGCCCGACTTCTAGCAAATATTTCATCATATTTCAACGAATTCACACAAAATATCAACCAACTATAGGTACACATACGAGTAAATCATCCTCTTGAATCGTTTCGTTTATTGGTGAAAACCGTTCAATAGAATGTATCGTTTTCATGCAGACAAACAGACAAAAGCGGCGGGGGGAGTGTTTTGTAATATTAATAACTATTTTCACTCCACGAGATCGTGAGAATAAATGCACGAACGAAGGAAAAATGCAGGTGGATAGTCAATTTACTTTCACCGATGTTATGCCCATTTCACGAAAGATATATCTTCTTATAGGAGGAACAATAATACTATGGTTGATTAGAGATTACATTTTGGCAAGCATTCTTCAAACGTAAACTTTCTCTTATGATTTGTAGAAATGGAATTTATGTGATGTGGTGAAAAGCCGTTTTCCTATTGAAAAACATATATATTGACTTTATTTTACAAATGTGCATTTCAAATCCACCATAACACTGAATGCGAATTAGATGAATCAGCCGGCTAGGTCAGTCAACTGACCACCAAGTTAAACACATCTAAATTTGATTTATTTTACTGTGGTTACTTGGAAAACTTCTAATCTAGAGTTACATCAACTATGAAGGTTGGTAATGCACGAAAGACAGTCATAATGCCGGGATTTAGAACATGTGTTGTGTTCATTTGAAACTACCATAAATCTTTAAAGCACTAAGCCATGACTAAGTTTAATTCGTGTTTTCGTTTTATTTGTATTTCCATTTTGAAATCTAGAGCCTGTAAAAATTTACTAATATAAGAAATTGTTCTTTCAACAGTTTGATAGCAATATCAAAAATTATAGTAAAGCAATGACTACAATGAGAGAATTAGGTTAATAAAATGTGTACCTATCAAGCAACATTTTAAAGGGATGGTTCGATATAGTGTAATAGTAAATATTTCTTGTATTGACGATTATTTTAGGCACTACAATACTTGTGAATTGATGAATGTTTTTCATGGATAGGGAATTGGTAGATCTGTTGTAATTACTGGGTTATCTATAACTTATCGAACACCCCGTTCAGAGGTGTTTGGCGTATTTCATGTATAGATCAACAGAACATTTTTTTGAGTTCTGTTTGTTTTCCAAAATAACATTCAATACAATCGTGATTGAACCAATAAATGACTAGTATGGTTTGTGGATTCAAAAAATTCAATACGATTTTATCGTTTCAAGGGGTGCGTCACGCCACCTACAGAGACGCCAGAGGGGTGACACACTCGTACTTCTTCAGCTGGGAACACGCGCCTACTCGAGGTCTGGAAGTCGATTGGCTTGATGCCCGTAACATCTGCAGGCGACACTGCATGGACGCGGTTTCCTTGGAGACGCCACAAGAAAACGAATTCGTGAAGCAAAGGATAGCGAGAGGTACTATTTTGTTTTGACATCCAGTGAAAGCCTAAGAATGTTCTTGTTTTAGGAAACGTTCGCTACATTTGGACTTCCGGCAGAAAATGCAACTTCGCCGGTTGCGACCGAGCAGATCTGCAACCACCAAATATCAACGGATGGTTCTGGTCTGGTTCCGGTGCCAAAATCGGACCCACTACGCAGAGAAACTCCGGGGACTGGAGCGCCACAGGGGGTTTTGGACAAGCACAACCTGACAATCGAGAGGCTGCTCAAGTAAGAATGTGTTACATAACATGATTATGACTATGAGCTCTAACCAAAAGACTGTTTAAATCAAAATGAATAGGTATAATAATTGTAGGTTTGTGAACCAACTAAAAGAATTCTTGGTACCTGTTAGTTAATTTTGTATATCACCGAGAGGTAAATGATTTGACAGGTTGTAGCTATAGGTAATGTGAAAATGCAAAATAGAGAAGGATGTCCAGCATCCAGCAATTCTCCAAGGGTCATTTCTGGGTCTAATACTCTTATTGATATATCTATATTAACATTTTGAAATTTGACATAGCTGATAAACTAACTCTAGGGACGATACCGCAATATTAAAACTTTGGAATATCGTTTGACTCGGAAAAAGTCAAATTATGGTGTGCTCCTAATCTATTATCTTTCATTAGAAACAAATATACTATACTTCAAATGCTCACTTGGCAATCCAAAACTGGAAAGTTGTTTAATTGGCAATGAGAATCATACTTGATTCATAGGCATCATGGATAAACACCTGAAATTTGAAATCAACACCGAGAACTTAAGAAGTAGAATTTCTCTAAATTGTAACGCTAGTGCTGCTAGATTAGCATTTCTATATATTTGGGCGTGTGTAGCTGTTTTTAGAAAAAAAGGGACTACACTCGTGCAGGCAAAAATTCAAAGATCAGAAAATACTGACTGTAATGGCTTTGTCATTGAGTCAAAGAATGTAAACTTTCAGGCCGGAGATAACTGCGTCGAAGCTGTTTTCCACCAACTCGAGCATTACAACCGTTACTTCATCGCCATTGATGATGCCTACCACAGTTGTAGACTAAAGAGCCCACGACAAAAAAAAACGGAAAATAACGTTGACATAGTCATTATATTCAACAGGGCCCATTTGCGATAAGAAAAGAGTGGACCTGGTGAAGTTATTATGAAGCGGCCTATTATGTCAACTGTGGAAAAACAAGGAAACCACAAAAGTTTGTTTGAGCACTCTGTTAGTGTTTTGCATGTATAATGAGCATTTATTACTTTTTACTATTACGAAAGAGTATATATTTGTTATAATGGCATAAAAATATATAATGTGTGGCAAAAAAGCACAATATAAATACGAAACATTTCAGAAATGTTATGACTCCTTTTGAATTCCTGTTATTCATTCCTGAATTCTATTAGTGTTTTCAATCATCTGACAAATAACTTCTTCATTTCATTACATGCTTGGTGATGACGATTGTTTCAATTTACTTTTTCGCCACTCCTGGTATATTGTCAGTTTTGACCGCGATATCGAACATTTTGTAGCAACCTCCTTCATACAGTAGAATCGTGCAATCGGAAGCTAATAATAGGTAAAGGATCTCACCATAAATTCTGAAACTGGCGATTTCTCGTCAAACCAGTTGGATGGAGGCATTGACCCAAAGAAACGCTAAAAATGTATTCTAACGGAATTTTTGTCTGCATTACAGGGTAACGATGAATCCTGCCTCTCTATTCTGAACAACTTCTACAATGATGGTTTAAAATGGCACGATGTAGCTTGCCACCACGTGAAGCCGTTCGTTTGCGAAGATAGCGAGGAGTTATTGAACTTTGTGGCTTCGAGAAACCCGGGAATTCGTCTTTGAAGCCAACTCTCTCAACAAGAAACATCACGTACCTTACCAATGAGTGAAAAGCCAATCAAATGATTTCGAAATTCAACAGAAGTATTGAAAATAGTTGAGTTCTCTATAGCCATTGGCATTTTGTGGAAGACAGCTGGGATTTCCCACAGCAGTTTCAATTTAGTAATGACTTTTCACTCATTTTCACCTTTTTCTCCCTCCCCCATCCCTCATTGTGAATAGTAGTTTTATTTGGATTTAGTGACTAGTTTTGTACCTACCTTAAATTATATATTATTATTAAAGATTTGTATTAAATGGAATAGATTGGCTTTATTTTTTTAATGCAATGTTATTTTTTTAAATTGATATTTAATGAGATTATATTTACTCTGGTAAGTATATTATTTTTCTTTTTTTATTTATAACAATCAGTTTTCAAGTAACAAAGTATTTCATGAAAAAAACATTTTTATTTCAGTAGTTTTTTAATGTGGTTTGATGGAATTGCATTAAAATATTTCATTATTGTATATCCAAGAAACTGAATATGAGAAAAATATAATGATAGATGAACACTATTCTACCATAACAAAGTAAAAGTCTGCTACTCACAATTTTTGAATTGAATAAAAAACAAACTATCGATAGTCTAAAAGTACAAATAAAAATTTCAGTTCACGGTGATCTCAAGAAAATTTATAATTTTTTCAATATTCATACATAAACGGTTTATGGACAAGAAACAATAATTTCCAATGATTGTTATAAATAAACAAAAAATTGAATGTAAGAGTAACCTGAGACTAAAACTCCCCCAGGACAGATTCGCCGTTTAAAATTGTAATGAAGTTACATTATTATTGAATTTTACGATTGAAGTTAGGCAGTCTTAACTGAACTGGTGATCAATACAAATATACGATGGGTATTATAAATGAAAGTCAAAGAATCGAAATATAAATATTTTATTTGAAAAACCACCTTAAAAAGTCAACAATAAACTATCAAACGAAAAGATCAGCTCTTAAAATCACTCTGATACAGGTCTATAAAGAATTAAAATACTAATAATATCACATTTCAATTAACAAACACGAGTACAAACATTTACGCTGGGTAAAAGGACAACCCTTTTATAATACCTCCTGTGGTCTCATAAAAAGATATTGTGTCTTTTTTATTATGGCTCGTTAATTTGTTACTCATATAGAAGCAGGGCAGAGAAGAGGGACCCTTCATATCACAGTTTTTATGAGAGATTCTCAAATCATAAACCCTATTTGCTTTGAGAACTACCAAGCTCTTCAAAGATACATAAAAATCAGAGCTGTAAAGAATAAAGTCTTCAATTATCGTCGGTTTGACGATATCTTTAGAGGTATGATATTCACATATTCTCAAAGAAATTATCCCTTTATAATATTTCAAGGAGAATCGAGGAGGTTCCATCTGAGTATTCATCAATACTCCAAATATGATCATTTCACGATCAACACTAAAACTAGAAACAAATTCTTCATTAGTGGACAGATCTAGTCTACATGCAATTTTGAACTCGTTCCGCATACGGCAAGTCTTGGGAATGGATTTGGGAGTACATTTCCTGTAAACTTCCTTGCACCATATCAGTACTTCATACAGTAATTTCATAGTTTTCTTCACTACTTCGTCTAAGCCCTCGTTCAGAGGATAATGACACTCCGGACACCTGGAATATTCTAGAGGGTTCACTTGAAAGAACTCTAGAATATTTTCTTTGTCGAGAATTCCTTTAATGTTGTTGGGAGAAGATGGAATATTCCGTAACTCGCATTCTACAATGCACCAATTTATAACTTTTGCAAGTAAATTCAACAGACGTTCTCCGTCGGCATCAACTTTTTGGAGAATTGCCCTCAGAGTAGTTGGTTTCATGTGATAGTCCCCAATGAATAAGCCCTCCGTGTAGTTAACCATATCATCTAGACACTTTTTTTTTATATCGAGAAGATCATACATTTCAGCGTATTCATAGGTTAGAGAGAGGCTATTCATAGTAATATTATTTCGAATGTAAGTGAGGCAAACCTGTATCAAATCATCCAGCAGGTACTTGTTTGCAACATAAAAGAGACTCCAGGCATTCGTCATGGAATGAATTTCGATATCATCAGTATACATGTGTTCCAGCACTTGATTGAATTCTTCTACACTTATATCACACAGCATTATTTCATCCTGGGCCATTTCTCCGTAAAGCATTTTCTCGAAAACCGGACTACAACAGGCCAGTATGAGTTTGTGGGCTCTTACTTGGGTTCCGTTTATTTTGAAAGTGCAATCTACGAATTTTTGTTCCTTGTAGAAGGAGATCAAGCGCTCCTTTTTGTTGAGGGGGGCCACCAGCCTTTCTATAAATATACTCTCCTTTTCCATCTACAAAAAAACATATTAGTTTAGGGAAAATACAGTCTCACAATTTCTTCTTACCGCGTTGTATAACCTGATATGCAAGCGCACTATATATTAAATATAAATAACAAAATTGTTTACAGCTCAAGGCAAGGTTTACCCTTGAACGGCTTGAACTGAGCAGGACGAACCAAGGCCGCATAAATTTCAGGTCAGAGAAGCTTCCTCCTCTCCTCAATAGACGGCTCAAATACATCAGTCTACTAAATCGCACTGGTTTTATACATTCAATATAACAATAAACATTAACCTAGGTAGAGAAGAAGGAATGATTTGATTCATTCTAATCCGATCAGCTGATCAAGACTATTTATTTGGTTGGTTGGATGTGAACAGTTCGGGGAATACGGATATTTGAACCCCAATAATTAAAATAAGAATAAAAGTAGTATCCTACATAAACATTTCAATTGCTTACCTTCATGAATTATTTAAGACAATTATTTTCCATTTAATCTGTTTTGAAGTTACTGATCCTACCTCTTTCCTGATTTATATACAATAAGTAAAATACCAACATATTAACATACCTATACCAGTATTCCAAACCTGGAAAAAATAAATTGCTTGATATTTGCCTGAAATTATTTCTAGAAGTCAGAGATTAGAAGGTAGGTACCTATATTACCTATCCTATCCTAATAGGGAACACGCATATTTTCGGTTTTGATATATTTTAATTTTAACAAGTACATTTGTCCGAATGAAGCTGTGGAAACTGCTTGTTATTATAAATGAAACTTTAATTTTTTCATATCTGGTGGCCAAATGGATCAATAATTCATTTAGTTCCAATTTTTCACAGAGAGGGCGTATCAGTATGCAAGTATTCCATGCTTTCTATGGATTGCTTTTATTATTATTTTCAATCAGGAAATTGTTATTATAGATAATGTATTATTATCGTAGTCGACTATACTAATATTGATAGTAAATTTTGTTTGAATTCGGTTTTTTTCAGAATATTCATATAAGATAAACTAAGAATGGCGTTCAGGGGAAGTTATTCAAAATCAATATCCAATCGATTTCAAACTGTATGGTCAAAGATAAATCAAAGTGTTTAGAGAAATGTCTAACTGTTTAAAATATCTGAGGACATCAATTATTTGCAAGAATAAAAGAAATAGCTAAGCCGTGTTCCCAACTATATTCTATTCGAACCAAAATTTGACGAGAAATGAATAATGACTGGAACTGGACTTTTTGACGTTACTCAAAATTTGGGTATATAAATAATTATCTTTTGGTATATTAACCCATTAATGCATACATGACAGTTTTCATTTAACTATATGTCGTGTTAAGGATTTGAAGTTATTTGGCAGGTATTATTTTCAATCTTAAACCGTTATGTCCTCATTTCACACCACAGGTTCCAAATTATACCTACAGATATTTTTTTAGAATTGTATACCTAGGTAGTAACAAATCCGTGGGTTCTTCAAGGGCCATGAAATAAATAAATTGTTGGATAGCCTAAGTTTCGACTTTTAATTTTTTGAGGGCTTCGATTCCAACTGAATGTATTGATTCACAATTTGGTGCGCTTTGGTAATATTTGAACAATCTTATCTGCACTATCAACTGAAAACGAAATGAAAAGCATTTTCTTTATCTACAGATAAGCTGCAATTCATTATAGCCTGAACAAGTTATTGGTAAAATTCAGTAGGTGAATAAATGTGAGATATGAGTTTGAATGGAAAATGAGTGTATGTTGGACAGTTAAAATCGTTGTTGGTACCTACTTTACTAATTAACTCTTTTATCAACAGACCCAAAAGCACGGTTCGGAATATCTGAAGAGTTATTCTGGAGTTCTGAACATTTCAGAAGAAGTAAGCAGTCAATACACATATTTTATAATAATAAAAATAGATAAATTCAATCCAAATATTATGGTGAAATTTGGTAGTTTTTACTTTATAATGCGTGTAGCAACCTCTTACATTAATATTGATAAAATAAAATTTACTGATTAAAAACTGAAAATCAACAAATTTAATATTATTTCAGGTGCTGAATTTGTCAGCGTTAATTGCAGCCTTCAATTGCGGAAATGCTCAGAAAACATTCCTGGTCATCTTAGTAGCTGCCTTTGCTTTCCTTTCAACAGGTTTTTTTCTGATAACACACCTGATACCACGGTTCAAAAGTCTCGAAATCCCATGGCATTGGATTGAATGTGGAAATGCATTTATTTTGACAGGTACCTACTTGATATCAGCATCGGTGGTTATTTTGGAGTTGATTGGACCATTCGTAGTTACAGGGGTAAGATACTGTTTTATCAAAAATACGCATCAGGGATTCTTTTAAAAGAGGTACTTATTTTGTGAAATGTTTGTTGTCAATGTCAAAATATACAAAGATTCGTACCTTATTGACAAAGTTTGGCAACAAATATCAAAAAGAAATAAGGATAGTTTAAATATCAGCCATAAAGTTTTGATAGCCAAATAAAAAGTAGTTTTTTTAGATAACCAACGAAAAGGCTTGTTTTCGAACTATTTGCATTGTCTGCGATTCAACTGTATTATTTGTATTGCAGGTATTGGGTTACATTGCGACAATGGCATACCTTTTAGATACCATCGACAAGTTTCGTCTCGCAGTGACTCCAAGAGCAAGATATGTTTGGACTACACCAAATATGCCAGTATGAACAGTTCACAGAAAATTCATAAAATACTTAAACCCCATCAAATTTCTGAAAATACTTACATGACTTACGCTAGTTATAAGAGATGGTACTCTAATGTCCAAAATCATTGCAATGAATAAGTGAAGATATGTTTTTCATTAAATGCTTCTCAAACACTGCTTTCCCACAGTGGAATGCTGAAAGACCGTTTTTTTCTCTTTCAATAAAATTACTTTTTCATTCAACTTTTTTTTTAGATTTTCTATCGTATATATATATATAGGGTGTGAGTACACTGAATTAAAGTACCAAACTAAATTGTAACATTATAAAATAAACTCAAACATTCTTCCCTCAGCGAAGAAGCATTTTTCGCGTCCCATTTCACACCACCCCACTCCTCCATTTTGTCATTTGTCATAAAGATTTCATCTTTACATTGTCCATGTACAGCTTCTTCAAGTACCTTTTAACTGATTGTTAACAAGCTAGATACAGAACATTGATACACCTTTACACGAGTTCAAACCAGATTGATATATCCAGAACGTGGTTTTGAAAGGCTTATGAAGCTTCTTGAGATGAAAATTACTGTCAATGCATTTTTTTTGTAAGGTAATAAAAATCAGAATACGGGCTGTATTTGTAGGTACTAATACATTTGTAAAGAAATATTTCGAGATCAGATTTGAATACTTTTAAGAAATAGTTTCGGGGATTAGGGTGTGGTGTGAAATGTTCTTCAGTAATAAAATTTGTACTTGAATAAAAGGATGATCAAACTCTAAATTTTACAATGCAAAAAAGAATGATACATTTTTTTGCAAATCATACAAAGCTGTCTCAGTGCTTTTGTGAATGCCTGTTAGTTGGATGATTGCAACTTGGATTTGATAAAAAATGCCAAAAGTCCAGTTTATGTTGTAATTTTTTTTTCCGTTTAATTCAATGTTTACATGAAAGTAGCTGTTTCAGGAGGACTTTCTTTCAGTTTGTGTCTGAAAGTTACTTCTTTGCATGATCTACACATTCATGTATAGAGTTACTTCCTTCCTTCCTTTGGAAGATTCCCTCATAATTTTTTTTGTATCAAGATGGAGTAGTAGAAAGCCAAAAACTTTATTTCCCAAAAATTATATAACATATTGCACATCCAGAATGGAAAAGGCACTACTATATAAAGTACTGTTTTCAGGAAATCCCCGTTAAAGTTTTATTCTTTTTATATAATAAACTTTAATTGGGATATCCTGAAACTATTCAATTTCTGGAGTTGTGTCTTTGTTATTCTGGATGTGTTATATACTGGAGCAACAACAACAAACTTATTCCTATACAATTCTCATCAAAGGGACGTTTATTTGTGGATTGGGTTAATAAGTACCAACTTCAGCTGTTAAGAAAAAAATACTGTTCAGTAGGCTCAGTTGTCAAATCAAAAATCAACTCTATACATCAGTGGGTATAGGAACAAAGAAATATCTGGCTCACATAATTAAGCGCTTTCGTATACACTCGAAATCAATTTCTTCTTCATCTCAAGTAGTAAAGTAAGATGTATTCAACGCCAATTATCATTTTTATTTGGATTTATTATTCAAGTAAAACCTTGTGAGATTTCCACTGGATAGTTTACAAAGCTGCAATATATATTTCGCTATACAATAGCTTAAAAATACTTGAGGAAGCAATTTCATATGAGAACTTTATTTTGTTTTTCTTATATGAAATATATTTCCTCCAACCTCCTTTATAATTCTGAATTGATGGACTATTGATTTGTGATTCACTAAAACATTAAATATCTTCCTAGTATTGAATGTTTTATTATCATTATTATTATTAAACATATGTAACATAAAACAAATTATGAAATTGAAATAAAGTGCTGTCCATATTCTTCATCAACATTGAAACACAATATTTTGGAAACTCTAATATTAACCGTCATCTGCTCAGGATCTAAAAAAAAAATAAAAAAAAACATTAATGATATTTATGAATTATACATAAAACGAATGTAGTGGAGTGTATCACTTGCTTTCATGTTTAATCAAGTTTATTAGTAAAATTTAAAAACAAATAACATGTTTCATTTTTAGTACTTTTAGGTAAGGAAGACATTAGTATTGCATCACTCAACGCCAAGAGGGCGCTACCAACTTGATTTTTTTCAAACAGAAAAAGGGGTCTTGTGATATCTCTTTCAAACACTGTCAAATTCAACTTACAAGATATTTTTATACACACACACACACACACACCAGGACAGGTGAAACTTAATAAAAGACAAAGAGTTTATGAGGCCACTGCAAATCGTAGACAAATAACCAATCATCTTACCAGGCTTTCGATTTCAACAGATCCTTATTCCTTTCCATCATCTCTTCTTTCTTATCTTTCTTCACTTTGTCAAGGAACTTGTCCATCTCCTCGATATTTGTTTCAGAAGGAATGTTATCTTTGGCGGAGGAACTGCCACCTTCTTTGTCTTCTCCCTTCTCAGCCCACTTTCCCGCGTAAGTGTCTCTGTTTATCAGCTTACCAGTGTCTGTGGTGGTGTAGTCGTCCCTGTCCTCGCCTTCAGACNTCGGAAATAAAAAAATATCAGACAGAAAAATATCTATGGAAAAAAATATTCAACAGCAAGGATTCATTTCTCCAATGTGACAGTTGATGTCAAATAGTTTGAGTGAATCCTTAAAACTAACAAAACCATCTTTTTGGTGCAAACCAGAGACTGAAAACAAAGCATTCGTGAGCCAACACCAGACAGCCCTATTTTGATTTGCCAAACCAGTCTGAGTAAGGTGATAATATCGCTCCTTAACAAAGACTCAATCTAGGGAATTGACAACAAATTTAATTCACAAAATATCAAAAGGCGGTCCATGACATCTACCAACAAACATTATTCTTCCTTCATCTTTCTCTGCAGCAGCTTCGACTAAAAGGAAACTACACGATATCAGAGCCTCATTTATCTTTGAGATTGAATCTTCTGTCTTATCAATAAATGAAGTCTTCATGAGGAGAGCGACAGTGAATGTACATTGAGCAGTAAAACATGTATTTTTAAAATCTTTGGCAAATCAAAATAGTGCTATCTATTATTGATACTAATCAATAATATTTTATGATAGATAACTATTCGAAAAAGAAAACAATACTTATCAAAACATCTCAAGAAACAAATCATTCAGGCCAGTCTCAACTCCCTACACTGTAGGTTAATGGACTGACACCCATCAGAAAACAACTACTTCCCTGGCTAATACCACGAAGGGCGTTGGATTATATCTGACAGATGTCAGTACAGAATCTTCACTGAAGTATTTTCTGTGCCCGTGAAATAATTGAAAATTGATTCGGGCGTTGGATTATATCTGACAGATGTCAGTGCAGAATCTTCACTGAAGTATTTTCTGTGCCCGTGCAATAATTGAAAATTGATTCCAGCAGTTTTATCTCCAACAGCGTATGCAGGAAATACTTTAGTGAAGATTCCTGGACTGACACCTGTCAGATATAATTCAACGCCCTACATGGTATTAGCCAGGGGAATATCGTCTTCTGATAGGTGTCAGTTAATTAACCTACAGTGTAGAGAGTTGAGACTGGCCTCAACGAATTGTTCCTTTAGATGATTTGACCAGGGTTTTTGATGAAATACAAAAAAGAGTAGACAAAAAAAGAATACAGTAGACCTTAGCCAAATGCTAAACACACCCACAGTTTGTTGAAATAAAAAAGGTTGATATGTAGCTGATATAGTTATAAATAGGTGAATTGAGTATATTATTTTGAATACGATGGTTCTAAACATATAACAATTTCTAACACAGGTACGATTTCATAATCACCCTTAATAACTCGGTTATGATTCACAAATTATAATTTCACCTGCGATTAATTATACCATATGCTTGTATTATTTTCACCATACACCATATTTTTCAAAAATAAATATATATTTATCTTCCTTCGATGACTCTTCAACATACATATCTGCTGCTTTACATATATTTATTCGAAGCTGATCTTCTTTTCCGGAAACCAAGTTAAGAAGGAGTAATTATGAGAAATCGGGCCAAAAATTAGAAAGTGAAACATGATATTTTCTTTTTGAAAGAATTAAATATAAAAACAATACATCCACTTCGTATTAGTATAGAAATGAGAAACGCTTTATAGAAAATAATTTTGTAGCAGACCAATTTACAAAATTGTCTTACTTTCAGAGCCTCCTCACTAAACTTTCCTGTATTTACCTAGAAAAATCTGGTGGTACACATTTAAAAATAATCCACATTTGAGACATCAAATTGCACGTCCCTGTCCTCGCCTTCAGACAGAGGCCCCTCGTGTCTGACGGGAGCATCACCGTCAGAGTACTTGTTGATCTTCTCCTTTTCAGCAGACCTGTCCCGTTTAGGCGGAGAACCATCTGAATCTCTGCTTCCGCTGTACGATCGGCTGCGATCTCTATCTCGGGAACGGCTTCTGTCATATCTGAAATAAAACAAATGAAAAATTTTGAAAAAGATCAAAAATATCAAACCAGTAGGAAGAGAATATTATATGGAAGCATATTACAGAAGGTTTAAAATCAAATTATCCCTTATTAATTGAAGATTTGAACATTGTTCTGAAAATGTTTGAGATAACCAAATTAGAATTTCACTTCCGTCCATGACAGTTTGAAACTTAAGATCACTGAGTGTAATGATTATACTGATTGAGGACATCCACTCACCTCCTGTCTCTGTAGTCCCGGTACCCTCCTCTGGCATACCTGCCTCTGGGCCTCCTTCCTCCTCGGTTCTGGTACGGATAAGGCCTGCCCCTACCACCCCGGTAGTCTCTGTCGTTGTACCTAGAATCCCTATTATTATAATATCCACCGCCCCTGCCGCGCTGGTTGTTATGCCTTGGCGTCTGGAAGCGCGGCTTGTAGTATGTCCCCCGGTCGTTGTATCTGCCGCGGAAGCCGCCCCTGCTGCGGTACCGCCTCCGGTCGCCGGAGTAGCTGCGCGACCGCGACCGGCTGCGCGAGTAGTACGACCCGGATCGCGATCGCGACCGGCTGTAGTAGCTGCGCGACCGGCTGCGGTAACTGCGTGATCGCGACCTCGACCCGCTTGATGACCGCGAGTGGCTGTACTTGCTGCGACTGCGGCTGCGGCCACGCTTCGGGCTGCGGCTGTCGGACCGCGGACGCCCTGGAGGCTCTGGCGGGCGCCGGCCTATACCAAACAGAAACACATTTTTACAACATCGAAACTCTCGAAAATTCTGTGGAAATTTGTATAAAATGTATGGTCTTTTCTAATTTTTTGAGCTCACCATTACTACAAACAACTCTAGCCATATGTTCTGTCGACCACAGAAACATAATTAGATTTATTTTTGAAAAAAACATTCCCAGACGTGTTTAGCAGTTTTCACATATTCAAACCATTCCTTCATTTGTCTCAAAAATGCATATTTATATACTTGTCCAAAGCAAAGCCTCGTAATTCTTGTAAACCTTCCTTTATATTTCTCAAATTCCATACCATAATTGCCATTTTTATCACAGAAACGGCTTACATCTTCAGGAAATATTAGGATTAATTCAACAATGCCCTTTACTACTACCCCACGCGCAGCAAATACCCTTTAATTTATCTTGTATCTTGATTATTTACAAATGCGAGTATTCTGTAATGTATATTTTTACGATGACACCGTGGGTGATACATTGTATTATCTACTTTATTTACTTTGTCTACAAGATGCTAAACATTCTTTATGAGAAAGTATATGATTGATTGATAATTTGGAGCTAGTAACATTTACTAGACATCCCGTGCTAAGTTCCATGAATCATATCACAATTTTCTCAGCTGTACTCAGTATGCAATGATTCTAAAAAAAAAGTCATATCACCATCTGGTAGGNCAATTTACAAAATTGTCTTACTTTCAGAGCCTCCTCACTAAACTTTCCTGTATTTACCTAGAAAAATCTGGTGGTACACATTTAAAAATAATCCACATTTGAGACATCAAATTGCAGGTACTCTTTGTATCTCTTCCTTTACAAAGCAGGCCTCAGCATCTCTTCTCCTAATTTTATCTCGGGCATCAATTTTTACAAACTCGTCATTTTGAGGCAGCCTCTTCAAAACATTTCAATATTACTATATTCCTCAAGTACACAAAAATCGTTGTTTCTGAAGATAAAGCTTTAGGTAAATGAAAGAAATAATCCATTTGTTTTTTTCGTAATGTCTATAAATACCTACGATTTTCCATATTAGATTATCATCCGTCCCTTTGGTGATTTATCTTTTTGACCAAACGTAAATAATCCAAAAAGGTCTGCATCTTTTTCTATTATTTTTGTTTGAGGCATATGTGCAAATTAATGTATGGGAAGTTTACGAATGTTTGGAAATATAGACGCTGAAAGATTTCTACAAAGAAATTGAACAATGTATGGGATTTCTCAAGTGAGGGTGTCAACAGTGTCTTCTCATTCAACAAAAGGCTGCGAGTTCAATACGTAATTACTATGAGGCTAACTTTGTCGAGAGGGAAGACATTGTTGATCCACTAGTATAAGTTTTATTACATGTTCAAAAGTGAATTTTTCAGAAATCCCATTCACCAGCAGTCCAACGAGAGCCACACTAATAGTTGAACACAAAATTTGCAATAATAATTCAAATGTTGCTTACCTGGTGGAAACGGTGGCTGTTCGCCTAAAGATTTTTTAATTTCTGGCGGAGTCATAAGTCTAAAGTTCCCAAACTTATCCAAAACCACTTGGCCAGTAGGAATTTTTGGCATGGATGGCGGAACCATAGGTTTGGGTTTCTTGGGAGAATCAGGCTTTTTCGGCGGTGGTTCTTTCATCGCCATAGCTTTTCTAATGCTAACAGCTTTCTCTGCTGGCTGCAGAGAAGCAGGTGCAGATTTCTTCGTCACTGGTGGAGAATCATCCATATTAGCACCTAGAATGTATACCATTGTTAAAATCTTATCGCGTGCACTCATCACTTTCAACAACTTACCATTTTTACTGTGTTTATCTTGTTCGGCACCCCATTCTGAAGATGGGACAGGCCTCTCTGGTTGCTTCTTTTTAAATCTAGAATTTCCAGACGTTCCGGGTCCTATTTGCATTTTCCATTTTTGTGTTCCGGCCGACGCTGCGGCCTCAGCGACTGCTTGACGAGCTTTCTGCTCCCTTGTAGGGGACGGAGAATCCAACATGGAACGCTTGGGACTTTCACTACGATCCTTACTGTAAACGATACATAATGATGATATTCTCAATAAAGTTCATTTTAAATATCAACGTAAATATTAGTTTTTGAGAGAATTAGTAATAATTCGGAGACGAGTACTAACTGTGAAGCAAATTAATTACCTAAAACTGAATTAGCATTAGTAAGTGATTGCACTGGTTTCGAGGTAATACTTCGAAACCAGTTTTTAGGTGATCTTCTCGCATAATTTCAAGATGGTCCCGTTGCTGGATGAACGAGAAACATCTACGAGACCGATATCTTTGAGGTATCTTGCATAAATGTCTGTCTGATATAATTCAATATCCAGCGTGGTATCAGCTGTTTTCCGGCAGGCATTCACTCTCTTTGTGGATAGTTGGGAGAGATGAATATTTTGAGATTTTATTTTGAAATATTTATTTTCTTATACATATATATCTCTCCTTGATACAGTCTTCAGACATATACCGTTAATTGATTAATTTCTCAAGTAACATGACTCTCCTGAGAGGCTTTTCACATTAGTCATGTGGCCTAAGGAATGTCAATTTCTGAATTTGACTGTAAAATGCTGGGATCGTGGATTGAATCAAGGGATCAAGATTGTTGAAATTTCGAAGATGTAGAGATCACAGCATATGGTTTCAGTTACAAACTGAGGCATTACTCAAATAAAACTATTTTATTAGAACTAATCATCAGGGGGGCTACAAGTATCCTAAAACAGTTCCAAATCATTCCAGTGTTTAAAAAAATTGGAAATATCTTCTATTATACTGAAAATTTAACAAGAATCAATTAAAGAATTCCTTGTAAAAGTTCATCATGGTGAAAATTGATGGGAAAAAAATGCATTCAAAAACATTGAACAAATAACAGCTTCAATTCATGTATTGCCAGCAACTTCATCTCATGATAATCACACTGTAGGCAACTTTTGATCTGTATACTTTGAGGTAAGGTTAATAATGTAGAAGTATTATCGAAAAAATGCATAACATTATACAAGCAAATTATTTTTGTGGTATCCAAGAACATGATGTTGAAAAGTTTTAAAATGTCTACAAGCCATCTTATTTTTAGATAGGATTCAGAAATATTAGGTTAAATTGATGCGTGCCAAAGGAAAGGAATAAAAATAAAAAAAGTTACATGCTCAAGGGAAAACTACAAGGAACAGAGGCATGTTTCGATGAAACACTACAAAAACCTACCGTTTATTATCCTTCTCAAGGGCATAATATGCATTTAATTTTGATTCTAACTCTTCTAAATCTGGTAAACTATCAATAAATCTGAAATGAAATCAAAACAAAAATTAGCAAGAGCTTCTGAATATCATTGACGAGTGTTAATCATTACCAGTTCTGACCAAATATTTGGATTCACTCAAACCGAAATTTTCCGTCATTATAACCAGCAATATTTTAGTCAAAACCAGTTCATTTTCAACTATGGCTTACCTTTTACTGTAACCAGACTTTTGAAGGAAATACTCTTCGTCGTCAGATGGTATGCTGTGCCTTTTAGATTTTTTCTCTTTGCTCAGCTCTTTCTTAATGGCATCTCGCAACTTTTTGTGATCGTCCAGCTCGGAAAGATCAAAATTCTGCTTCCTCTTCAACTTTTCCTTTTTCTTCTTCTTCTTGCTGTCTTTCTTGGATTTCTTTTCCTTCTTCTTCTTTTTTTTCTTTTCCTCGCCTCCTTTGCCCTTCTTCCATTTGGCACTTTCCTCTAAAAATTTCCTTACTTTTTCCTCATAGTCAGAATCGCCTTTAGTGTCTGAAAGGAAAGCTCTCAATTTGGCTTCATATTCATTTTCTACAGGTTTTGGTTGCTCAGGCTGCTCAAAGCTGAACTCAAAGTTACTTGTGGCTGCCGGTTTGTTGAAATTGAAATTAGTCGTTGGTGTGTCGTGTGATTGATCCATCATCGCCATGCGCTTGCTTAGGGGGCTCAAGGAGTTTTCTCGCTCTTTGCGCTTGTGTGACCTCGAACGGTGCTTCTTGCGTTTCTTGAAGTCTGAATCGCCAGACGAAGAGCTGGAATCACCACTGCTGCTACTGGAGGAGCTGCTTGAGGAGTCTCCACTGCCAGAAGAACTGGAGCTGGAGCTAGAACTGGAGTGCTTTCGGTTCTTACGCTTCTTGCTTTTCTTCTTCTTTTTCTTGTCTTTCTTTTCTTCGTCTTCTGTTTTTAGCAACTGTTTGAGGGCATCGTTGACATCAGGGGCTTTTGTGGTGGGAATATTTAGGGTGGGTAACAATAGTTCAGCAGGCTCAATCAATGCCTTTGGTTGGGTCTTGTTTTTGAGAAACTCCAACGAATTCTGAGCCTCTTCGTGATAAGGTATGATACTTAGGCAGCTCTGGTACGCTTTCCTGGCCTCTTCCACCTTGTTTTCTTCCTCGTAATTCCTCCCAAGTGCCACTAGAGTCTCTCCCATATATTTGCGAGCATTGGCATGATTCGGGTTCAATTTCAAAGCAGTTTCAAAATCCTCTATGGCTTTTTGAAAGTTTCCATTGTTGGCGTAAAGAGCACCGCGTGCCACGAGACCTTCAACGTTCTTTGGGTCTATAGTTAGAGCTTTGTTAAGGCATTGGAAAGCCTCAACGTGTTTTCCAGCTTTAAAGTGATCAATACCGTCGGCTACGTTGCGGTACGCCCATTTGCTGGCCTGTACTTGCCTCAATTCTTTGGCATACTCATTTTCTGGAAATTTGAACCTGCAACCAATAACAATTAGAACTTTCTATCTGCGAAAAAGAATAATGAACTAAACAAACCTTAAATTATTCATCAAGGTATTATATTTGTTGACGCCCATCAGTTCAGAGAGATATTGTATGTTATTGGGGTTATTGAAACCGACGCTCTTCTCTAACACACTGTCGTAACTCTCATTCTTGTAATCCAATGCTTTTCTGTAACCCAAAAAAAAACCGAAGGTTCCTTCAATTTGTCCAAAATCATTCTTCTACTTTCCTCAGTTTTTGTACTTGTTTTAACAAATGATGAAAAGTGGTTCTTATCCAATACTAAACAAATTACAAAGTAAGTATCCCACAGTGTTTACACCTTTTTCTATATTAAAGACACGCTTTTATTTTCACCAAAAAGTTTTTCAAAATTCAACACACACACTTCAGAAATGTCCACACTATCTGAAATCTACATATTCAATGCTTTATAACATTTTTCCAATTGAAATACCAGAGTTTTTACCTACCCAATGAATGTTAAGCATTTGTATCTGAGTTTGATAATAAAGGTTTCAACATTAACATAAGATGAGAAATTGTAACAACTCATTTGAATGAACATGAGATGAATGAAATTACCTGACCTCATGTATCACATATATGTTTGTTTGAAGGTGGTTGACAATGTTTCGTGGTGCATTTCATCAGTTTGGACTTACATTGTCTAATATGATATAAATTGATTTGAAATCCCTGAAAGAATCTGTGAAAAAATTAAAAAGATTAGCTGAAAAAACAATTTTATCAAGCAAAACACTGAAATTACAATCATATTAGACAATGTAAGTCCGAACTGATGAAATGTATCACATATACTTTATTCTGTGTCAAGCAAGAACCACTTTTCATCATCAATGGTTGATTTCCAAAGTTTGCAAGAATTTATTATCAACCATAAATAGTTAAATACATACCCACATGTTGTTCTTCATATCACAGATTCTGTTAAACATTTTTAAATAAATTTGTTTTGTAACAACATAATCTTCTCTTATACACATAAACAAAATTAAATTCAATGTTCATGTGTGTTTTTTTAAATTATTTTCTGGGAGGTAATTCATCGAGTACTGTGGAAATATCATGTAATAAACAGGATTGTACATACAAAAATTCCAACAATAATTCATCAGTTTGAAATTTCTCACCTTGGTCGCTTTTTCGTAACGTGCAAATTTTCAAGAAGCATAAACGCCACAGTGCAAAACACATTTTTTACTACTACATTTATATCATTGCTCAATTGTTTTGTATGGCAAGACTTAACTGTCTAAAAAGAAAAAAAATATTTTAGTCACTTGAGAATATTCACAAGCGATATTTTGATATAAATCTAAGGGTACGTTTCCCCCAAATCGGATTCTAAAAAATCTGCTATCACAATCAAACTATTAATCAAAATCCACAAATTCCTTAAAAAATTTAACCAATATCACAATTTCACTTTTGTGGTTCCAGAATGCTCAGGTCAATTTACTGCTTTATCTTAGTTTTATTCAAACATACTACAAAGATTTGAGAAGCAAGCTGAAAATCAACAAAAATAAATCTTGTGATTAACAAATCCATGTTTGATTTGAAAAAAAAAAATACAAAACATATGAATTATGATTGATCCATTAGCGACAAATTCACAGTAGATTTGAAATCAACACTGACATTGTTCTTGGCTTTATCAATATTATTAATTCATTTCTACTCCATCAGAAATACCTCAAATATTTTCATCAAAAAGCAAAATAAGTAGGTTTCAATGAATTTCGTTTTTAAAAGTTTTAATAATTTTAACCTCATTACTCATCTTCAAAAAAGCAATTAGTATGTACATAGTTTTGAACAATATGATAATTTGCCAAATACTTCAAAATTTCAGTGAATTGAGATTCAAAGAAATCTAAAATAAATTTCTAACAGAAACATACAATCACTGTAAGACTTTCACTATGAATCTTGCAGTAAATTGTATTAGTTAGTGAGTGTTAATGGATTTTCTTTCATTAAGTATCAGCCAGTTCAGTCCAATTTTCAAAATGTCTTGTTAAATTAATAGCAATATTTTATCATACATATTTCCCTCAAGTAAATTCTTGAAATTATGTACAGTTCGTTATAATATTGTTCACTTTTTCACCAGTACCAACATTGTATGTTTCTTGGGAAAGTAAATTGTTATTTTCATTACCCATACTGTGAAATTTCCTACAGTTAACGTAATTTATTTCCAACCAAGTAAAGTAAATACATTTTCTGTTTTTGAATGAAAAATACATCCCAGTACTAAAAAACCAAAATTCCTTCCAAGTTGTTACATTCTGAAAAATCTTCCGGTACACTGAAAATTTCCTGTAATCAAATGTTCCATCTAAAAGAACCAGAGTATGAAATGATAAATGAAATTCACCGTCAAAAATTCATTAGTTGTCGTAGGTTTCAACTTACTTGTATACAATGGGAAAATCGTCAGTAGTGATTAGTCCCAATGGGGGACGATGTTCTGGGTCACTTGGTTTTCTTGAAACGCCCTTCATGCCACACACAACCTTATCAGTGTCCGCTATAATCTCCAGAACTTCACAGCACACATAGTCGTTCATCATATAACTACGAGTTACCCCTTTCTTATCTACCGCAGGTATAATATTTGCCACAGGACAAAAGGCCTACAAATAACAAAACAGTTGTTTTATTAAAGATAAATATGGAATCCTTTGGTGTATAATAAATCTGAAACAAGCATTTTTCCCAATCATCAAAATTGAAATACTCTTCTCGACGTGTGTTTTTTACCAACCAAATTAGCATCTTCATGAGGTGAAGAAAATTGTTGATAAAATTGTGATGCAGATTTATTGCCTTTAATATATCAGAAATAAATCATTCACTATAAATTAGAGAATAAGTTCTATGGATTATGTCTGTTTCGCCCTTTGTGAATCACACTTACCTTTTAGAATTTGCTTCTGGAGAGCAAGTTCTCAATTATCTATAAATTCTGTTTACATCTTACAAAAAAAGGCTGGGAGATGTATGTAAAATGACAACAGTTCAAGTTTTCTGTATACTTCTTTTTTCAGTATATAATACAGTACTTGCTCGACTGTTTCAATCAAATTATGCCATTCATCTCACTCTTTCTATTTCTTCAACAACAATCATCAGGAATTTGATATTTTCTGATGGAAAAAACTATTTAACCTTCCCCTCTCAATCGGAAGAATATCCAGTGACACACTTGCTCACAAGTAAATGAAAGATAATCAGACCCCTATATATTTATACAGGGGCTTTGTTAAATTGATGTACAAATATTGGTGGAGTTCTATCCCAAAACCAAACCAATATTTTTAATACCTTGATACGTGTTCCAATCACCAAAGTGATCATCTTCAAGATGATAAGTTCAATCTTTTTTTTTAAGATGATCCCTCGGCAATTGAAACACTTGTCGAGGTGTTGAAAGACTACTGTTTGATACACTATTTACCGATTTTCCTACGTTGGAGTAAGCTTTGGCATAAACAAAAAAATTTGTACAAACCTTAACATTAATATCAGCAGCATAAAGGATGGTAGCACCAATTCCTGTAGTGCACAATACTTTCAACATCATGCCGGACTGCTGCTTGCTTACAATTGTTCCCAAAATCAAATCTCCTACTTTGACATTCTGAAATAAACAATTTGTGATTCCTCCTCCAAGAAGTATTCAACAATTTCTTACCATCATAAAGAATTGTAAACGTTTTTGCTTGTCGACACTACTGTAAGTTTCGAAGGGAGGCATTATGGCATACATATCCTCAGTAACAAGCTTGTCAGCATTTTTTAGCGCTGTAGATTCCAAACTATAAATAGAATTGGCCTTTTTTATGAGGAACTGTTGAAGTTTCAATCTTTTTCCTCTATCTTGAAATGACAAATTCTTTTGTCTTTGGCCATACACATGGAAATTCAAATCCTTAATGTTTCTTCGCACAAGGTCATTTTCTCCAAATTCTCCTTCCCATAACTTTTGCAACTGCTGACCATGAAAGTTCAGCGCCTTTGTAAGTAGTTGAGAATTCAAGGGTTCCATATTGGACACTTCTGTAAGAAAAAATGGAAATAATTTATCGATCAATAACCTATGGTGAAATTTAAGCAGTTCTCAAGCTATTTTATACTTTCTTGGAACTGTTTTAACTGTTTATCACGAATTTGAAGCCTGAACTGTGAAAAGCACCAACATTTGGAAATAAGGTTCTATCAAAATGTGAAAGAAAAGATTTTTCCAGACATCTTTTCTTGATGTATACTGTATACTATTCTTTCACCCAAATTCATAGCCGACAAAGCTTCAATTTTACCAACATTGCCGATTACTTGCTAAAGTATATTCTAAAATTTCACTACTTCCAAACCATGTTTGACATTCATGAAGGCCTGACATACAGAGTTGATAATATAGTATCTGTTTTACAAAAAAACAATTTTATTCATAAAAATAATAAGATGGTAACAAGAATATTTTTAAATTATGTTCAAGCACATAGAATAAGAATATGTGGTCATTATTGTCGGCTCATTTACTGTCAATTTCAGTAACCAAAAAATCGATTTATGACATATTGTACTTTTCAATTCCATGTACCTCTGAACGATTATGTTTATGACAAAAATTTGACTTCATAGGCAAAATATGTATAATAATGACTGGAATACTATTTACCTATCACCTGAATAAATACTAGAATTCATATAAAATATGTACCTAGATAAAACATTTAAAATGACAGAAAATTGTAAAAATTCAAAATCGCAATTCTTTCTATTCAAACCACTCCATCATCAAGGCATTAATTGATTAACTTTATAAATTGTGTAAAAAATGTTTGTATCTTACTGCTCTCACTTTCAGCACTTTTCCTTCACACAATGGTCGCCATTCGTCATGTCAGTGTTCAATACGATAATTGATAAACTAGTTCATATATGTTCAGAGACATAAATTATTTCAAAGAACTTGTTTATTGTATCATAGATTCAAAAATGTCTGAATTCACAATATTATTAACAACTATACTCAATATTATAGCGTTCCATTTAAAAACTGAAACGCTTTCAAAATGGCGGCTAACTAATACAATGAACTACGTAATGATCAACAATGTTGCCATGCTCCTAAAATGTATTTACCGGTTTCTACGAAATTCATTGTGATTATTGAATATTTCAAATTGATAAGTTATTGACAATTAATTTTAATTACTACAATTGTGAAACAATGAAACGTGATATAAGTTTCTCAGAATACACAATTATTGAAATAGGCGTTTTAATAAATAATACATTTGATAGAATCATTCATTTTTGTAGTTTCTAATAATTATTTATACTTTTGACAACTATGTTAAAAAGAACTATAGGAAATAGGTGTCTCTGGTTATAGCAGATATGTTCGTTTATTACAAATACGAGCGCTCGTTTCGCTCGACAAACGTTCGATAATGCCTCGGAGTAACTCTGAGGATAATGCAGATCTGTGTTTAGTAACATCTGCTCTGTGTTCGACAAGGAGAAAAAATGTGATCGCTTAGCAGTGCTGCCGTTAAGGTACTATTGTACCGCATTCGGTACTATTCCATGATTTTGATACGAAGATACTACCCGGATCAATATGTAGACTATTCGGTACTATTTACTATAATCCCAATTTTTTACATTTTTACGTTGACTCCCATCGAGTACAGTAAAAAATAACAACAATATGTGTGGCAACAATGCAATTCCGTGTTTCAAGTTCCAGATCAGCAAATACCGTACTTGTGTCAAAATTGCAAGCTATCATCATAACTCTGCATTGTTTAATCCTGTGTTCTGTATTGTGCCTGTGAACTGTGGTTCTGTCATCTGTCAGTCAGTCAGCAGAACAGCAGTTTCAACTTCTAACATCACACCTCACCTTGAGAAATTGGTTTTATTGTTTTGTCAAAATAAAAAGGAATATGGACAGGTAAAAATAAATTCTCGAATCTAGCTACTTGAAAACGTCTTTAGTATTGTTCATTCTATTGTGACAGAAACCTAATTAAAACAAAACACATTTGCAATCGTGAAAGAGCAATTTGAAGAAGGAAAAAGACACCTTTTCATCAAATGTTCTGATTATGATCTTTCTCTTAAGGAATATTTCTTAGTTTCCAGCAAATTTTTTACTCCATATATTTTCCGAATTTGAATGGATAACATTATTACACGTTTGGCATTACTGGCATTTGGTCTGAAATGACTTATGCGCATGTGCCTTGCCTAGTCTTGCGCAGTACATTTTGGGTACTATTTTCTTGTCAATTTCTGTACTTTTTGAATTGACGTAGCGGCAGCACTGTCGGTTAGCTCTGAGATCAATTAGGATCAGACAGATTGTTTAAATGTATTTTTTCATATTTAAAAAAATTGGTTTTTTCAACAATTTTTTCGAAAATTACCTTTAAGTAAAATTTTTTACCCTTGTCAGAACATAGTATCTTCAATAAAGACTTCATGACACATTTTTATTGACATAATGATGCCTTCTTTAACACTCATTATTCCTAAATAGTTGTCAAACAAATATACCCATAACTTATTCAAGAAACACTTCATTGTAAGATTTTCACTGAACAGTTTCACAAAAACCCAACACATTTTCGTTATACATCATCATCTTCCGGCGTGTCTATACGTATATAACCTAAAACAAACATAAACTGATAAACTGATTTTATATATAATATTTTCAGTTTTTCTAGTATTATTACTTTATTGTGTAATATCTCCCTTCAGTATCCGTTTGTATTGTATGTGTTTGATTAAAATTGTTTAATGTACTTATGTCTAGATACCACCCGTCCGGGCTCCCCACAGGTGCAATGCTAATACTGGATAAAAATTCACCCACTGGAAATTTGAAGGCATGGAGATCCTTTCTTATTGTACATCTATGATATAAAACGAACCTACATACAAAATTTCAGCCTTCGAAAATTTACCGGTATGAAGAAACAGTAATGAAAAGGTAATTTTCATATGTAAACTCCACTCTTTCACCCATAATTTGGCATCGAAGGGTTTGGATAAAAAAGAAAAGGTGGATTCAATTCAAAAACACCCCCAATAAAGAATTGCAGATCAATTTCAGCCCATAAAATCAATGAATAGGTGAAGCAGTTCCATGGTATTATAAGAATTAATCACCCGAAGAGGAATATTTTGTCGAGCCGCTGCCGGTCATAGGAAGCTAAGACGTAGGATCATAATTCCGATATCGAGAGGATTTTGTTTTTGGGTATCCATTGGAATATTATTAGGAATTTTATGCATTCATTCTGTGTTTCTCCGTACTGGGATTCAGAAGCCGTTCATTATTACTAGTTGTATTTAGGTATGTGATTTAGTTTATGTGAAAAGGAATAAAAGGTGTTACTCAAAGTGCGACCAGTGTTTGTTTCTATCAGTATTGATGTATTTCGAAATTTCTGAAGCAACTCAGAGTCCCTTAGCAGTTTCACTATTGCAGATTACACCACATCTTCTTGAAGAAACATCAATGAAAATTTCGCAGTTGAAAGTGTTACCATTGAAAGAATTTTTGGCCATTGGTAAGTTTTCCATCATTCGAAATAATATCAAGTATGAATGGCTTTCTGAAACCTTTGTGTAAATTTCTACCTAATTCTCTCAATACCAAAGTTTTTAATTTTTCAATTTCTTTGATATATAACCACCTATATGGAACTGCTGGACACGCTGCTACTAAAAATCCTATCAGTTTGCCAAAAATCTCTAATTTTCACAAACTCTTTCTCTCTCTCTCGAAATTTTCTAACATAATTCATGAAATTACATGTTTTTTGAGTGGTTAGAGATATCGATAAATCCTGGCTATAAAAAAGGAAGCCCAAATATTCAATGGGTGTGAGCACGCTTTTCTCCCTGTTTATTATGAACTCCAAAAGTTCTGATGTTTAGATAATGACCGTTATATTTCGTTTTAAATCTTTTTCAGTGCATCCTAATAAAAGCATATCATCAAAGTAAATAACTTACATCAATCCCTATTTTTGTAAAAAGGAACGGGGATGATTCCAAACCGAAAGGCATTAGAAGCAACCTTATTGGATTTTCAGATCTATATAGGTAGTTCATTCTTGGAGTAATATAAATTACACAGATCAGCAGAACAACAATTCGATTTATTTTGTTTTACAGTTATCACGGTGCTTACATTGAAACCATAAATTAAACGAGCTAAACATAATTTATTTGTTATAAACTTATTCTACAGTGAAACATCTAGTACAATTATTTGGCTTGTTCAAGTCTAATATAATCGGTATATGAAGTGATTAAATCGTCCATCTTGTAACCTTGAGAGGTTTCGCATAAAAGTTTCGTTTTTCTCATTATGTTTCCTATGGTTAGATGAAAGTAGGTAACCCCTGATGACCAATTACTCAGCTCAGAGTACTCATGGATGGCCAAAATATCCTGAAAGAAAAAATCGTTGAAAAAAAAAGGAGCAATATAATGATATCTTACTTTGGTCTGCGGATGTATAATATTGACTCCGTGTTTGTTGATGGCTATCAGGATAACCTCAGGATAAGTTGGTTCGGTGGACTGTTTCACCTCAAAGAACGTAGATCCGAACGTGGGCCATTTGAAAGTGGTCTTCAAAAATTGTGTCTTCGATTGCTCTCCGTTGATTCTCAAATTCCTGTATTCCGCCAAAATAGTTTTCCTCCACTCCGAAGAACTGGCAGCTTTTACGATATCACAGGGAATGCAATCCTTCAAGTCATGTTGTAGAGCAGACTGAACGTCAGAAACATTGTCTTCAAACTTGGCTCTAAGAATAAGGGCCGCAAGTTTGACTGCATCCTGTTTGCTACACTTGTGGTATCCTTTCAGGTACTTAGGCACTTCTTGATGATAATGAAATATTTGGTCGGCATTGTGGTCCTTCTCTGGCACCGTGTTCACCCAGAGCTTCTTCATAAAGAAGACTTGGTAATGAATATCGACTACAGTCTCTGTTAACAATTTCATTTATTAGATTAGATTAGAAAAACATAAGAGTCGCTTAATGAAAACAGTCCATCAGGCTTTATGGATTATCGAAACCGTATAATTTTGCTTTCATGGGAACATGTTTACACATTAATGGACCTTTAACTAATTGTTAAATTAGTTATTTTTTTTTCACATTTTTTTCTTCAAAATCGAGGTAAAACGATAGTCATAACGTCACTAACATTTGAAATATGAATTCTGCAACACCGTAAATCTTATTCATGTTGTGAATACTCTGACCCGTAACTTGATGACAATTAATTACACTATTCATGATAATAATTATGGAATTTTCACGATAAATTTTATTTAATAGGTAAGTACGTGTAAATTACCAGTCTAACTAATGAAGCTAACGAAACGCGCCTTAAATGAAACTCATTGTGAAATTTCCAAAATTATCATATATTCATACTGCATAATTTAATTTTCTTCCTCTTCTTGTATTCTTGTTGTTCTGACTGTGAGTGCGACTTGTTTTTGAGATCGATTGGATAGTTAGTTCCGAAATTATGAAGCATTTCATATTAGGAAACAATGAGTTTATATTAGGAATTTTGATACAAACATTATTTGATTGAGTGGTACCTACTAATTTAAAAAAAATGAGGGTGTAGGTATACTAAGAATTTCAAGGTATATACAGTGATGTAATTGATGTGTGAATGTGTCCTTCTGAAAACAGAAGCATACGAGATGGAGAATTATTTTATTTCTATATACAAAGCAACAAACCTTGATAAACTGCATTCGATGTGCTATTATGTATTTCTATTACACGCTTTATATTAGATTCACCTGTATGTATGTATATATGTATGTATGATTGTTTGAATGCATGTTTGCTTGTAACTCTCAAGCTCGGGATCTGTATTGACATAATTATCGGCATTAGTGCTTGATCTATTCGCGAGCAGATGGCGCTGTAAGTAACCTAATTGATATTTCTTGATCTACTCGCAGGCAGATGGCGCTGTACGTAACCTACTTGATATTTCTTCATCTATTCGCGTGCAGATGGCGCTGTACGTAACCTACTTGATATTTTAGCGGGCAGATGGCGCTGTAAGTAACCTAATTGATATTTCTTGATCTACTCGCGGGCAGATGGCGCTGTACGTTTAAAAATCTAAAAAACACGCTTTTAAAGAACATCGAACTAAAAGTTAAAAATAATTTTTCAAACAAGCTTAAAACAATAACGATCGAAAAATACTAGTATTATTGTGACAAAAGCAGGGGCGTTTTGTGCAATATTTTCATAGGCTTTTTTCACAATAATACTAGTATTTTTCGATCGTTATTGTTTCAAGCTTATTTAAAAAAAATATTTTCAACTTTTTAGTTCGATGTTCTTTAAAAGCGTGTTTTTTAGTTTTTTTGAAGTATATTTATTCACATCAGTTTTCATTTATATCCGTGATAATAATTATAGAATTTCACAATAAATTTTATTCGAAACGCGTTTCGATACACGGTAGCTTTATCAGTTAGACGGGACTAACTGATAAAGCATCAAGTAATGGATCAGTGCATTCATAGTTTTCGTTTGATTTTGTTATAACTTACTTCCCCAGTTCGGATGCAACTGCCGTCTCCAATCGATCAGTTCGCTTAGGAAATCATAGAAAAACGTCTGTTGGGGAACCGAGAATACCTTGTCGGCGATGGCAACAAACAGACTGAAACCGTCCGTGGATTGCAACTCTAATCTTGCGGCTATGGCTTTGCAAAGGTCTGTGGCTCGGCTCATAGAGTCAACTTCAAATGCTTCATCCGTGTCGTCTGGGAAATGAATTTTGTGATATATTTCCATGCTCTTGTGTTGAATGGCATCCACTTCGATGGAGTATGGGGCGAACTTCCTTGGCCCAACCTGACAAAAGCATTTTCGAACGATAAAAACCGCTTATCGGGTAGTTCGTAACCAGGGAAATAGTTGTTTTGAGGGGGTACTTGCCAGATTGTATTGTGTAGGAACGTTGGGAGAAGAGAATGCATCGAATTTTCGATTGAAATATTCATTTTTAACGAAAAAACGGCATTTCGAAATTTGAGTGACAGTTTATTGAGAGATTCTCACTGGAGAGTTTACAAAAGTGTAACACGTGTTTAGCTACACAATCGCTTCCTCGAGCGATTTCATACTGACTAAATTCTACTTAATTTGTGTTTTATATAATAACAATCCGAACCATCGGACATCCGATGTTTTGGGACTAATTTGTTCCATGTAAGCGAAATTTTACCTTTTTCATGTAACTTTATTTTGGAGGAATCCTGTGAGTGATATCTGATTCAATTCCACAAAGAATGTTTGGAGTACAAACTGAATGGGAAAACATATTTTTCTATAATTCAATCTTCATATAAAAGTAATTGTTTCGAATTTTTTTTTTTTTGTGTAATTCATTGTTTACATAAAAGTAATTATTGTTTTGAAAGGGATTTTTTTCCAGAACGTGTTTGAAATTTACCTCTTTGAAGTAGAACGATAACCTACCTTTCCAAAAAAATCAATCTCTCTTTGAAATATAGCCCTTTGAATTGTACTTTATGTAATACAAAATTTGAAACAAATGACCTTTTATCTACTTATTGCTACTTAATGACTAATAATTTCACCTGAGTTATAGCGAAACTCATGTTGCAGTTTGGTGAACTGTCCAGTGAAAATCCCATAATAAAGTGTTGGTGAATAGGTATATAATAGATTCTCATTAAGTATCGGTTAATTCTATCATAAGGCATTTGGAATAATTTACTTACTTTTTGAGTCTTCTGCAGTCTAAGCAAACAATGCTCCACGAATGGATGAGTTCTCGATTTTAAGAACTTCTGAAGCTCCACGTTCAATTTCTCACTTGGCGAATACAGCCCTGTGATTAGATACATCAATTCCCACCCTCTTTCTTCACTCAAGGAAAGCCTATTGAACGTAAGTTGCTTCATAATCTGGCAGTACACCTCGTCTTTGAGCAACTCATTCCTCAAAGGCCCTCCGAAGATGATGTCCGTGTATTCGTTGCTGTATTTGGATTTTGGAGCTGGCAGATCGCCCATATACTTGAGGATGGCGGTGTATATATTGCACGCTTCTTTACTGGCGGTTTCGTCTGCCAGAACGCTCTGCAATAGAGGTTGGTATATCGGTTCGTTGGAGTATTTCCAGAGGTCTTCTTTTGACATTTTTCTCGCAGTCGTTAACACTGATGTCTTGTTAACAGTTCGTATTTTACCCTCTCTGAAGTGATCCGTGGCGTAGCTCGCCAAGGTGTATAGCTTCATTCTTTGCAACGTGGTGACTATCGTCTTGTGGGGCTTTCCGATTACTATACCTTCTTTTTTGAAGCATTTAAGAATGTCGGCAGGGGGACACTGCAACGTGGGTATAATGTAGACGTTTTCAGTTGGAAAGTCTCCGACTTTGCCATTACTTTCTCCGTATCCCCAGGTGGAATTCATCAGTTTTTCTCCGTCGAAGTCGTTCTGGAGAACGATTAGATCACCTTTGCGGAAAGACAAGAATGATTCTGCCCCTGAAAGTCACATAAAATAATTAATTGCATATTGAGTATTATTTTTATTTGATCAAAACAAAATAACCAACATTTCAAGAAGGAACTTCAAACAGAGGATTGTACAAGAATTTTTCGCTACGAAATTTATCCTTCTGAATAAATAAATGGTAAAAGGTTATTTTTCATTACATATGATCATTTTTTCGAAGTGAATTTGAGGGGGATTTTCCATTCGTCAGAGCGTTTATTCTGTGTTCACATCAATCAGTTAGAAAGTAGTAGTATACCATCTACGGTGTTCACAGGTGAATTTTAATCTTGAATTAATGAGAAGGGTTTCCCCACAAAAATAGCCAATGTTTGATAACTTATGGGTAACCGACCGCAGAAATCTCTTACCTGTAGGATGAGAGTGATCTTGCGTTGCGACACAGTAGACCGACCTCTTCTTCAGTCCATCGACGATATATTGCACCAAAGTGGATATGCTCTTCGCGTCCAAAGTATAAAAGGTGTACTCCTCCTTGGCCACCGTATGAAAAACGAACCGTAGCTCGGGCGTAACTTCGTAAGTCGCATAGGAAACATCTGCAAACATCAGTTCTAGCAGTATCTGCTCTTGATCGTCGATCATGAAAATTCCACTTCCGTTCACAGCAATGATCATGTCCTTTTTAGGAAGTTCCGGCCCAGACACCTGGATCGCCTCGTAAAATTTGGAAAAAAGTATCGGCCACGTCGACTGCGCGTATTTTACCACTGCCTCCTTTGCAGTGATCGCTGGCAAGTTTTGTTTGACGAATGCTAGGTTGGAGAAGGCGTTCATGATTTTGGTCTCCCAATCGGACAAGTCGCTCTGACTCGCTTTGACCAAGTAGGTCGGCATGTATTCTCCGATGCGAGTATGGAGAACGTTCTTGTTGAATTGGGGTCCGTTATCCACGAAGTACTGAGTCGCGATCAGTACGACCACGTCTGCTTCGTTGTTGCACCGATATTCACCTGCTTTCAAACCTCTTACTATCTGATGGTAGATCAAGTTGGTAGCGACGGAATCTTCCGAAGGATCGTGCCAAGGAGTGAAGATTTCCTTGCGTAGGAAGAGGCGCCACGGACAGTTTCTCTCTTCTTGTCCCTGCGGAAAAAATACCATACAGTGTGTTCATGGAGTAACGCATATAAGCTAGATCCAGATGAAAACTAACTCGGATCGATTTTTATTTTGATTTATTATTTTTTGAAATAATTCAATATACAAGGTGACCTACTTTCGAGAAGTGACATCTTCAGTAGCCACTTCAATAAAACACTCTTTTTGTATGTTTTGTTTTTTGAGCTGATTCCACAAGTTGCATCAAATTGGTACAAAGTGGACAACAGTACAAAATATAATTTGAAAATTCAATAGGAAAATAATACTTTTCTCAAATTTGCTACAAAATAATACACGAACGGTGTACGTTATGAAAATCAATTATGAAATTACATCGTTTGCAGCTATTAGATACACGGTATACTCTCAAGAACAGACAAAAAATAAGGATCACAGTAAATGTTCCAAGTGTTCTACATTGACCACTGGACAAAATCCTTCTCGGGAATTACGATGTGAAATTTTCACTTGAAGGTTAACAAAACCGCCACACTTGTTTCGATATACAAAAGCAGCTTCGGGCGTGACATCATTGTGATGTTACAATAGATTTTCATCAAGTACCGGTCACTTCTATCATATAATCAAATCTCTCGGCCTGGTACAGTGTGGATTTTCAGCTGCCGAAAAAAATTATGTCTTGCTGACGTAAATATTTTCAGGAACTACAAAGCCACATTATTTTTGGTGCAGATTTTACATATTTTCATCTTCTTTATTTTTTTTCTATTTTGTGTAGAATACCAGTAATATGATGAAATTGGTTCATAATTTGGTCGCATTCCACGAAATTTATTTATTTATTTATTTATTTGACACTTTGGTACATTGATTACATGTGCTAAGTCATAATTAAAAAACAAAAATAAAACTACAGAAGTTGAACAAAACAAAAACAATAAATATGGTTCACGTCCACAAACTTTCACAACATAGAAGTATTATATAAAAAATCGGAGAAGCTCTAGCAAATACTCTCAAAATGTCATGAAAAAGTGTCGTGCAAGAATTCCTCAAGACTGTAGTAACACTTCTGTAAGAGAAGTTTCTTCACCTCAATTTTAAAAAGTTTATCTGACTCGATTTTCCTAATAGATGCCGGCAAGTTATTATAACAGTTTGTTGTATTAAATAGTGGGGAGCATCTAAAGTGAGCCGTTTTGTGTGAGGGGGTTCTTAACAGTTTCCCATGACGGGTGTCTTTACCATGTATATCCGCATTTGTGACAAATTCAGTTATATTGTTACGGGCAAAAGTGACACACTTCAAGATAAATAAAGAAGGTGTCGTCAATAGGCCCTCTCTTAAGAAAATTGGTCTACAACTATCTTGAAAATCTATATTAAAAATTAGTCTCAGCAATCTTTTCTGGGCAACAAAAACTCGTGGAAATTCCCTTGCACATCCCCAAGAAATGATATTAAAGCTGATGTGAGAATAAGCCATAGAAAAATAGACATTCATCAATCCAAAATTATCTAGAGTGTTTTTCAATTGTTTGATTGAGTAATATGCGGAATTGAGTTTGTTGCAGACCTTCTGAATATGACCGCTCCAGGTCAAATTTTCGTCTAAAGACGTTCCTAAAAACAAGACTTCGCTGGAAGATCGAATACCATTTATTGTGGAAGAGTCACTGCTGAAATTTTTCCTAATAAATGATTTCATTGAAACAGATTTAGATTTATTCAGAATAAGTTTGTTACGTTGACACCAAGCACTGAATTTATCTATTATTTTATTTATTTTGTCTGACAACTCAACTTCGTTTTTGTCGGCCACAGTAATTGCAGTGTCATCCGCAAACATGGTTATGTGACACTCAGAAAAGAATTCAGACAGGTCATTAATGAAATTGAGGAACAACAATGGTCCCAGGACAGAACCTTGAGGCACTCCTAGTTTTACATCTTTGGGACTTGATAAAATTCCATTGCAGCTAACTATTAGACTACGGTTTTCCATATATGATTTCACCCAGTTCAATAGATTATTTGGGAAACCTAGGCCTGCAAGTTTAATTATAAGAAATTCGGAAGAAATGGTATCAAATGCTTTTGACAAATCGAAAAAAAGTGTTACAACTAGTTTATTCGAGTCAACCTGTGTATAAATGAAATTTAATAAATGGTATGAATAATCCGATACATATCTTTTGTTCCGTCCGGATCATATCGCCAAATCCAATCTTGGTTAAAATTTGGATGTTCACATTTCAGTTGAAAATGATGAGATAACTTTCAATTACATTTCACGTAAAAGTGCCTACGTTGAAATATTAACAATATAGAACGGAATATCTTTTAGATCACTAATAGATATCATAATAACAATATAAGGTTTATTTTCATTTGTGCATTAAAATAGTTAAGGAAAAGCAGAAGTGGACCTCTTCTCGATGCGCGTTTTTCATCATCCAAGTTGGAGACTTTATAAGATGAAACGTGCGTCAAAAAGAGTGTTGCAGTTCTGGTGTTTGGGAAAAGTGTTTGTTATTGTTATTGAAGTAATTGTAATGAAAATACGTTTCATATCATTTTGTGTTACGTTTATCCTTTACTCATTATTTTTTAATTAAATCACAATTTTGGTTTGTTGTCCACCATGTACCGATTGGGAGCAACTCATATCATTTTCGGAATCATGTAGTTCAGTAAGATAGCTCCGAAAATTGAAAAAAATTAAAAATATATAAGAAGATCCCTCTGTACAATGAATTATTATTTGATAAAACTGTTAGTAAAATTCAATAATGGAGCTATTTCAGGGATTCAGGAATCAAGAATACTGTTCATTTGGTTCATAATGAATATATGCGTTACTCTCTGGATGCACTGTGTATTATCAAAGATAGTTGCAGAAATTAACGACAGTTTTATTATTCAAATCTACCAGTAAACTTATGAAGAAGCTTGTGTGAGGATTTGAGTAATTATTCAAAGTTTTGGTTGTTATAAAAATATCCATCCTCAGAAATAAGCTCACCTGTTCTTTGGCATATTGCTCACATTGAGAAATGGCATCCATAATATTATCACTCTCGCTTCCCAAAGACATTACCTTGTCATACAAAGTTACGAATAGAGAAAATCCGAAGACATCCTTTAGATTAAGAGTGGTACTTATTTGTGCGAGAAGTTCTTCTGAAGTTGTAGCCGAATCAACCTGAAAATGAATAGGTTAGAGGGCTACTAGAATTCATGGTCTTGCAGGCAAAAAGTGTCTAACCTCCACTATTTGACTGGTACCGTCCATGAGAGTGACTTCGAGGTGCATAGGAGCCTTATTCTTGGTGGCCATGAGTTCCAACCAGCTTGGGGGCTGTGTTCTAACCCCGTTTTGGTGCGTTCGATTCAACCTCCCTTCACAGTATGGAGCATATCCTGGAGGACCAGATCTTATAAAGGATCTCAGATAGTTTATGAACTTTTCCGATGGAGAAAAGCAGCCCACACAAAGTGAGAGGAGTATCCAACCTCTCGCGTATGAAGATTTGATATAGTTATTGGTGAGTTGTTTGCAGATCATTGCCAGAATTTCGTCTCTGAAACGTAGAGAATAGTTCCTAAAGATTTCACAAGAAAGACTTACAATTACTCACCTTAGTTCCGGACGCAAAATGCCGTGGCCAATGATAAAGTGTAATTTTTCCAAGTTGTTTGTTCGTCTCTTGTGTAACCATTCATTGTATTTATCCAGGGCAAAAGTGTCTTCTACCAAGCCTTTCCTGACGTCTTCAAGCAATTTATTTTTTCTCTTCAGAGTCATGTTTATCAGTTTCTTTCTGCTTGATTTTGTTGCAGAGGCATATTTTTTTTCTTCTTTGAGTATTTCCTGGTACTCTTTACGATTCGTGAAACTTTTGCCGATCGACTCTGAGATGATTTGCATGATGGGAACGTTTTCTTTCGTCGAATTGTCGTATTTGGGCTCCGGATAGTCTCCCATGAACCTGAGGATGGTTATCCACAAGGCTTGTGCGGCGATCACGTCATCTGGGGTCGGAAGATAATGTAGGGATTCCTTAAGAGGTTTCTTTGAAAACTGATAGTTGACATTGTTCGTAAAATACGTTGCTGCATATATTCTAAAGTTGAACTCGCTTAGATCTTCTTGGAAAGGTCTATCAAACGTTTTCTGCGTTGGAGTTGGTGGTTCCTGAAAGACATTTATTTTTGTACCAATATATTTTCTCGAGTATTTTACTTCACAAAATTGACAATTTTACATTGAAAACTGAATGCAAAAAAATATTATCAATTATTACACTGGGACAGACACGGATAGAATAAATCTGGATATTATTTTAAATTGAAGTTTTTTTGATAATCCCAATAATGATTATTCCGTGATTGGTTTATTCTCATTTATATCAGGGATATTCGACCTGGGTCTATTTCGAAGTAATAATGAATGCTAACAAAAGATAATTTTTGTTTCAGAAATATATGGAAATAACCGAAAATTTATGAAGTTGACTTTTTATTGCAACTTTTTTATTTATATAGGTATTAGAAATATGTTTATACTTTGCCATAGAAACTTGAGCTATCAAATATATTCAGTTTTTATACCAGGTCGTCCCTCGTCTTGAACTCCCATAACTTTGGAATTTTGAATAGGAATCTGTTAGGAACTGAATTAACCCAGATATTTCTGTTTAGGTAATTTCATTATCACAACAAATAAATTTAATCTACTACTGATATTGCAAATTATGAAGCCATTCAAACTTACCGCGTATTATTTATATCAATACAAGTACATAGAACATGAATGCGTTTTCAGATAGGACCAGTGGTGAACATACTTCAATGGTTTATAATGCCATGAGTAGTAAAGTGTTATTCTTCCTATTACAGTAAGGTTCTCGAATCATTGTTTGATATATTTTATAAATATCATTATTTTTTCCATAAATTACCCTATTTAATTATATTTCTGTTATGTAAATGCTCAATAATGTTCAAATAAGTTTGGCGTACAAGAAATCATAATACACGATACAGTCACTTGAAGTCAGAAAAAACTTCCAAGTAGGAGGCCATGCTATCGATAAATGTAGCGTGACCAATGGTTTCGTTTTAAATTTAGAGAAATGATTGAAGTTAAAGTTGTTTCTAGCGTATATTGAAAATTTTGGAAAATCATCATCAGTATACTTAATAGTAATTTTTCGGAGATTACATTATTTATACTTACCACCAGAGACCCATTGATCCCGTTTTCGTCAGCCTCAAAAATTTCTCTAAATGCTTTGTTTATAATATCTCGGGGTGATTCGATGTCTTCGTTTGCTGGTTTTTCCTCGCTTACATTTTCTTGGTTCCGGTGATAATTTGCAAGCTTCTGCTGCATCGCAGTCTCAGCCTCAGCCTTGTAATTTTTATGACCACGCTTCATCAGATCTGCCTCTTCACTCTTCCTCTGCTTGACAATAGCGAAAATGTTCCCAAACTGACTGTGTTTTCTAACTATATATCCCCGACTGCTAGCCTGAATAGATACGATGTTCTTTCGAATTTTTTGATAGGCGTGCGCGAGCTGCCTGGAAATGATCACGGATTGCAGACGTTGGAACCCGTTGCGCATCATTAGGTATCTCTTTCTGTAGCCTCTGGCCCTAAAGTGCTTCTGCAAGACTATAGCGGCCGCCCGCTTCTTCAGGAATCGTCTCCTGTGCACCCAGCCTTTGACCACCCTCTGCAAAGTGCTCACGGCTTGCTCCAGTATTTTGTTGCGTAGCTCTTCTAGAATGTCGTTGTCGTTGTGTTTGAGGAACACCTTCGTATGTCCGAGCTGATAGTTCTTCTGCTCTACGTTGCGAAATGCCTTGGCTAGAATTTTCGTGGCGGAAGCCTTGCAGTCGCCTTTGGCTGATGGCGGAATGTTACTTGCCAAGAACCGAAACGTGTCGACAAACTCGATGTACGTGTACCGGATGGGATACCCTGCCTTTCGGATTTTTGCAGTTTCCATCATGCCGGAATAGCGCAGCTGTCTTGTGCATAGGCTTCTGTCGAATATCTGGAAAAATTAGTATCGAGAAATTTTTCTATGAAACAATCCCCATTAGAGTTATTTGACTTCGCTGTGATCTTAACAAAAGACATGAGAGTTATAATGATTTCATACTTGTTTTCAGAGAAGACAACAACGCAAATAATCAATCAGTCAAAATATACTTCATTGCCCTTAAGAAGATTCAATCAATCAATCAATCAATCAATAAATCAATAAATCAATCAATCAATGTATTCATTGTAAATGAAACATTACAACGTCGTTATTTCCTTAGTATTAAAATTAAAATACATATACACAGAGATGCACAGATCAAAATAAAATAAATAAATATATACAAAATTATCATGCACATGTAAACCTACAAAAGATTGATTGAAAACGATTTGACAGGTATGACTTGAGCAGTTTATACGAAATTCCTCTTACTCCATAATATGATAATTTCTCTAACAGTATTTCATGGTCAACAGTATCGAAAGCTTTACTCAAGTCACAGCTTAATATCTGGGAGTCCTCTTGATTATCAATGGCATCTATGATTTTTTGAATAATCTCTATCCTACTGACAGTCTATAAAGCAAAAATAAAGAAGACACTAAGAAATACAAACCATGAAAACAAAAAATTAAAAAATGTTAACAAACTCGGTGATAATGATCAAATCACGGTTTAAATGGAACTCAACAAAAAACATTAAAATTGTTAAACTTACTTGGGGTTTTTTTTCGTTATTGGGCTTGATGCACCTTACGAAATAAGGATGGCAGGACCCTAGAGTTTTCAAGAGCTGGTCTAAGGACATTTTGAACTGAGCTGATAGTGTTTTTTTCAATGCAGAGTCAAGTTCGCCTTTGAAGAGATTTTTAAGAAGGTTGTTTCGAGATCCAATCACCAGATTTTTCAAGTCTTGACTGAACGTATCGCGGTTTTTCTCAAGAAATCCTACAATAAAATACATGATAACATTTATATGATGAAAGTAACACGGACGGATACCTGGTATATCGTAATAAACGTCCCCAGCGAAATGACGAATTCCAAACGAGGGCGTAATATCATTTTTCAATTTGATGTACTTTGCGTGTTTTTCGTGTTGTTTATGTAACTTGGACAATAAGGAAAAGTCCGTGCCTTTCGGAAACTTGGATTCTTCATCGATCAACGAAAGAACGTTCAACGGTTTCATTCCCAGCAGATCCAAGATATCCTGGTTATCGATGAACGTTATATTGGACCAGTTTATTCCTTCTTTGGTGTAGTATTCCTGCTCCAACTTGAAGATATGGTTGATGAAAAACTGCTGGAGACTTTCATTGGTATAATTTATGCAAACTTGTTCGAAACTGTTGATTGAAAAATTTTCGAATCCGAAAATATCCAGCACGCCTATTGACGATTTTGATTGTAGCTTCTTGGATGAAATTACTCCATTGACTTTGTCGACAATAAAAATGAAAAGTTGCCCGTATATACCTTTCACGAAGGCATTCCGAGATTCCCCGGCTTGATCTTTTGATAAATTTGCCACCACCTTATCTCCGTGGGCATACAAGGTTTTTTTTGTGAGGGATTCTCCGAGATCAAACTTGTTCACTTCTAGTAGTCTGGCAATTTTCTCGTTGAGGTGGACATCGCCTATCTCGGAACTGTCGGAGTGGTTGACGGTACCGCTTTTGAATCTGAGGTTGCCCAGATGTAGAATTGCTGCCAGCAAAGAGAAAATGTCGGTGATTTCCGTTTCGGTGAAGTTGAGCACTTTAAATGCTGCCGTGATGTCCGAAAATTCTTTTTGTTCATTTCTTCCTTGGCAAACTAGAGTTCTTCCTGTTACATATAATGAAGGGTTCATTTTATTATTATTCAAACATACTTGATTACCTTACCAAAAATGCATTTTATAGTACTGAAGAATTTCTTCAACTCTAGCTATTATTGTATAGTTACTTTATTTTACTTGTACAAATAAAACAAAAAATAGATTTCACAATTTTAACTAATTTAAGCTACTTGCATATATTATCTGTCACTGTTCTTGCATCTTTTTATTATGCCTACTTAACTTCTAATAACATGTATATATACACTAATTATAGATAAGCACAATTGCTTTATGTTCGGTTCTGACTAGTCTGATAAAGTTTTATACTGTATGTACCACATGTATAAAATCTTTTAATGATGAATAAATTTCTATTCTATTCTATTTCTATTTCTACACGTATCTTTGACTACAACCTCGACTATACTTTGTATTATTATTTTTCTGGATTGTTCTTAGACAAATATATTATATAAATAGAACATATTCAAAGTTTTACCAAGACAAATGACAAAAGTAGTAATAAGTATCACTGTTGAATCTGCTACATTCGATGAAAACAAAGCAAAGCCGATTTTTCAAAGATGGTATTCATACAATAATCGCACGGATTGCCGATTTTTAATTTTAAGACAGAAAATTTTTGAACATACTTTCAACCTTTTTACCTTATTACTTGTATTCCTTCGATTCTACCTTGAAACTTAGTTTTATTGAAAGGAAAACAAATTATGAAATTATGAAACAACAAGAACAAAAAATAATTAGCGCTCCGGGGCGACTTGATTAATCCAGTGTCGCATTTCAGCTGCAGGAAAACCCGGAAAACAGCACCATATCATCTGAAGATCTGGATCTGACAATGTCCTCTCTTTCATAGAATAAAATGTAAGGTGTCTTCAGAGGCTTGAAACTTTATTATTTTTTTTTGAAGCTTTATAACTTCTATTTAATTATATGCGAGCGCTTTCGACAGCTGGCAGTGCTATCATCTTCTTGGCTCTACTCAAACTGTCAGTTTGAGTTTGAGTGTGAGGTGACTTTATGGAATTACTATGGATTTTCATCGAGTAACGGCCGAATCAATCAGAAAGTTATGATTCATTGTTTGTGAAGATAAAAATTTAATTCGATTTTAATTCAGGTATAAAAATAACTTAATGTTCAAAAGTGATAAAAGTGATAATTCATTAGCTCAAACAACGAAATATCTGTATGGTGCATATGAGAAAAATTAAATTTCAAAGAGGCATATTTATAGGAGATTGATGTGATGCCAAACAATGATGTTCTAAAAATATTAAATTGCATGCAATGAACATAATCACACTATCAGTCACGTCCACCTCCCGTCGTCGTCACCTCCGTCGGCGATTGCAGCGTGACGGTGACGGTGCGGAGACGTGACGGTGACGTTACGGCGATATATGTGAGATGTGTTAATATTGGCAGGGCATTAATGAGAAATTGGGCGACTTTTTCATTTCCAATCAACCCCACCGTGTTTACAATTCAAAAAAAACAACAGTATCTCAAAAATAAAAAAAATTACCGCCTTTAAGATAGGTATATGACTCGGCGTCTCCCAAATCTAATCGTTTCTTTTCTTCTTTGCTCATACCAGCCAGCATGCTATAAAAAATATGATAGTTACGATCACCGTCACTTTGGAAAACAAGTCTACTTTTCTCCAAAAGGTACTGATCGATATGGGCGCCCTCTATGTTTCCCGCTTTGTTGAATCGGATATCGATATACTTTCCGAACCGGGAAGAATTGTCGTTTCTGACGGTTTTAGCGTTACCGAATGCTTCTAAGATGGGATTCGCTTCCAAAATTTGTTGCTCTATCCAAGTATGCTGAGCGCTCGTTGAAGCGAGGTACTGAAGAATAAGTTTCGTACTTTCTGTTTTCCCTGCCCCACTCTCTCCACTGAAATTTACGACTATTCAATATACGCTTTTTCTCAAAATCAGATACCTACCTGATGACTATACATTGATCCTTTTTAGTGGTCATCATGTTCGTGTAGCTATTGTCTCCAATTGCAAAAATATGGGGAGGCTTTTCCTCCTTTTTTTTGTTTTTGTACTCTTTGACGAGAAAGTTGGTGTATATTGGCAGAATTTCATAAGGATTTATCGCTACTAACATAGAACCTGTATATGTCTGCAAAAATATTGGAAAATGTAGATTCATAAAAGATATGAAAATCATGTCATAAGATTAAAAATGCCTGACAATGAAAATTGTTGATATTTGATAATTCAGTTGATATAAAAAATGGTTTATTTGAATGTGTTTAGTAATGATGAATTAAATATGGATATTTTCAGTTCTTGATGAGCTATAGTTAAAAAAAAGAATAAATTCTCACGTATATCAGTTTTTCGTTGTATCTCTTATGTAAATTCCTGAGGATAGCGTATTCTTCCAGTTCTCCCAAATTGATCATATCTTCAACCCCTTTGATAGAAGAGATATGCATTTTTTTGAGAATTTGCCGGTTCGAAATATACGACTGTCTATTATCATCGTCTTGAATTTTGATTCTGGTCGATTCAATAGCAACTATTTTTCCTCCAATTGGAATGTTGAATTCACTTTCCATTAGGGGTTTCGCCCAGATGTAATCACCCTGTAGTAAAATTATTATTGACATACATTAATACTCTAACACCCTTACAATAATCTATAGGAGTAAATATATCTATTGAAAACACTTTCCCAACATCAGAACAAAATAACGGTTTCTCAATATGCGTTTCGTTAACCAAGTTAGCGTCCTCAGGAGATCATTAGTCAAAATGATCATTAGTCATAATGATCTCCTGAGGACGCTAACTTAGTTTAACAAACGCACTTGGAGAAATCGAAATTTTGTTCTGGTGTTGGGAAAGTTTTTTTCAATAGGTTAATTTTACTGCGCCACAGAGGTTCCAGTACGAACTATCAAATAAAAGATGGTCATTTCTGATGAAAAAGTTTATATAATATGAGGTCTAATTTCTTCATCGGTTTCGAATATTCATTTTTGTGATATTTACAGAAAACTGAAAAAAAGTATTGAAGTGCTGGTATTTAGAAAAGTGCATGTTTTGGATTATTTCTATGGCAGAGGTTCCAGTTTTACCATTTGACATATTTCATACTTTTATTTCACTTTTTTGCGATACTCTTTTTGGAACAACAACTCCAAATACTCGTTCACCGCATTATGAAGCAATTCCTTTCATTTTTTATTTTTACAGTTTTTTTTTGTTACTTCATTTTTATTTCAGTCGTGTGACTGATTATTATCTAGTTTTTGTATTTATATAGTAAAATGTTTTTTTAAATCAATGATTTCGTTTTATTGTATAAATATTTTAGTATACAGGGTGTTTCAAATCCGATCCTCACCATTGGGATCTCGGAAACTATGAAAGATACGAAGATGATTAAATTGGGGCAAAGTTGCGCATTTACCTGACTATCAATACTCCGCTGAGAAAGTTCTTATTTCTTATCATGATAGGATTTAACTTTGATGTTTCTAAATTTGACTTTCAATTTGTTACTCTCAATGCCATTTTGTGATTGTACAAGTCATTGAGTTTTTGGCGAAAAATGGCTTTCACGAATTAAAAAAAAAAGGGATATGATACAAATTTATTACAAAAACGATAGAAACAGTGTTAGGACATCAGAAATGTATTTAAACTTGTATTCCGAAAGACGACAACCACATCGAACCATGTTCAAGTTCAAGCCGAGGAAAAAAATACGGAGACAGAATGGACCAAGAAACTAAAGAAAATTTTATAAATTTTGTGTGTATGAGTTAAGCTAGACATTGTGTCCTTTACGAAAAATTAATAATTTGCAGATGAACATGAACCCGGGGAAATCTACACATCAAATTTTGGCTAATTTAACTAATAAGAAAACCTAATTTTTCTGTTTTCCTTGAAAATGTAATTTGGACAGATGAAAGCACTTTTACGAATTGTGGAATATTCAACCGAAATAACGAACACATTTGGAGCATAAGCCACTCTAGGCAGTTCCGAGAAATTCGACCTCAAGTGCGATTTAGTATTAACGTGTGGACAAGAATTTATAAGGATAGAATTTTGGGTCCTCATTTATTTGACGGAATTCTGAATGGAGAAACCTATCACCAGTTTTTGATGTCGATTTTCGAAGACTATTTGGATGATTTACTATAACAACATCTATAACAACATCTATAACTAACTATAACAACATCTGGTTTCAACATGATGGTGCTCCACCCGACACTACCAGAGTATCTGACTGAAAGGTTTAGTGATAAATGGATAGGAAATAATAGGCCGGTGAGGTGGGCAGCAAGGTCTCTAGACTTAAGTGTTATGAATACATTCTTATGGGATACACTGAAAAATAGAGTTTATAGTCAGAGGGAATATCAAAATATTGAGGACCTTCAATACAGTTCGGAAGATTGAGGAGGAGGGAAATTAATCGTGCAGTGAATAATATTGGAATAAGAACACAGTTGTGTTATCAAGAACAAGGCCAGCATTTTGAGCATTTAATATGATTTACTTTTGTCTTTACATTTTAATTATTTATTGTTATTTGTTCAAAGTTCTATTTTCATTGAAAAGGACATAATGTGTAGTTTACCTCATACAAACCTCATTTATCAAAGTTTAATTGTTGATTCTGTCTCCGTATTGTTTCATTTGTTTTTCAAACGAACTAAACTCGGTGAGATTTTGATCCAATAACTTAAACATAGTTCGATGTGGTTGTCGTCTTTCGGGATACAAGTTTAAATTTATTTCCGATGTCCTAACACTGTTTCTATCGTATTTGTAATAAATTTGTATCATATCTCTTTTTTCTTCATTCGTGAAAGCCATTTTTCGTCAAAAATCAAGATCTTTTTTACAATAACAAAATGTCATTGAGTGTAACAAATTTAGAAACATCAAAGTCAAAGCCTATTATTATGATAAGAATTAATTTTTTTCAATATCTTTTCGAAAAAGAATGATAACCTATCATACATCATTGACAAGGTAGAATCTGGCTCTATTCAAAACAGAAAGAATTCAATGTAGCGCCCATGAGAAAAAATAAAGTTGATGATGGCCGGAAGATGAAACGTCAGATAGCAAATCTGGAAACACCATTATGTAGCAGGGAAAAAGTGGCAATGTGAAGTGCATTTATTTTCGAACCCTTCGAAAAATGAAGCCAGAAAAAATAAAAACTATTTTCCAAAATTTCTGTTTTTTCCGATATCTCCGGATATACTCGGAATTTCAGAACTTTCTTGGCAACGGCATATTGTTAGTCAGGTAAATGCGCAATTTTGCTTCAATTCAACCATCTTTGTATCTCTCATAGTTTCCGAGATCCCAATGGTGAGGATCGAATTTGAAACACCCTGTTTGTTCGAAACTCATAAGGAGGGTGTTGTACAACGCATACCAAATGGAATGATAAAATACTCAGTATTCTTTTAAGTTAAGTATTCGTAAGTACCCATTTCCTAATTTCTGTTAATATTTTCACTTTTAGAATAACGATTATGATTTGTATATCACTCACCAATATTGGATTTTGTGCCATTATACTTAACACTATTTTATTTTGCACAGTTTGAAAGAACTACATGAAATTATGGATTTGGCAAACATCAAGTTGGCGTTTCTTATCAATAAAATTTGTCACCATATCGATTTATTTTCATGATTGTTTCGTATCATATCAGTACTACTTTTGTTATCAGAATTTTTTATTGTGGAGATAATTTGTGATTAACTTATCAGATGGACTCTTGGCTGGGTCTCACGCTCTTACAAATACAGGAAAACCAAAATTTTTATACACGTTTCCATTAAATTTTTGAAGCTGCATATACCGAATACGGGGGAAATCGTTATTTTAGTAATGGAACTTGAATTATTAACTAACTATTCATTCGCGTCAATTTCAATTTTTCATTTTTTTGAAGGACTTCCATTGTCTAATATGATATGAAATGACTTAAAATCCCTAAGAGAATCAATAAAATTAAAATGAATTGCTAATAATAACAATTATATTGAGCAAAAAACTCTGAAAATGAAATTACAATAAAATAAAACACAAGCAACAATTGAAAAATTGAACAATTGAAAAGTCATCACCATAACACGATTGTGAAGTAACGTCGTCAAACGTCGTGAAGTAACTTGGCTTGAAATCTAAATCTTTTAATTTTTATTTCTTTTCAATATTTGATTGTTGCTTGTATTGTATTTCATTGTAACTTTATTTCAGGGGTTTTTTGCTTATCTGGTTGACTGCCGACCATATTTTTGAGGTACTCTTGGATGCCGTTATGTTTTATTTGTTTTTTTGCAATTCGTGTCGTCAATTATAAGTCTGAAAAAATCTATAGGTTTGCCTGTGCCCGGAATCGCTCTCAATTATTTTGAATGTAAACTGTTTCAATGTACCTGTTTTTGTCCACTTGGAACTTATTTTGCGCATTAATCGAAGCTGAATTAGTATTTACAACCGAAACTGAAATATTACATAACAACTTTCTGATTCGAAAAGATATTCGTTTTCGAACACTGGCATTTTCTATTTCCACTGCTATTTTCTGAACATTGCAATAATTTTTCATCTGTGAGTGCTTTCCTACTGTACACATGTAAGTTATATCCTTTTTTTCTAGGCTTAGGTTAGGTTAGGTTAGGTTAGGTTAGATTAGGTTAGGTTAGGTTACCCTCACGGACCACAGATTTATCCGGTTTGGTATAGCCAGTACTGGCCAAAAAAAGCCAACTGCAAGTCAACGCCCATCATATGATTGGACCGTCTTCAGGAATATAATGGAACTAAAGATCGGAAACAGGCAACCCGGACTGATCGAGTACACGGACGCCCTAAAAATGGCTACCTCTGGATGCATTAGAAGACGAGAGGGGCGCCTAAAGCCAGACCCTTATTGGTGGAACGAGGACATAGAGCAAACCAGAAATATGTGTAATAAAATAAGAAGGACCCTTACACGTCTAAGACGGCTCACAAACAACGAACCGAGGGCTAGGGAGGCCATGGAGGCATACACGAAGGCTAGGAGAGAGCTTAAAATGAAGATCACGAAAGCAAAAAAGATCCGCTGGAAACAAATGTGTGACGAACTGGATAATGACATCTGGGGAGATGGGTATAAGGTAGCACTAAGGAGCCTTCGCCAACTTAGGCCCTATGAACTGGATCCCGATGTAAGAATGGAAATAGCAAGAGAGCTTTTCCCACCCGGTCAAGACCGTAAAGAACTCCTCAAGCCAATTAGAATAATAAATCTCTTTACCTTAGAAGAGCTAAGGCAAGTAGTCACCCGCATGAAGGCAGGCAAAGCACCCGGCCCTGACCGAGTGCCAACGGAAGCCATAAAAGTTGCTTTCGATACGCATCCCGACACGGTCCTGGCGATGAAGAATAATCTGCTACACGAACAAGTCTTCCCAGCGAGTGGAAGAATGCTAGACTAGTACTCATACCAAAGGGAAAGCCGGGACAGAATATGTATAGACCGATTTGCCTGCTAAACGGTCTCAGTAAAGTCTATGAAGGGCTGATCAAGCTACGAATAGAACAAGAGCTCGAAGAGAGAGGAGGCCTCTCAGATAGGCAATATGGCTTCCGTAGGGGCAGATCCACGCTGCAGGCCGTCGAGCGGGTAGTAAGTCTCAAAATGGGGGCATGGAGGTGGTGTGTGCTGGTTTCGGTTGACATCAGAAATGCGTTCAATACGGCCAGTTGGCCAAAGATTATGGAGGAATTGAAACGTCAGGATATCTCCACCTATATTACTAACACCATAGGCAACTATTTGAAGGACAGGGAAATCGAGGTGGCCTCCGGCTATCCTCTGGCCGTAACTGCAGGAGTTCCACAGGGTTCGGTCCTGGGACCCACCCTGTGGAATATATTATATAATGGAGTCCTAGAGCTAAGCCTGGGTACCGGAGTTACACAAATTGCTTTCGCCGACGACCTCGTCATAGTAGTGGGCGCGTCCAGCGCAGAAGATCTTAACACAAAAACAAACACGGCCCTAAGAAGGGTGACTGAATGGATAAACGACTGTGGCCTTAAGATAGCGCCAGAGAAGACCGAGGTGCTACTCATAAAAGGACCAAGGAAACGTGATGGCATTAATATAAAACTGGGAAATACTCGCCTGGAAGTAAAGAAAGCTACTAAATACTTGGGCATCGTACTCGACGATCAAGGGACCTACGGGGCACACATAGTGTGCCCCGTAGATCGAAACCGGTCGTATAAATGAAATTAATTTAGGTGCAAGAAGCGCCGAGGTGGTTTTTAGTGGGTAAACGGTCACGACCGGAGTCCAACATACCCAGGGAAGGGAGGAACCTGTACCTGGCGATTCATAAAGAATTTTCCACCCGCCAAAAAAAAAAAGGTTGGGTTAGGTTAGGTTAGGTTAGGTTACTCGCCGAAGATCTGACGAAAGTCAGACGGAGTTCATCAGGCACAGCACGAAGGTAGTCACCAGCAGAGGGCTTAGAGAGAGCATAGCGAACACGATATATGCGATACCAGTGACCACGGGAGAGACCGGAGGGCCCGAGGAGGTTGAACACATATATAGGAGCCTGAGGGCAGGCACCGAGGAAAACCACAGAGAAGATTGTAATTAAAATGGAGGGGAGGAACTACGCGGACGCTCTGAGGGAAATGCGGAGCACAATGGATGTGTCAGCAATGGGGGTCCCATGTCGTATCAGGGAAAGAATAAACATTTTAAGGTGCTACCGATGCCTGGGCTTTGGTCACAGGAGAGAGGGATGTACAGGCCCGGATAAGTCGAAGTGCTGCCTTAACTGCACCGAAGAGGGACACATTGCCAAAGTATGCCTGAAGGATAGGCGATGCGCAAGTTGCGGTAAGGAGGGACATAGAGCGGATCAGATGAGCTGTCTAGTGTACAGAAACCTCATCGACGCGAAAGAAAAAAAGATCAGGGAAAGGAAGCAAGGTGGTAGGAGGGAAACGCTAATATTGCAGATTAACGTTGGCTGAGCGAGAGCTGCACACGACGTAGCCTTTGTGACTGCGGACAGATTAAACGCAGACATCGTTATTTTGCAGGAGCCTAATAAGGCCTTGGCTGAGAGGCAAGGCCTGTTAACGGACAACAGAATTGATGTCGCGGTTTTCTGTAGGACGGAAAACATAGGTATTGTAAATCATAAAAGGAGAGATGGTTATATAAAATTAGTGTTCCCTACCTGGGTCTTGTACAATTGTTATGTGTCCCCTAATTTACAGCAAGGCAAATATTAGCATTTCATAGATGACCTGATGAGAGACTATAGGACGGATGGGCGGGATGCAGTGATAGCCGGCGATTTCAACGCTAAGTCTCTCTCCTGGGGTTCCGCAACCACAAATGAGAGGGGCACGTATGTCAATGAATGGATCCATTCATTGAACTTGGTCGTGCACAATGACAGAGTCGAGCCAACCTTTGTTAGAGGAGCCAGTGTCTCGTACATTGATCTGACGATCTCATCGGAGGGGTTCGCGAGATGGAAAGTCCTACAAGAAGAGTCCCTTAGCCATCAGTTATAGTGTCAACGCGGGGAAAAAATCTAAAGCGCCGTGCCTGAAAGGTAACACCGTCCTGAATAAGGAAATATTTTCAGCCGTACTGACAATGACCTCCCACGACGTAACACCAGGTAACGTTGTAGAAAAGTTAAGCGATGCGCAGAACTTGGCCTCTGGAAGAAGTCATAGAGACCGAAGACGAGAACAACCGTACTGGTGGTCTTCGGAGATCGATACCTTACGCAGGGCATGCAACTCCCGTAGAAGGGAGGTCACCAGGGCAAGGACAAGAGGTGCTGAGAACGAAGATCAGGAAGTAGCATATAAGATCGCCAAATCTCGTTATGGAAAGGCAATTAAAAAGGCCAAAAGAGAAAAGTGGAACGAGCTCTGTAATGAGCTGGACAACGATCCATTTGGGCAGGGGTATAAAATTGTCGTGCGGCACTTGAAGTACCCACAGATCCCCTACGAAATCAGCGCGGAGGAAAAGTGGAAGATCGTGGAGGAATTATTCCCAACAAGAAACGACCCATGGGAAAGAAGCGAGGCTACGCCCCTTAGGGCAGAACTTGAGTTCACGGAGGACGAGGTCCGACTGGCTGCGGGCAAGCTAAAAACTGGTAAATCTCCGGGACCAGATGGCATCAGTGTGGAGGCGATGAGAGCTGCGCTGGAAGAAATTCCTGAGAGGCTAACTAATGTTTTTAATGATCTGTTAAGAGGGCAGAGCTTTCCAGTACCTTGGAAACGGGCGAAAGTAATACTTATCCCGAAGGGACAAATAACAGAAAATCGCAAATACCGTACGATTTGCCTCCTTAATACAATGGGAAAGTTATACGAACACCTCCTTAAAGGGAGACTCGAGACGGAACTAGAAAACATCGGAGGACTGTCGATAAACCAGTTCGGCTTTAGGAAGAAAAGGTCCACCATCGACGCTGCCAGGTATGTGATGGACATCGTTAAAAGGGGACCTTAAAGGTGGGCAGCTGCTATTGCATTTGACATAAAAAATGCCTTTAACACCGCAGGCTGAAGTGCCTTAGGAAAATCGGCATCAGTGGGTACTTGGTGAAAGTCGTTGAAAGCGACTTCACAGACAGGAAAGACTT